GTTATTTTTATACCATCAGTGTGAATTAATTTCAAAAAAAAAAAAAAAAAAAAAAAAAAAAAAAAAAAAATTGAATTGAATTGAATTATTGTTTAAATTTTGATCATAATTAAATAAATTTATTTGTTCATTTGAATAAGTAAGAATTTAAAGGATTTGTTTGTTTGATTTTTTTTTTTTTTTTTTTTTTTTCTTTTTTTTTTTTTTTAATTTTTTTTTAAATTCAAAAAAATTTAATTTTTTTTTAAATTTTTTAAAATTTTTTTTTATAAATTTATATTTCTAAATTCAATAAATATATTAAAATGGTATGAGAAATTTCAATATTGATTTATTCATAATTTAATCATTGGTACTAATTTAAACATAATATTTATCAATATGTATATATAATTGTAGTCACACACTATCGTTCTTATTCAACCAACTTTTAGCAAAGCCAGTCGTACTTTTATGGATTACGAATCAGTAAATCAAGCCATCGAAGGTAAGCAATCACTTAAATATTTATAAATAACGATTTGAAATAACTAACCCATTATTGTTTCTAATTTAATAATAACAATTTATTCTATAATCATTATCACTATATATAATGATCATAATCATAAACATAATCATTATTATAGGTATTTGCCACATGTATGAACAAAAACTTAAACAATTAAAACCACACCAAAAGAATATTACATACGACATTTCACAATTATTTAAATATTTAGACGAATTTGCTGATTTATCATGTTTAGTGTAATTATTTTTATTATTATTAATATTCCTCCATAATAATATTTATTTATTTTAATTTTAATTCTTTAAAATATTAACTTATTTTTTTTATTTATTCAGATATACATCAAGTATCAATGCCTACACTCCATATAACAAGGAATGGATTAAAACCAAAATTATTCATCATTTACAAAAATTAGCTCAATAATAAATTTATATTTCCTTTAAATGGAGTGTATAAAAAAATAAATAAAAACAAATCTGTATAACTTTTTAAAATATATTTAAAAAAAAATATATTATATTTAAATACAAAATGTTATTTCACTATTTCTATTATTTCCGATGCAGCGTGGATCACTTTTTTTTTTTTTTTTTTTTTTATTTTTTTTTTTTTTTTTTTTATTATTATTTAGGAATGGGTGATTCTATTAATTTTATTATAAATTATAATATTTATTTTATATAATAAATTAAATAAAAAAATAACATTACCATTGGAACAACAATAATGGGGTATATTCCATTCAAACACACTTTTTTTTGTAAAATAATAAAAATATAAACAAATATTTTACCCCCAAATAGTAATATATTTTTATTTTTTTTTATTTTAATTATTTTTAAATTTTATTTATTTACTTCAACAACATAATATTATATTTCTATTTTTTTGTTTATTTTTATTGATACAAATAATTATACATAGAGTTTTAATTAATAACTTTAAAAAAAAAATGATGATGAATGAAGAAATTAAAGGAATACCATGTTTAGCATTTTCATCAGTAGTAACTCGTTCATCTAGCGATTTCGATTCTGACCATGGTATCAAAAACTGTAATTATTATAATAAATAAATAATAAAAAAAAAAAAAAAAGAAAAAGAAGGTATTTATATTATTTTTATTTTATTAAAGCAATATTAAATTTTAAATTTAGTAGAAATACAAAGTGTGATGGTTCAGAAGGATGGAGATCCGGATCAAATGATAAAAACCAATATGTTATTGCCGCATCAAGTGGTATTCAACGTTTCGTTGGTATTTCAATTCAAGGTAGAGGTGATGCTGATGAATGGGTATCTAGTTTCCTTATTAGATATAGTTTAGATAATAAGAGATGGTATGAATATAAAAATGGCCAAGTTTTCAATGGTAACATTGATAGAAATGGGGTTGTTAATATTAAATTCGAACCAGCTATCATTGCTAAAACAATATCGTTACATCCAATAACCTGGAATAACCATATCAGTCTTAGATGGGAACTCTATACCGATGATGAAGTATGTTCATTCCCACAAATTCAAATGGGTAATGTTTCAATTGGTGACAAGACATTATCAAACAACAAAGGTCCAATAGAATATAGCCGTTGTGTTACTTTTGACAAGCCATTCGTCGGTGCTCCATGTGTTTCATTGGGTATAAAGTATTTCGACTTTTCCAAAGAAAGTGGTCAAAATCGTTGTGCAGTTGAGGCTAAAAATATCACCAATAAAGGTTTTGAAGTGATATTTAAACGTTTCTCAAATGACAATTTAATTAATGACTGTTCCATTGACTTTGTTGCTTTTTGGAAAGGAGATGACTATATCCCATCTGATAACGAGTTTAAAAATCCTTCATTGTTTTTATATAATAAAAAATAAATAAAATAATCCAATCATTTTTATTAATATTGACCTAAAAGAGTATTTAAATAAATAAAAAATGCATTTTTAACAAAATATTGATTTTAAAATTATATTGTTTTTTTGTTATTTTATTTTATTTTATATTATATTATATTACTTGATATTTTATTTTATTAGTGTTTTGGAAGAGCAGCCATTTGTCTTTTATTGATTTGTGGTGGCATCCATCTGGTGTAATAAACATTTTTATGTGGTGAGGCAAGGAAGCTATAATGGTATAAAATGGTTATAGTTAATATCTGACATGTTTTAATTAAATCTATAAAAAAAAATTATGTAACATTTTCTATTAAATTTAATATTTACCAAATATCGTTTTCAGCTTGTAAAATTGGTAAAATCATTGATAATCTTCTTTTTTCTTCTTTTTGGTTATTACTAGTTTTTTAAAATGAAAATGTTAATATCTAAAATATCTCAAGCTATGGTGATAGTGATAGTGATAGTGATAATGATGGTGATGATGACGATGATGATAATTAATAGCAATGGCAGTATTTAATAGTGTTAATGATAATTATTAGTAATAAGGGTGATTATTATGAAATTTTGATTTATTATAACAATTGATTATTAATTATTTTAAATTTGTTATAATAAATCAAAATTTCATCAAAAGAATGTTTGCTATTAATGCTTTGAGTTTAAAAATAAACATACAGTCTATCAATTTTTTCGTTGAAATAAATAGCAGTTGTAACAGTGGTTACTACAAGAAAAGTACCAAAAATAGCATAACCTGAAATTGCTACTGGTGCTCTTCTGTTATAATTTAATTTTGGGAAACCTCCAACTGGTGGTAAATCTTGAGTCCACTTGTTTGACATTATTATATATTAATTTATGATATGATTGAAAAAATTATAAAAAAAAAGAAAATTTTTTTTTAAAAAAAAAAATTTAAAAAAATTAAAAAAAAAAATAAAAAAAAAAAATAAAAAAAAAAAATAATAATAATTTTATAAAAACATAGTTTTCAATTTAGTTCTCAAAATAAAATAAATAAGCTTTTATGAAAAAAACAGATAAAATATCAACTTTAATTAATTGTTCGTTCTCAATGTATATTTAATTTATTATTTTTAATTATTACTCATTTATTATCACTTTTTTATTTTTCTGTTTTAAATATAGAATCATTCAACAATGCATAAAAAAAAGAATTAAATACTTTAATAGTTTATTTTTTTTTATAGTAAAAATGGTAATACCTATAGTATTTAGATATTTTTAGATAAAATTTTTATATGTTTTTTTATGTGTTTGTGTGTGGTGTGTCAGTGTTTGTTTTAAAAAGTATACATGTAAGAGAGCGGGACTAGAATATATGTGTGGTGTGGTAGTGTGGTTTAAATAATAGTGTACACAATTATAAACAACACTATAATTTCATCCTTTCTCCTCAGCTTTAAATAGCTTATGAATGAAAATATTATCCGTGCAGTAAAAATAAATAGTAACAATTATCAAAAAATATAAAATATTTTTTATTTAAAAAAAATCTATTATGACAATGTATTCTTTATTAATATTGTAAAATATTATCCATCTAAAATAAATTTTTGACATGTTAAAAGTGAGTTTTAAAATACAACATTATAGGATAATATGATTTTATAATTTTAAATTTCACAAAGTTTATATTTAACTTTTTAATAATATTAATAAGCTTTACATTAAAATCTTGAAAAATAGATTGGAAAAGGGTAAAAAAATAAAATACTACTAACATGGTTCATTTATAAAAATGACCATCTCTTTCGAATCAATAGGAATGGCATATAAATATTATTTCCCAAAAAAAATTCTCAATATTAATATAAAAAATTCTCTCTATATATTTATAAAAATAAAAAAGAATTTATATCTTTTTTTTGTTTGTTTTTTTTTTTTTTCCTTTTATTAATTATAAATTTTTTATTTTATTATTTAATCATTTTTATTATTATTTTTATATCTATATTATTTTTTTAACATCTCTATCTATATTATAAATTATAGCAAAAATAAAATAATAATTATTTAAATAATAATAAAAATAAAAATATAAATAAATATAAATTAAATAGGGTAAAAATAATTTATAATTTATAAAAATATATATTTATTAAATCCAAAATTATTAATCTTTCAATTATATTTTGTTTAGTTTTTTTTTCAATTAATTGAAAAAAAAAAAAAATAATATTAAAAATAAATTAATAAAATTATAAATATTTTTATTTATTTTTGATTATCATTGCTAATGACTATATTAGGTAATTTATAAAAAGTATTTTAAAAATTTATAAATTATAAAATAATAATTTTTTTTTATTTTTTTTATTAATCTTAAAAAAAAAAATAGAAAATATAATAACATTAGGCCAGAATTACGATCCAGTTATTCCTAATGATCTTCATAAAATTGGTCATTCAGCAATGCAAACCTTAACTCAAACCTTACATCCAAAATTTCATCCAATTCTAAGTTCAAATTTTCACAACAGTAACCATTTAATATTTGGTGGGGGTAATTTAATGGGGGGAAATAGCTGCGAAAAAAAAGAAAAACCTAAAAATAATATTTCTAAAAAATAGTTTATACATGAAATAATGTTTTTAAATCAAAAATTAGTTTTAATTTAAATAATATTTTATCGAATTGATAAAAATTAATTATAAAATTAATAAAAAAATTCTTTTATAAATAATAACTTGAAAAATTAATCACATTAATTATCTTTTGAAAAAAAAAAGAATTTTTAAACTTAAAATATAATTAAAAAAGTTGAAAATTGTTGATTAATAATTTCTATCTAATATATAATCTTTTTACACACTTTTTTTTTTTTTTTGGGGGGAAATGATTTTTAAAATATTTAAAAATAGGTTTATTTGTTTAATCGATTTTAAATTATTTAATAATAAATTAACTAATTTAAGTTGATAGGATTTGAATTTAGATTTTAATATGACATTAAATTTTCTATAGCTGTTATTGTTATTGTTGTTGTTTTTGATAAAAAATTTAACCACAAACTGATTTACAACCATAATAGGCTTCACTGTAAACTGGAATAACGTGACAATCTTGACCTGGTTGTGGACATTCAGCCATTTGGCCATTACCAACATACATTGCTGTTAAATAAAAATAGGATTGTTAGAATACTTATAGTTTACCTTTTTCAATATTATTTGTTTGAATACATACTAACATGTCTAAAATAAAAAAAGATATTAAATTAATAACAAATAAGCTATTTAAAGAAAAATAAATAATAAATTACTTACGATGGGCATGGTGCTTCAAAGCAATAGAATAATAAATCACCAACAATACATCCGGAAGTGTCCTATATAAACAATATATTAATATAAGGTTTTAAACTATGATTGCCTTGAAAAAAATATACATACTGATGGGCTGCATGTACCTCTAAGACCATTTTTAACTACATTAGAACCTGAACCTGAACCTGAACCTATAGAAAAAAATAATTGTTTTAATTTTAAAATACCAATTTTAAAAACAATATATAGAAAAATTACCTGAACCACTACCACTTGATGAACCTGAACCGCTTGATGAGCCTGAACCGCTTGAGGAACCTGAACCACTTGATGAACCTGAACCACTTGATGAACCTGAACCACTTGATGAGCCTGATCCGCTTGATGAGCCTGATCCACTTGATGAACCTGAACCACTTGATGAAGCACTTGATGAACCTGAACCTGATGAAGCATCAGAACCACTTGAGGAAACAGAGTTACCACTTGAACCACCACCACAATCATCAAAGCCTTGATCATACTGTTGACTTGCAGTACGTTGAATACCAGAGAAACCAGCCTCTTGGTATGAGGTATAAACAAGACCACCTATAATTATAGAGATTAAAAAATCAATATATTTCACTTTTTTTTATTATCAATAATATTATTTTAAAACAACTTACTGCAATCCATGCCACCGCTACCACCACAACCGCATGATGTACCACCAAAAATGTATGGACAACCACATGTGGCGTAATTATGAGCAGATGAAGCAGCAGCTTGACATACTGACATTGGAACTATAAAATTATATATAATATTAGATTTAATGTTTTTTTGTTTTTTTTTTATTTATTCATTATAAAATCTAAAATTACCAGCTGGAGAAGTTATATTTCTTGCTGAAACAAATAAAATTGAAACCAATAATAAAACTAAAGAGAAAGCAACTCTCATTTTTGTAATGATATATAAAATGAAAAATAAAAATAAAAAAAATAAAAATAAAATTTTAAATTATGAGGGAATCCGCCTCCGTCATTTTAAAAATCACAAAAAAAAAAATAAAAAAATTAAAAAAATTAAAAAAAAAAAATAAAATTAAAATATCTTTTAGGAGAGTTTTTCCTATAATACTCCCCTTTTATAAATATCATGCCTGGTAATCTACAAAAATATAAAAAATCCAAACACCAGGATGCCCTTTTCAATTTGAAAATACTGATTATTTTATTTTAGGAACCAAAAAAAATAAAAAAATCAGAAATTTAAAAATGGGAAAAAATAAAATAATAAAATAACAAATAATTTTTAAAACATATCTGAAAAGTAATTTTACTTTTTGTATTTTTATTTTTTTTTTTTTTTTTTTTTTTTTTTTTAAAATTTAATATCGTTACCCAAAATTGATCTACCCTCTTCTAATTTTAAATTACTTGTTGTATAATTAACTTTTAGTTTTTGAATTAAAAATTTTGAAGCACTGGATAAATGTTGTTGAACTGAATCATTTTGTTGAATAGTGTCATACAGTTGGATTGAAAGAATAAAAGCTTTTTTATTTAAACCAGATGAACTTTCGGTGAGATAAAATTGATTTTTTGGATTGCCACTGTTTTTGAATTTAATAATGTTTTTTACCATTATCGCTGATACCTTATCAATACGTTCAAATAGTTCTTTAGAGAATGATTCTAGTCTTTTAACCTTATCATTTGGCTCTTCATTTTCTGGACAAATCCAATTGATTGTATCTTTAACATCATCATAATGACCAGATAGTAATAATGACCAAATATCTTTTTCAAACTTGATGTCCCTTGGTGAATTTAATTGTAATCTGCTAATTCAATATTGACGAGTTTTATTTTATAGCATAAACCAGTATCTTCAAATTTCAATATACAACCTTCAATATATTTGAGATTCTTTATTGTTTCTACCAGTTCGTTTGGTGCTTGTAATGGATGCTAGGTTTGGACTATTCTTTATATCAATTAAATCTAGGGTGTTGGAATATTATATTTATTGGCGCCCTTTTTTAGTTCTGGCCACTTTAAATATTGACCTGTGTGAATGTTCCTAATGCAATCAGTTTTAATGACTCCTCTTTATAGTGAATGATTATTGGTTGTTTTGGTGAAGTAAATTCGAATAATGGTGAATAGCCACTCTCTAAACATTTTTTTGAAAACTCGCTATATTTAATATTATTTGATTGATTTGATTCTAAACTCAATATAAAATTATTCACCATTGTACCCAAATCACTGATTCCTTGTTTTGATCCCCAATAAACACCATTAATTGAATTTTCATTATTTAATAACATTGGTGAAATTAAACTACCATCAATTTTATCCATTAATATATAATTTCCCTCTAATGGTATTAAATCCTAATATATATTAGTATAAGTAACTAAAATTTAAAATTATAATAAATATGTAAATACTTACTGCTTTGCATTCGCTTTTTTCATTTATATTAAAAAATTTATGTAATTTCCTAACTAATAGTTTATGGGTATCTTTGCAAAATATTAAACCTCTGCATTCTCTTCTAACCTTTAATAAATATGATTTCTTTGGATCGGTTTCACTTACTGGGTCTGGAAATGATTCATCATAAATGGAATCATAGTTAAATACAATAGTATTCTCTCTAATTGATTCCCTAAATCCTCCAACATCTATTTGAAATGTTAGTATTTGTTTTAATTAACTTTTTTATTTATTTTAAATTAATTATTTATTTGATTAAAATATATACCTTTAATAGCTTCTCTACATTCTTCAATTGTTATACCAACTGGAAAGATTGTATTGTTTTTTAATGTATAGTCTATAATACTGCTATCCATTCTTTTAATATTTTGTTTTGTCTAATGATTTATTATTACATTATTTTTTATTAATATTTATTTAAAATTATGTTTATTTTCAAAAAATTATTAAATATTTAAAAATTACCAAAAATTATAAAAAAAAAAATAAAAAAAATAAAAAAAAATAAAAAAAACAGAAAAAAAGAAAAAAAAAAGAAAAAAATAAATTATCTATTATTGTTATAAATTGATTATGTATTTTGGTATTTAAATAATATTAGAGTTTGACCAAAAAATGTTAAAGAGAAAAAAAAAAAAAACTTTTATTTATTATAAAAATACAGAACTAAAAAAAGTTTGTAAAAATTAATTGAACCCTTCATTTATAATCTAAACCATATAACCTGACCCATATTAATATACTGAATTTTAAATTTGTGGTAGAGGACCAAAGGTTGCATTCATTTCATCTTTTAAATCTTTTACCTCGTTTGCAGGCAATGAGGTCTCTATTTTCTCGATTAAATCTGCTATTTTAAAAATGATTTCTTTTGATTTATCAATATTTTTATTTACTTTATCTAAAACTTCCTTAACACTTAATTGGGCTTGGGTTGCATCGCTAGTTTTAATTTGCATAATATTTGTAAACTTTTTAGCCTGTTTGGTTTCTACATCTCTAATTTTTTGCATTATTTCATTTTGTTGTTCGTGTATATATCCTGTTGAGTTTTTCAAATATGTTTGTACATCTATTGATAAATTTAAAAGAAATTTTGGATCCATATCTATAAAAAAAATAATAATTTTAATTAGATTTTAATACTATTTGTATTTATATGATTTATAAACTATAACTACTTACTGGGTATAGTCATTTGATGTTTCTTCTTTAAAAATCTAATTAGTTTTTCCTCATCACCCAACGACTCTAAATTTTCATTTTCGTCATCGTCACTATTATCTTCATCATCCAAACTTAATAAAGGATAAAACTAAAATAATCGTGGTTAGAAATCGTCATATGAAAAATAAAAAGAATAACCTAGCGTTATACTTACAACAGGCGTTTTATATAGTACTTCTAATTCGGGGTCAATATATTCTTTTTTTTCTATTTGATTAATTGTGATAATTTCATTTGTACTATTACTTTTTACCAAAGATTCATTCGATATTGATTTATCTAAACCAAAACTTCCATATATATTAGATGAGGATGTTGATGATGATATACCATTATTATAACTATTATTGTTCTTTGCTGTACTTTCTGTTTGGCCCATTCTTAATTACAATATTTCAACAAATATCTGATATAAATTAAAATAAATTAAAAAATTATAAAATAAAAAAAATTTTAAAAAAAAATGAAAAAAAATTATTTTTTTTATTTTTAAAATATTTATTTATTTTTAATTATTTATTTTAAATATTTATAAATTTAAGTAATTGTTTTAAAAAGGAAAACAATTACTTAAATTTATTTATTTTTGTTTTAAACAATAAATAATTTATTATTACACAAATAGCTATTAAACAATTTAGGTGATTAGTGATACAAAAAAAAAATAATAATAAAATATATTTAAAATAATTAAATTTTGATTTAATCAACCAAATTTGATTTGATTTAACTCAATTAATTTTAAATATTGCATTTAAATACACAAAAAAATTAATTAAAAAAAAAAAAAAAAAAAAAAAAAAAAAAAAAAAAAAAAAAAAAAAAAAAAACCGAATTAAATTTTTTTATAATTTTTTTTATTTTATTTTTTTTTTTAGAAATTATTTTTTTTTTAAAATAAACTAAAAAACGAAAAAATAAAATAAAATTAAATTATATATTATCAGAATTAAAGAATGGATAATAGTATTTTTTTTAGTCTCGGAAATGGTATCAAATTTAATAAAAAGAAATATCAAAAAGAAATTAATATTTTCAATGGTTTAACTTCTCAAGATTTAGATAAAACCCACAAAATCACAAATAATAAAGCAACCTTTTTTAAAAATACACAATCACAACAACCTAAAGTAGAGATTGAAAAAAAAAAAAAAGAAGAAAAAGAAGAAAAAGAAGATGACAGTAATGATGAAGAAGATGAAAATAATGAAGATTTTATAGAAGATAATGATGATGATGATAATGAAGAAGGAGATAATAATATTGTTGAAAAAGAATTTAAAAAACAAGATTTCAAATTATTCAATAAAACTGAAAACAGTGACGATGATGAAGAGGAAGAAGAGGAGGAAGAAGAAGAATCTGAAGAAACCAAACAAAAGAAATTAATTGAAAAACAAAAAAGACAAATTTCAGAGTTTAGAAGAATGAATAGAATTAAAGTTGAAGGTACAGATGTTCCAGATCCAATTAAATCATTTGAAGATTTAGATGATAGCAAATTCAAAGTTAGAAAGTATTTAATTAAAAATATTCAAGAGAATGGTTATAAAGAACCATCACCAATTCAAATGCAAACCATTCCAATCCTTTTAAAAGAAAGAGATGTAGTTGCAATTGCACCAACTGGTTCTGGTAAAACTGCTGCTTTCTCTATTCCAATCCTTTCAGCTCTTAGAGAACCAAAAAAAGAAGGTTTCAGATCAGTTATTATTGCACCAACTCGTGAATTAGCTCAACAAATTTATCGTAATTTTAGATTATTAAGTAAAGGTAAACCATTTAGAATTTGTGTTCTTTCAAAGAATTTACATAATCAATCAACTGATGAAAGCTTAATTAAAAATTATGGTAAGTTAATAATTTAAAAACAAAAAAAAAAAATAAAAAAAAACCAGCACTAATTTTTTTATTTTTTTTTATATAGATATTTTAATTACAACACCATTAAGATTAGTTTATTTAATTAAAGAAAATGTATTAAAGTTAAACAATGTCGAATACTTGGTATTTGATGAAGCAGATAAATTATTTGATAGAGATTTTGTTGAACAAATCGATGATGTAGTAACAGCATGTCAAAACCAAAAATTAAAAATTTGTCTTTTTAGTGCTACAATGAATACATTAGTAGAGGAATTAGCAAATTCAATTATGAAGAATCCAATAAAGATTACAATTGGTGAAGAGAATGCAGCAGCAGTTACAGTAGATCAAAAATTAATTTATGTTGGTCGTGAAGAAGGTAAATTAATGGCAGTTAGACAACTCATTCAAAAAGGTTTAGAACCACCCATTTTAATTTTCACTCAATCAAAAGAACGTGCCCACGATCTCTTCCAAGAGTTGGTATTTGATGGTATTAATGTAGATGTAATTCATTCAGAAAGAACTCAATTCCAAAGAGATACCATTGTAAAGAAATTCCGTACTGGTAAAATTTGGGTATTAATTTGTACAGAATTAATGGCTCGTGGTATGGATTTCAAAGGTGTAAATTATGTTATCAATTTCGATTTCCCACAAACTTTAGCATCATATGTTCACCGTATTGGTCGTACTGGTCGTGCTAATAGACCTGGTGTTGCTTATACCCTTTATACTGACGCTGATAAACCAATGTTACCAACTATTGTCCATGCAATGAAGAAATCTGGTTCTGAGGTACCTGATTGGATGTTGTCTTTAAAATCAACTGGTAAAGAAAAACATCAATATAGAAAGAAAGGTGTAAATAGAGAAACATTTTCAACTATTCCATTAAGTGAAAGAGCATCATCTAAATTTAAATCAAAAAAGAAATCATTTAATTTACCAAATAGCGAAAATCAAACAAATCAAAATGAAAATGAAAAAACTAATAATAATAATAACAACAATAAAAATAATAAAAATAATAATAATAATAATAAAAATAGTAATAATAATAAAAATAATAAAAATAATAATAATGTAGATAAAAAAAGAAAAATTGAACAAAATAATAATCAAAATAAAAAATTAAAGAAATAAAAAATTTTTATAAAGTTTTTTTATAAAATTTTCAAATAAATACCATGAAACATTTAAATAAAAATTGGATTGAAAATTTTCATGTAAAAAAAAAAAAAAGTGGTTTTTTTAAATGAATAGAATAAAATAAAAATTTTTATTTTATTTTTTTTAATTTTTGTGGCTATTTAATTTTATCATAAACAACCATTTTTTTTTTCTTTTATTATTTTTAATTTTTTTTGAAACTAATTATTTTTATTATTTTTTTTAAAAAATCTAATAATTTTATTTAGTTGTAAATCATATATTTATTTTTATTTTTATATTTATAAATAAAAAAAAAAAAAAAAAAAAAAAAAACCCATCAAGATATTTTTAAAAATTAATTTTTTTTTAATTTCTTTTTTTTTTTTTTTTAAATCAGACATCTTTATTAAATTTCTTTTGTATTTTTATTGTATTATTATTTCTTTTATTTATTTATTTATTTAAAAAATGTTTCGTTTATTTTCATCAGGTGTTGATGATTTAGTATTAGTATCATCCCCAACAAATGGGGAAATTACAAATCAAATCGGTGCTAGATTTGATAGAGAATTAATTTACACCAATATTGGTGAAGTATTAATTGCTGTTAATCCATATAAACAATTACCAATTACAGGTCCAGAATTTATTAAGGTATAATATAATAAATTAATAAAATAATGTTAAAATATCAAATAAATATTAATAAATTTTTTTTAATTTTTTTATAAAAATTTAGATGTATCAAAATTCACCAGGTGGCAATGAAGCACCACCACATATTTTTGCATTAGCAGAAAGAGCTTATAGAAGAATGGTTGATGAAAATGAATCTCAATGTGTAATTATTTCAGGAGAATCAGGTGCAGGTAAAACTGTTTCAGCTAAATTAATTTTACAATATGTTACAGCTGTATCACCAAATAATAGTTATGGCAATTCAATGGGAGGTGGTGGCAGTAATAACGTACCACAATACGATGGTGGTAGTGATGACTATGGTGCACCAAGTGGAAGAGGAAGAGCTTTACCAATGCCTGGGGGCAGGGGTATGCCACCACCAGCAAGAGGAGGGGGTGTTCCAAATAGAGGTGGTGTTGCAAGTAGAGGTGCTCCACCACCACCAATGGGAGGTGGAAGAGGTAGAGGCCCACCACCACCAGTATCAAATGTTAGAGCAGGTGCCCCACCACCACCAATGTCAGGTGGCCAAGCTCCACCAGCAAGAGGCCCAGCCCCACCACCATCAAGAGGTGGACCAGCTGCTCGTGGTCGTGGAGGTGCCCCACCACCTCGTGCCGCTCCACCACAATCAAGAGGCGGTCGTAATGTCGATGTAGAACATATCAAAAAAGTTATTTTAGACAGTAATCCATTAATGGAGGCTATTGGTAATGCTAAAACTGTTAGAAACGATAACAGTTCACGTTTCGGTAAATATTTAGAAATTCAATTTGACGATAATAATGCTCCAGTTGGTGGTCAAATTTCAACTTTTCTTTTAGAAAAAACTAGAGTAACCTTCCAACAAAAACACGAAAGAAATTTCCATATCTTTTATCAAATGTTAGCTGGTTTAGACCAATCAACAAAGTCAGAATGGGGTCTTACCCAAGCTACAGATTTCTATTATTTGGCTCAAAGTAAATGTACTTCAATTGCTGATGTAGATGATGCCGCTGATTATATCGAAGTTAAAAATGCTATGACCACAATTGCAATTACAAGCGAAGAACAAACAGAAATCTTTAGAATTTTAGCAGCTATCCTTCATGTCGGTAATATTCGTTTCCAAGGTGAAGCACCAGCTACTGTTATTGATGAAACACCATTACAATGGGCAGCATCATTATTAGGATGTGATCCACAATTCCTTGGCCAATCATTGAATCATCGTCAAATTCAATCAGGTAGTGTTCGTCATACTCAATATGCTGTTCCACAAAATCCAGATCAATCCGCTTCGCTTAGAGATGCTTTAGCTAAAACACTTTATGAACGTATTTTCGATTTTATTGTAACTCGTATCAACTCTGCAATGCAATATCATGGTAGCGCTAAAGTAATTGGTGTTTTAGATATTTATGGTTTCGAGGTCTTTGAAAGAAATAGTTTCGAACAATTTTGTATCAATTATGTCAATGAAAGACTTCAACAAATCTTTATTGATTTAACTGTACGTGGTGAACAACGTGAATATCACGAAGAAGGCATGAAATGGAAGGATATTAGCTTTTTCGATAATAAGATTGTAGTAGATTTAATCGATGGAAATAAACCACCAGGTGTTATGCGTGTTTTAGATGATGTTTGTAAAACTGTTCATGCTGTAGATTCTGCAACTGCTGATACTAAATTTATGGAAAAGTTAATTCATGCAATTCAAAGTCATCCACATCTTTTAATCTCAAATACTGGCTCAAGTGCTAATGAATTTACCATTAAGCATTATGCTGGTGATGTCACTTATAGTGTCGAGGAATTTTGCTTTAAGAATAATGATAATCTTTATGCTTCAATTGTATGTTGCCTTCAAAGTTCAACCTATCCATTCATTGCTTCACTTTTCCCAGAGAACATGTCAGATAATAAAACTGCTCCAACCACTGCCTCTTATAAAATTAGACAATCTGCAAATTATTTAGTTCAAAGATTATCAGCTTGTACTCCACATTATATTCGTTGTATTAAACCAAATGTAAGTTTAAAAACTTGTTTTAAAAGATTTATTGTTATTATTGTCACTAACTATAATTTACTTTTGTTTTTTTAAATAGGATTCTAAATCTCCACTCTCATTTACTTCATCAAGAGTAGAACATCAAGTAAAATATTTAGGTTTATTAGAAAATATTAAGGTTAAAAGATCTGGTTACGCATACAGACAATTAAAAGATGTATTCCTTAATAGATTTGGTAGAATTTTTGATGTTGCACCAAGAAATTGCCAAGAGTTTGTTGAGCAAATTACTCGTGCAGGTAAAGATATTAGCGCTGAAGAGTTTGAAGAGGGTAAAACTAAAATATTTGTTAAAACACCAGAAACTATTTTCCTTATGGAGGATTTATTAATGCAAAAAATTGATCCAATTGGTTATAAAGAAAGAGTTCATGCATACAAAGAAAATGAAAAATTAGCCCAAGCCAAAGCTGGTAAACACAGTTTAAAACCCAAATGTATTATTCAATAGAAAAAAAATAAATAAATAAAATAAATAAAATAAAATAAAATAATAAAATTACTTTCTAAAATAAAGTTTTTATAAAACTATTTCTTTTTTTTTTTTAGAAAATTATGGTATCTAAATAAAATAAAAAAATAATAGTTGAATAATAATTTAATGCTAAAAAATCCTTAATATGTTTTAATGCTATATAATCCTCGATATGTTTTGATAATATTTTTTTAATTATCCATAATATTTATTGTACAGTTTAATTTAATTTAAATTTATATTGTTTTAAAATTAAGTTTAATTTAATTTATATTTAAATTGTTTTTTAATTTCTATGGATCAATAATACATCTATTTTAAAGCTCTATTGAAAATTATAAATTTTAAAAAATCAATTTATATAATTATTTTTATATTTTTTATTAATTATATTTTTATTTAATAAGAAAATAAAATACTCAATAGTTGATTTCTAAAGAGTATTTTTCTATTATTAAATTTGAAAAAAAAAAAATTAATTGACAAAAACTCTGATATATATTTATTTGTTAAAACCATTATTTATTTTTTATTATTTTTATAAAATAAAATAATGTTATTTTTTTATTAAAAAATAATAAATAATTAAAAAAAGATAATATATAATAAAAACCATAATGTAAAATTTATTAAGATAATAAAAAAATAATAATAAATAAACAAATGATAAATAATATTATAAAAAAAAATGTAACTATCATTTCTTTATTTATAGCGATTAATTTAGTTTTTTTTTCATAATCATGCAGTTCCTGATTTTTTTTTTCCTTTATGAGGAAAACTATTTAACTTCAAATAATAAAACTTTAAAAAAAAAGGCATTATGTGAGAAATCCGGATTTTCAAAACCCCCACATAATTTTTATAATCATTTTTTTTATAATTTTAATTTTATGTTTTTTTTAATTTTAATTTTATGTTTTTAAATTTTAATTTTTTTTTTAATTTTTTCATTGCTTGAAATAGATTTTTATTTTTATTTTTTCTTTATTATTTTGTCAACATAAAAATAATTATATAACTTTTATATATTATAATACATACAATAATATTTTAATAACTACAATAATTTTTATTTTTATTAATAATAAATAACTTATAAATTTAAAAGATAACGAAACTTACTTTCTATTATTTAAATTTACTTCATTATTTTATTTATTTGTTTTTTTAAACAAATCCATTTTTATACCAGATCCAAAAATGAAAAATAAAAAAATGTAAATATAAAAATAAAAAAAAAATTATTTATAAATCGTAATTCATAATTCATATTTTTCTTTTCAGAAAAAAAATAAAGTTTCCAGAAAAGATTCTGGATTAATTATTATTATGATTTTTTTGAAAATAAATTTTATTTATTTAATCTTTTTTTAAGTAATACCTTTATTCTTGGTCCTTGGTATGTTAAACCAAAAGAGCCAACATCATTTAATGGTTTTGATGGATCTTGGTTAATAAATTCGTATCTGTTAATTAGAGTTGATAAAAATGTAAAAAATTTTGTTTCACCTAATGATTTACCAATACAGTCTCTTACACCGATTCCAATATGAACAAGGTTTGTTTGGCTACCGTAATTTAAATTTGATGATTCCATAAATCTTTCTGGTATAAATTCATTTGAACCACTAAAGAATTCTTCGCATCTATGTGATGCATAGATATTTTGGAATACTTGAGTTCCTGCAGCAATTTTGACACCTTCAACTTCTACATCAACTGATGTTACATGTGGAATACCTAAAAGTCCAATAGGGTACATATGGAAGGTTTCTTTCATTACCATTGTTAAATATTGAATAGACGAACGATATTTACTATGGGTAATTACAGTTTCATTTGGAAAAATTGAAGATAAAATACTATTGTTTAATTTAGATTGAATATCTGGATAGTTAATGAGTTCGATTAAACAAAAGATCATTGTATTGCAGTATGAGTTACATTACCCCAACTGTTTCGTATTCTTTAACTAACCACCAACTATTGTTTCATTTTCTTCTAAAAAGGTACCATTTTCTATTTCTTCTTGTTTGGTCTTTTGATTAAAACATCTGTTTCTTCAGCGAGCTTGTTATAGGTAACAAAAAATGGATGTTTAGGGTTTGGTTAGATCCCTGGAATAAAGTCAGAGACTACAGGTGTACCAGCAACTAAAAAGAAGTCCATTATTGATTATACCTTCAGTTTGTGAAACCTTATCATATGGATAATCTACACCGAATAAATCTAAGGTTCATAACTATACAAAAAAACTTTTAGAGCAATAAGAAAGTTTTAAAAGTAGGTATCATTATTTATATATTATATCTGTAGTAATGTTGTGTCTAACTATTTTTTTTTACATGTTTCATCTTTTACAACCAGTATCCAAATCTACCACGACAAACCCTCCTTTTTTTAAAAAATTTTTTTTTTTTTTTTTTTAAAAATTTAATTTATTTTTTTTATTTTTTTTTTTATTTTTTAATTATTTTTTTTTTTTTTTATTTTCTTATATTTTTTTATATTGGTTTATAAATATTATATATATAATTAAATGAATCAAATGTCTATTAAATTAAAACCATTATCATTCAATGCAACAGAATCAACCAATCTTAAATTAGTATGGAATTTAGATGATATAAAAGAAATAAACGAATTAGAAAACGATTCATCGTTCCATCCAGTTTATTCACATCAAATTTTTGGAGAAGAGGAAACTATTGTTGGATATGATCCATTAAGATTTAATGTTTTATTTGGTGCAGGCTCTTTAATATCTCATATCGATACAAATTATACTTTAAACTCAAACAATATAACAAATGTTGAAGGTGAATTATTAAAAATATTTTCAAAACAAGATCCACCAATTTCAAAAGAATCATTTTATAAAGTATATAGTTTAAATCATTAAATATATATATTATAATATATAGGTTTTGTTAACAACTATTCTTTGTTTTATTTAGTATATCGAAGAAAAAGAAAAATTATTTAGACCACCAGGAAAAAAAATTTATGAATATACAGTCACAGATAAAGAAACAGGTAGGGAAAGAGATTTCGAAGTTTATTATGGTTCCTTATCAGACCCACAAATTGAAAAATATCACGAAAGAATGCAAATATTTGTTTTATGGTTTATTGATGGTTCATCATATGTCTTTGTTGAACCTAATTGGGATTTATTTATTACTTTTGAAAAGAGAAAAATGGATGGTGAAACTAGATATGGTCTCACTGGCTATTGCACTGTTTATAATTTTTATCATCATCCATCACAAACCAGAGAAAGGGTATCTCAATTTTTAATTTTACCACCATATCAAAAAATGGGTCATGGAAGTAAGTTACTATTATATAAAAGAATAATCAAATCATATTTATTAATATTTCTTTATTATTTTATTTTTTTTAGGTAAATTATTAAATTCAATTTATAATTATTATAAAAACAATGATGGACTTTATGGACCAGTATATGATGTTACCGTTGAGGATCCTGCCGATGAATTTAATGCTTTAAGAAACTATGTAGATTTAAAGAATATTTTAGATGACAAATTGTTTGATAATGTTAAATTAGATTTAAATGCCAATAATACAGAAGTTTTTGAAAAAATTAGAAAAAGTTTATTAATACCACATGTAAGCTATCATTATTATATTATTAATTATTATTTCAACATAAAACTAACAAATAAATTCATTTAGAAACAATCAAAACTTTGTTTAGAAATTTTTATGTTTAGTAAATTCATTTCAACTCCAGTATCAGATCCTAAATTTAAACAATTCAGAATTTCAATAAAAAAAAGACTTTACAAACAAAATATTGGTGATTCAGAACAAATTGACAAAATGAAACAACAAGTAATAAATAGTAAAAACGAACAACAACAACAACAACAACAACAACAACAACAAGGTGACCAACAACAACAAAACGACGAAGAAGTTGAGGAAGCTGCAGCATTTTATTACAACAAAAGAGACCAAAATAAATTACCAACACCACCACAACCACCAACAACCCCCTCTCAAGACAAAGAAAGATTAGATATCGAAAAAGAAAGAGTTGAAACTATTCTCGAGCTATATAAAGAGCTTGAAGAAAATTATTTTAATACTTTAAAATCACTTTCTTTAGCTTAAATAAAAAAAAAACAAATAATAAAGAAAAATAATTTAGTTTACAATAAAAAGAATAAATAAAATACAAATATTTATTTAAATTAAAGCTGTTATTTATTATTAATAGGGTCATATTTTTTTTCAAGAGATATAGCTGGAGTATATGAATAGTTAAATTGTGTGTTCTCTTGTTGATATGTTGATAATTCAATTTCTCGAGAACCATTTTTTATATCTGTATAATCTTGTTGCTTGTTTACATTATTTTCATTATATGCTATAATTATTCTTGTTACACCTCTTCTTTTTTTTCCATAACCTACAAAATAGCTTTTGGTTTCTACTTTAATTCCTTTATCTAAAAACTTACTGTTAAGCTTTTTAATTATATTTTCTAAATACTTTTTCAACTAAATTTATATAAATATTTTTTAAATCTATATTACTAACTTTATTATTTTATAAAACTTACCCTTATTAATAAAAAAATGTGTAGAACTATCAATAAAAACAATGGTAACCCTAATATGAGTGGTAAAAACTTACTATCTAATATTACCAATAAAACTATAAGCATAACTACCCAAATAATATAAAAAAAGACATAATAAAGTAATAAATCTCTTCGAAAAAAGTAACTATTACAAGTTTTAACAATTTTTTTATAATCTTTTAAATTTAAATTTGTATGTTCACCCAAAATTTCTGGCAAGGTTGATGGCTCTTCTAATATTTCTGATTTTTCTGAATAACAACATGAGTTTTTATCTGTTGGAATTTCATATAGACTATTCATTTTTATTATTACAATTTTAAAAAAATAAAAAAAAATAAAAAAATAAAAAAAAAATAAAAAAATTTTGTTGCAATTCCCTCAAAATATTATCCACTTGACATCACTTCGTAAATTTAAATATCCATTTTAAATAAAAAATATTTTAATTTTATTTATTTATTTTATGTGGTGATTCTAAATCTATTGGAATATTATCAACATTACTATAACTTTGTGGTTGAGAATAGTTATTATTAATACTTTGTGGTTGGGAATAGTTATTATTAATACTTTGTGGTTGAGAATAGTTATTACTAATACTTTGTTGGTCATCTTTTTCAAGGGATATACTATTATATACGTTGTTTGGTGGTGGAATTGGAGGTGTATAATATGGTTGGCTTGGTATTTGTTGGATTGTTGACAATTCAATTTCTTGATGGTTTGGTTGAATTATTGGATTTTCAAATAATTGTGGGTTTGGTTGTCTATTCCAATCTTCATTATATGCAATATTAATTCTTGTAATGTTTCTTCTATTTCTACCAAAACCTACAGTGAAGTTTTCACTTTCTATTTTTAACCCTTTGCATGAGTATTGTTCATTTAAAACAATCAAAATTCTATTTAAATTCTTATTTAACTATTAAAAAAATAAAATTAGTTTAATATAATAATTTCTTTTTTTTTATTAAAATTACCAATGTTATAACATAAAAATGGAAGATTACCACTATTAAAAGAGACCCAACTAAAATAATTGTAATATATTTTGTTTCCAAAGGTTGTTTAACATATAATACTACCGAAACTACAATGCATATCAATAATAAAAACCAAACAAAACTACCTTATTTATATAAGAAATAATTGTAAATAAAATATAATAAATAAATAAATTAATTTATATTTACTTTTTTGTTTATTTTTGAAATGAATGTTTAATCTGTGAACAATATTAGAATAATCTTCTAAACTTAAACTTGTCCATAGTCTTAATTCATCAGGTAGAGTTGTTGGTGGTTCTAATATTTCTGTTTTGCTAGAATAACAAAATATATTTTTATTTGTGGGTATTTCGTATTTTTTATTCATTATAATGCAATTTATTATTTTTTTCTCTTATTTTTATATTTAAAAAAAAAACATATGTTTTATTTTTAAATTTTAAAAAAAAAAAAATTAAAATTTTTTTAGACATTTAATTGAAAAAAATATCTAAAACACCTCGTTTTTAGTTCCCAAAATTATTTATGTTTTTTTAAACAAATTACATAAAAAATAAGAAAAAATTAAAAAAAAAAAAAAAAATATTATTTCTTTTACAATTTTATTTAATCATATCATTTTTGAAATATAATTATAAATGACAGAGTTTTGGACAATATCTACTCTTGAAATGTTTTCCCATTCCCTTAATAACACACATTGTTCTATTCTTTCCCAACCCAAATTTGATCTGTTGTCTGTAACCAACAACTTAGCACCCGAAAATGTTCTTTCAATTTCAACGGATGAAGAATCAACATTTCTTACAATTGAATATAATGTTGGATATTCAATACTATTTTCTTTCCAATATTTTATTGTATCATTTCTATGATCTAAACTTTCTTCAATAATTTTAAATTTATTAATGTTATTATTTATTAAATTAATTTTATTTTTTTAAAATATAATTATTTTTTATATTTTTAATATATATTAATAAATTTTGATATTGATATATAAATAATTATGTTTATTAATATAAAAAAAAAAAAAAAATTTTAAAAAAATTAAAAAAAAATTTAAAAAAAAAAATAAAAGGGGGAAACAACCACACATTACTATATATATTAATTGAATATGATTTAAATGTTTTTTTATTGATTTTTAAACACCTTTTAAATTAAAAACTTTTTTTTTTGTTTTTAAAACTTAGAAAAATAAAAAAAAAACTAAAACTTAGAAATTGACTTTAAAAATGGAACTTATTGACCCCGAACTTAGAAACCCCTTTTTTTCAAAAAATAAACTAAATTTTCTACCCTAATTGAATTTATACTTTTTGGAACCTTCAATTTCTCTTTTATAAATGTCTTCTTTTTCAGAATTGATTTTACCTAAATTGAGATTTGTTAGCTCCAAAAAATCTATTTACAAATTTTTAATTGAAAAAAAAACTAATAACCTCTTCTAATGATATTCCATAATGATTGTTTTCAAGTCTTGCATACGGATCACTATCAAAAAGAGTTCTTCAGTTACAATAATGTTGATAATTATAATGATAATAATTTTAAAAAAAAAAAACGGAAATAAAAAAATAATAAAAAAAATAATATTCTCTAAAAAAATATTTTAAAAAATTGATCATTTTAATTTTAAATAAATCATCAAATAAAAATAAAAAATAATATATTTACAAAAATAAACTAATAAATGAAAAAAAATGAAATTTTGGATTTTTATATTAAAGATAAATTGTGAATTTTTTTTTTTTTTTGAATTTTTTTTACAAGATATTAATTTCATATTTTTTTTATTTTTTTATTTATTTTATATTGACAATGGATGGGCTGCTATCATCTCTAATTAACTTTCAAGTAAATGAAGAGTTAAAAAACAGTAGTAATATTAGTGATAGGTAGGTACAATACAATACGACCCAATAAATATAAATAATAGTCGATTAATTAAAAGCATATTAATTGGTGTTTTCTCTTTTTAACTATTTATTATAGATTATTATATATAGTTTGGAATAATTTATTTTTAAGAAATGAAATTCATAGACATATTTTAAAGTTTATTGAACATAGTGTTGTAGAATTAAATAAATCACGTTATGACCAGTTTAAAGATAAATCATATATAACAACACTTAAATGGCATGGTGATACACTACCAGATAAAAATGAATTTCCACCATTTTTGAAAAATTTATATTTGTGCACTTTTAATAAAATGTTAACTCCAACAACTTTACCAAATACAATTACTACACTCACATTTGGTGATGATTTTAACCAAGTAGTCAAACCCTGCACATTACCAAATAATCTCACAATACTCACATTCGGTGATGAATTTAACCAAGTAGTTCTACCTGGCTCATTACCAAATAGTCTCACAACACTCACATTCGGTGATTATTTTAATCAAGTAGTTCCACCTGGCTCATTACCAAATAATCTCACAACACTCACATTCGGTGATGCTTTTAACCAAGTAGTTCCACCCTGCACATTACCAAATAGTCTCACAACACTCACATTCGGTTATTATTTTAAACAAGTAGTTCCACCTGGCTCATTACCAAATAGTCTTACAACACTTACATTCGGTTATAGTTTTAACCAAATAGTCCCACCGGGCTCATTACCAAATAATCTTACAACACTCACATTCGGTCATAATTTTAACCAAGTAGTTCCACCTGGATTATTACCAAATAGTCTTACAACACTCACATTCGGTGATAATTTTAACCAAGTAGTTCCACCTGGGACATTACCAAATAATCTCAAAACTCTCACATTCGGTTATTTTTTTAACCAAATAACCCCACCCGGCTCATTAACAAATAATCTCACAACACTCACATTCAGTAACTCTTTTAACCAAGTAGTTCTTCCTGGCTCATTACCAAATAGTCTTACAACACTCACATTCGGTGAGTATTTTAACCAAGTAGTTCCACCTGGTTCATTACCAAATAGTCTCACAACACTCACATTCGGTTATGATTTTAACCAAGTAGTTCTACCCGGCTTATTACCAAATAATCTCACAACACTCACATTCGGTGATAATTTTAACCAAGTAGTTCTACGTGGCACATTACCAAATAGTCTTACAACACTCATATTCGGTGATGATTTTAACCAAGTAGTTCTACCTGGTTCATTACCAAATAGTCTCACAACACTCACATTCGGTTATTGTTTTAACCAAGTAGTTCTACCTGGTACATTACCAAATAGTCTCACAACACTCACATTCGGTGATGATTTTAACCAAGTAGTTCCACCTGGCTCATTACCAAATAATCTCACAACACTCACATTCGGTTATTATTTTAACCAAGTAGTTCCATCTGGCACATTACCAAATAGTCTCACAACACTCACATTCGGTGAGTGTTTTAACCAAGTAGTTCCACGCGGTTTATTTAAAATTAATAAAAAATAAAGTTATCAGCCATGATTAATATTTTCCTACAAAATGGAAACAAAAATATATTATTTCTTTCAACTTTATAAAACCTTTGTTTATTTTCTTAATCAATATTTATAAAATAATAAACTATAAAAATCAAAATTTTTAAAAATCAAAATCCAAAATTTCATTTTTTCTTATGTATTATATTTTATATTTGTAAATATTATTTTTGTTTCATGATTTATATAGTTTGTAGAAAATTATTTGTTGTGTATCAGGTGTATTATTTTTGATTAATTAAAAAAATTAAAAAAAATAGAAAAATAATAATTTTTGAAATCAAATCTATTATTGCCTATAAAAACCTCATTTATTATTTATATTATACATGAGATATGGTTTTATTTATAATTATTTGTTATATAATGATGAACATGAAATAAAAATTAAAAAAAAAAAAAAAAAAAAATAAAGAAAGAAAAGACTATGTATTGTTTGTAATATCTTTATTTAATATATTTTATCAATTTTATGAATATGATAATATAGAACAAATATATATGATTGAGCTAAAAAAGGACGATGAGGACTTGTGGGTAAATAAAAAATAAATTTTCACATTTTAATTTAGCAGTAGCAAGTTTTTGAGTTTAATAAATGAATATGATTTAAAATTATCTTTTTGAATTGATTCTGATAATAATGGATTTATACCACAAATTGACATAACTATTCTCCTATTACTACTTGATCTTGAAACACCTAAACCTAAACTTAATTTATAAAGATCCACAGCATCATTATTATTAGAACCTTTGCCTGGAATAACTTCGCGATTTTGCGTTTTAAAACCAGTTTTTGCAATTGAGTTAAATGTAGGAAATTTTTCGTCTTAAAAAATAATATATTTACAAAAATAAACTATAGTACATGAAAAAAAATGAAATTTTGGATTTTGATTTTTATATTAAAGATAAATTGTGAATTTTTTTTATTTTTTAGAGATTAAAAATTATCGTTATCCTCACTTTTTACCGATTATCGTTATCGTATTCATTTTTCGATTTTTTTAACAAAAATTATCTCTTTTTTTTAAAAAAATTATTCATTTTTATTCATTTTTAATTTATAATATAATTTTAAAAAAAAAAAAAATACCATGTAATTGCTAAAAAATTATTAAAATTATAAATAAAAAGTCGTATTATAAAATTAATATAATTTTTATATTTTATATTTTTACAATAAATTTTATTAATTTTATTTTTTACAACAAATTTTATAAATAATTTAAATATAATTTTAAGGTTAAATTATAAAAGTTTACCTAATTTCTTTAAACCTTTACCAATTTCTTTACCGGCTTGGGAAGCAGCAGATTTATCTTTTTTGACCCAACCATTTTTGATTGAATAGCCTGGTGGACAAGCTTTGCCAGTGTATGGACCTGATGCTTTAGTACCTTTTGCAGCTTTGTGACCACTCTTCTTTTCTTTCTTTTTACTTTTTTCAAGACCTTTCTTTGACATACCTGGGAGACTATTTCTATAGATACTGTAATCATTTAAATATTGTGGTGGATGATATTGAATACCAAAGTTTTGTGCTGTGATTGCAAGTTTAACCTCACCATGTGGAACCCAGCTTAAATTTTCATCAGTTAAAACCTCTTGACCAAATGGAAGTTTACTTGGATCGATAGCTACAAAACCAATACAATCGTTTGAACCAATTTTATCGTGATCATAGACTTCGACTAAAACTAAATCATGAACTGCGTTACCTAATGTAATGACAAATGTTTCATTCCATACTGGGTTACTGAATTTGTAAAAAAAAATTAATATAATTATAAAATTGGTTTTCATATATGATTTTTAAATACATACAGAGTTTTATTTTGAACTTTAGTTTTAACTTCTTTTGAAGCACCTGATGGGGATCTGATTTTTACAAAAGGATCACTTGTTCCACCTACATCAGCTGCAATTAAATTTCCTAAAAAAATTATAAAATAAATTAGTTTTTTTTTAATATATTTATAAAATTAATGTTAATATTTACTTCCAGAGATAACTCTAATTTGAAGATGAGCAATTGGTGCACTAACAAATGATGCACCGGCTGGAAGAGGCATTGGGCCTGTAGTTGGTTTAAATGGTACTGGTGGTGGGACTGCATATTGTTGTGGTGGGTAACCGTGTTGTGGTGGATAGCCTTGTTGTGGTGGGTAACCTTGTTGTGGTGGATAGCCTTGTTGTGGTGGATAGCCTTGTTGTGGTGGATAACCGTGTTGTGGTGGATAACCTGGTAAAAAAAAAGAATAAAATATAAATATTTTTAAATTACGAATTTAATTATCAATAAAATGTAAATAATACCTTGTTGTGGTGGATAGCCTTGTTGTGGTGGATAACCTAATTGGAAGAAAAGTGAGAAAATAAATATTAAATTAATTAAAATAAATAAAAAATTATAATAAATTAAAAAAACAGCAAATAAGAAAACTATTTATTTATAGGGTTATGAGTAATTACCTTGAGCGCTCATATTAATTTTTTAGTGATTTCTTTATTTTATCTATATAGATTAAAAAAAATAAAATAATTAGAAAGTATTAAATACTTAATTTCCTAATAAAAAAAAAATTAAAAAAAATATTAAATAAAAATTTAAAAATAAATAACAAATAATAAACTAATTCTTTTAAAAAGAGTTTTAGACCATCCCCATCAAAACACTTCACTTTTTTATAAAATTATCTGTTTTTTTTTTTTTTTTTGGTGACACTTTTTGACATAAAAAAATTTTTTTATGCATAAAATTTATCAAAATGTTGCTGTGTATATTATTATTTTATTTTGTTTTATTTTTTTTTTTTTTTGGCTTTTAATTATTTTTTTGTTTGATTGTAAAATAATATTATTTGAAAAAAAAAATTAAAAAAAATTTTTTAAAAAAAAACTATTTTTTATTTTATTTTTATATTTTATGAAAATAGTTATAATAAAAATGAAATATCGATTATTTATTTTATTTTTTATTTTATTTTTTTTATTAAATTATAATTGCCCAGGGTTTTAAATTTAATTTTTCAAAAATTGAATTATAGTTTTTAATTGATTCGGATGGGTCATCTTCCAAGATTGAAATCTCCTGCCAAGTTAAAGCTTCATCCAATAACAATTGTTTTGATTGAGCATCTTCAAGACTCTCATAGAGTAATAATAATGATTTTGATTTGTATTTGACTGTTTCTTTATCATAGAGTTCTTGCTTGCTTGAGACATTGGTGACATTTTTTGAATAAAGTTGTTGAAGAGATGGAGTATATTTATCCAAAAGTGGGTTGGTTATAATATCTATACATTTGAGACAAAAATTTTCGAAAATAAATATTCTATTTCTAACAAATTGGTGGACAGCTGTTAAACGAAGATATGAGCAATAGGCATAAGAGTTCGTTGGTGCGAGTTTTAAAATATCTAATAGTGCTAAGGCCATATCGTCAATGACCTTAATGTCAAAACCAATACTTTCGTTGAATTTAATACGTGCTTCACTTGCATATTGAACAATATTTTCAATAGATTGATATTGGCCAGGTTCAGAGAGTGCACTAATTTGAGTAATATCACTAATGGTATCGTTGATATTGAAAATATTTGTTGTTTTTATTTCACCATCATAATGATTTAAATTGATTGAATATTTGTAATATTGAATATTTAGGACCGCTGATAATATACGAATCATTAATGATAATGACATTGTGTATGAAGGGTAAAAATAGATTGGTTGGTCCTTAATAAATTTGAATGCTTTAAAGATACAAAGACATGAGTCTCTATAGTATTCTTGAGAACAATAAATAGCAGAGAGTAAGGCTTGATTGAATAAATACTCTGTACCTTCAGTCGAGGATCTAGTGAATTCTTGATTTTTAATTTTACGATGAGCTTCTTTAAATTGATTTTGGAAAATTAAACAATATGCTGAATATTGATAAAACAGTGTATTGATTGTAAAGCTATGATTATATGATTTCTTTTTATCTAAATTTATTAATTCTTCCAATTTTTTTTCTCTAGATTCATTATTATTATTATTATTATTATTATTATTATTATTATTATTATTATTATTACTATTACTATTACTATTACTATTACTATTTTCTATATTATCATTATTTTCTATATTATTATTTTCTAATCTTTTATTAAATTGAATATTTGAAATTGATTCTTTTAATTGTTCAGTTTTTTCTATGTGTAAAATTTCTAAAGTTAAATCTTTAAATCCCTCACTATCATTTAATAAAATTAATAAACTTAAAAATTTTTTTTCATTTTCTTCAATTTTTAATTTTTGTTGTTTTTGTTTCTCTTCGAATGATAGTTGGTTATAAAAAGTTTGATTAATGGATGATGATTCTGGCTCCTCTTGTTCTAGTTCTTGTTTAAAATTGATAGAGTTGAAGTATTTTTCAATAATATAATTAATTGAATATAATTGGCCTTTAATTAAATATAAAGAAATTAATGATAAAAAATCAATAATTAAATCATTTTTAATCATTCGATCCAAGTTGTTGAAAATAACTTTATGTGAGAATTTAATTTGTTGCTCGATCTTTTTCCAATTACAATTGAATGAATATTTGAGTTTTAATGTTGAAAATGATTGAATTAGTTGAGAGACAGCAGCACTATTATTTAACTCGATATATTTTGGTAATAGATTGTGGACCATTTGCTCGCATTGAGATAGGAAATCTTGGTCATCTCTAATTTGGTTAGGTGGTAATGAACAAATTATAGATGAAAGCAATGCACAGGTTTTAGATATTTGTGGTAAAATTAATGGTGATGGTTGGGTAGAAATTGTTTGTAATTGATTTAAGGATTGAATACAGCACGAAACAGCCAATCCCAACTTCCAACTCCTTAGATAGATATCTGCTAAGCTATAATATACATTAGATAGTTGTAAAATGATCTCGAGTTGAATAGTTAGTTCATAGTTAATGTCATAGGTTTTAAAACAACCACTTGATTTTGAAATGAATGAGTTTAGTATTTTTGGTTTGATGTGTGACGAGATAAGAGGTAAAATACTCTGCATTGGGAGAGTTTGTGGTGGCGATTGTTTGAGAATTGATAATGCATTTTGAAGAAATGATTCGCCTTGTGAAAGGTAACCCATAGTAGTATAAGAGTCACCAATCTTTTGATAGGCTAAGGAGTATCTATGCCTTTCATTGAGATCTTTGATTTCAATTTGATTCGATCCAACTTTGAGATAATAGCCTTGGTGTAATCTTGAGCCAGGAAATAACTTTGATTCACCGAGTTCGAAATTGAATTCAAATAATTCATTTGGCCCATTGAATTTCAATTTTAATGCTTTAAAAATTGAAATAAAGTCACTGAAATTCTTAATACTTTCGGTGTAGCAATTGTTTTCAAAGCAAACCAAGCCAGCATGAAAAGTGTAATCTAAAGCTTTTGCACAGTTTTCTTTAACAGCCAAATCCGATTTGGAATAGTGATGAGCCATTAATTGATAATACTCGGTTATTGAATAGTGGCTATAGTTATTTTCTATCCATTTTGCTAGTATTAAATGATAAGCTCTCTTTTGTTGTTCGATTAAGGTACTATAGAGAATTTCTTGTAATGCCAATGATTTGAACCCATAGTATTTGTCCCATTCTGAATTTAATAAATCATATACAGTATCATCCATTTTATAACTATTCTTTGTTGTGTTATTACTATTATTACTGCAGTTTAAATTGTATAAGTCGTTTAATATATTTTCAATATTAATGCTATTGCTATTTAGAGTTGCTAAGTTTGAACTATTCTTGCTGGTGCCACCAAAAAATCTTCTTTCCCTTGATTTAAATACATAATCCTCTGATGAGAATAAGGGGGAGAAATTACCTTTAAATTTATTGTTATTATTGGTAACATTATTTTTACTTTTAAAACTATTTTGATGATTACTAAATTTGGAAATAATGGATTGGCTATGTTTTGAATCTGAATAAACACTACTATTTATGCTTGGTGAGTTATTTAATGATGATGAGTTTGATGAAAAAGTACTAGAATAATTTGATGAATCGTTTGAATCATATGAATGTGAGCTCATATTACTAAAGTTACTAAGAATAGAACTATTGTTACTGATATTGGCATTTTGATTTAAAAATGGTGGAAAGTGATTTTCAAAATGATGGATATCAGAACGTTGAATAACATTAAATAAATCAATATTGACCATTTTTTCTAATACTTGAGTTAATAGTTGTTTGGATTGGGTAATTGGAAAGAGTTGACTAATAAGGGAGAATGGGAATTTCGTTTGACCAATAGCTGAAGCGGTACGTAAAAGAATTGATGAACTTGATGCAATAGATGTACCAGTTTTTTTTAAGTAGTGATCTTCTACAGCCTGTGTAGGTTGTGGTAAACCTTTAATATGCACAAATGGTTGAATAAAAAATCTTCTGTGGAGTGAGCTTAGATATCCACTTTCTTTCAAAGAGCCAATATATTCGAAACAAATGAATGGATTGCCATCAGATCTTGCAATGATTACATCTAAAAGATTAGGTGCGACTGCTTTTGCACCCAAATGAAGTTTAACAATTTCTTTCATTGATTTTTCAGTAAATGGTTTTAATGTCATAAATTCGAAATTTGTATTTGAAATTGGGTCACGATATGCTAATTTTGAAGGAGCCTGTCTTCTTGATTTTTCTAACTCTGAATAGAATAGTAGCCTTTCCAATAGTTTCTTGTAAATGTGTGATAATTCACGGAAACGTTGATCAAATGTTTGTTTAAACTCGTCGATCTCTTGTTGAATTTTTTCGCTTTTTTCTTTTAATATATACAATTTAACGGTACTATAAGCTGCGATAGCTTCAAAAGCTTCCTCTTGAGTGTCATAAAGTTTAAAAGCTTCTTGCGGCCATTTGGAGAATGCCTTTCTAAACTCTTCCTCTACATGAGTTAACATTAGCTTGTATTTCATAATTTTGTTCTGTTGAAGAATTAAAATTTGATCTTTACTTGTCTTGAAACGCTTCTGATTTTCATTATATTTTAGCTTTATAATATTTATTAACTTTACCATATCATCAGGCAAGAGTGATAGTGAGTTGGTTGAGACTACAACAAGAATAGGTTGGACCTTTTGGAAGATACTTAAAAGCAAGTCGGTGGAATGTGGGTCGAAATTTTGAAAGTTGTCTAACAAAAATACCATTTGTCTACTTGATGTAACAGTTTGAAGGAATAAAATAATGATTTCAGAAATTCTTTCATGGACTGATTCGACATCTTCACAAATATTGATTTCAACGTCCATAGCCAAACCTAACAAAGGTAAATATTGGAAAAATATTAAATCGTCTTTGAAGTTTTGAATAATATATTTATAAAGTGCATCTGGATTTCGTTTATCTGGAGGGTTTTGACTTAAAAACATTTCTGTTGAGTGGTAATTTTCTTCAAGTTTACCTTTGTTTACAATGAATTCCATATAGAATATATCATAAATTACATTTATCCAGGCATTGAAAGGTCTATGTTTGGTCATTGGTGATGGTGAACTTGAAAATGTGTAGCATTCTGAGCCAGTGGAAATTCGATAGAATTCTCCTAGTAGAGCAGATTTACCTATACCTGGTTCACCTTCTAACAAAATAAATGTAGAGTTTTGATAGTTGATTAATTGTTGTAGGTGATCAATAAAGATATTTAGCTCTTCGCTACGGCCCAACAACGGAATTTTTGTTAGCATACGCTTTTGTAAACTTTCTTCTATGGGTTTGGATCTTGATTCCAATATATCGTTATGCTTATAGAATGATTCTGTGGTTAGGGCTGATAGTAAACCATTTTTATAGTAATCTGCTGTGCAATATGAAAGAGTTAAAGTCTCTTTATCAGTAAAAAAATTATAAATATTTACAACTTTATAATCCTCATCACAATATATATTACAAAATTTGGGTTCATCTTTTTTTCTTTTGGCGATGTCTGGTGCAATGTGAAAAGCATTGTTGTGAATTTTATCTGAAACTATTACTGGTCTATGCTTTGGTTGATCACTTGCTTTTTCTACCATTTTACGAAGGAATTCTCTAACATATTCTGGTATATCATACTTTTCATTAAAATAGATGGTTAATAACAATTTCATTACATAATGTAATCTTGAACCAATAACAACATATGAACTTCTATTTTTACAACCAACTAAACCAACTGAAACAAATTCGGCAAAAACCATCATATTTGAGCAAGTCAATGGTGAACTACTTTGTTTTAATAACTTGGAGCAAAGTTTGGCAATAGCTGAGGCACTATATACATGATTTGATGATGCAGAATCGTTTGATAAACCAACAGCAATAACAATAAAGGTACCTCTATCTCTCTCTATTACGTCAGTAATGGATCCACCGTAAACATGAGCTTTCTCTGCTACATTTATTAAAATCTCTTGAAAAAATGCTAAATTTTCTATTGAATAAGATAAATTGAACAAATGAATAACAACAAACGATATTCTTCTTAACTCCATCGTAGACTCTTTGACCTTGTAGACAAGTTCCATTTCACTTCTAGTATCAACATAGAGACCAATTTCATTTTCGCTATTGAACGATGACTGAAAATTTGGTGATAAGCCCCCATTAGAATTTGGTAATGATGCTTTCATCATTGCTTTCCTCATTAAAGAAACACCATTTTTCTTTAATAATGCTTCGTCTTGATCAATTTCCAATTGATTTGGGTGTCTTCTTAATGATTCTCTGTTATATCTTTCTCTGTCATTTATATTTAAATAATTTGGTGAAATTAAAGACCTAAGATGTGGTGGTAAATGTAAAAATAATAAACCCTTCATTTGAACTGCTAAATCGTTTGATAGACTACCAAAAAATGCTTCTAATGAAAATGGTGATGTTGAATAAATCTCTCTCATATTTTTAAATAGGTAATAGCCAATGGTTGATATTTGTGGTTTAAAAAAGCTTTCTCTTCTTTCATCCTGTAAAAAATTACCGATGGTCTCCCTTTTACCACTTTGATAGTCATACAAAACATACTTTCTACTAAGATTAACTACACTCTTATCGACAACAATTTGAAAAAATGTTGCTAATAGATCGGCCTCTTTTCTTCTTCTATTTTGCTTTGGTAGTACAACTTTTGGCTTGACTCTTTCTAAACTTAATTTTACTGGATAACCTTGAATATTTTTTAAAATTTCATAATCTCTAACAAGAGCATACATTTTTAAAAAACCTGGGCCACCATTTACAAAAGTAAAACTAAAATTTTTTTATAAAAAAAATAAAAAATAAAAATATTAATAAAATAATAATAATATAATATAATATAATTATAATTTTAACATACTTTTTATCGTCACCTAAGCTACCTAAAAAACAGTTACCAAAGCTAATAAATATATTAAAAAATGGATCTGTTTTTTTTAATTTTATATCTCTTTCTTTTTCTTCTTTTGTTTTTTCTTTATTTGTTGTTACATTTGATATTGATGATGATGAATCTATTGCTGGGTTAATTGGTGAATTTGGTTGTGATGGTTTTGATGGTTGTGATGATTGTGATTGTTTTGATTGTTGTGATGGTATTGGTATTGGTTGTGGTGGATGGGACTTATGTGATGATGATGATGATGATGATGGTGGTGGATGAGACTTATGTGATGATGATGATGATGATGATGGTGGTGATGGTGACGAACTTGCTTGATTAGCTTGGCCAATTATATTGTTGTCAGGTTCGTTTAAACTACTTAAATCACTAGTTGTAGTAATATTTGTATTGCTTTCATTCTTTGGGACAGGTGATTCGAAATCGTAACTATTTTCATCCTCAAAATTAATTGATGTATCAATAATAATTTTTTTTAATGCCTCTCTAAGTCTTCTTGCACATCTAATTGCTCTTATGCAAAGATATGCTTCATTAGAGTTTGGTTCGCTATTACTCCATGTAGCTACAATTTCTGATCCATTGAAATTTCTAATAACATCACCCCCTATAAAAATTATTGTTTTGAAAAAATTAATAAAATTAAATTTTATAAAAAAAAAAAAAATTTTAAAAAAAAAAAATTTTAAAAAAAAAATTTTAAAAAAAAATGATGTATACTTACTTTCATCACAAATAATTTTATAAGATTCCTCTATAAATTTTGTATAATTTGAACGCCAAAAATAATTTTCACCCAATACAGAGTAAAACTTTAAGCACATAACTGGCATTAATGTATTTGTTATATTGATTTTATTTGGATCCAAAGGAAAGGGATTTATTAAATAATTATCGATGGTTAAAAAAGGAAGAAGATTTGACGATTTTAATACTCCTCTTGCTCTTTCGACATCTTCTTTTTCATAAAACCTATTCATTTTATTTTATTTTTATATCTAAATATTTGATTCTAAAAAAATATATTGTTATTTGACTATTATTGATACAATTTTTTTTTTTACGATGGGTGTGTTGATGTAATAAAAAAAAATTTTATATATATTTTATTTCAATTTATTAATCAATTCTGTTATTTAGCATTATTTATATTATTTGTATTTATAATATATATTTTTTTAAATCTTTTTTTTTTTTTAAATCTTTTTTTTTAAAAAAAAAAATTTTGGGTTTGAACAATTTATTTGTTTAGATATTATTTACTATATATTGTTTATAATTTATTATTGATTTTTGTTTATTGTATACAGTTTATTGTATATTTTGTATTTTATTGAAATTAATAATAATGATATTGCACACAAGTAATTCGTTGGTTGTGTTTTATTTAAAAAAAAAAAAAAGAAAAGAAAAAATTTAAAAATTTTTAAAAAAATAAAAAAAAAAAAATTAAAATTTTTTTTTTTTTTTTATAAAAAAAAATTTTATATTTTAAAATCTAGTGTGGGTTATTTTCCTCCAAATATATCAAATGTTTTTCTGAAGTTTGAAAAAAAAAATTTTGTGGATATTGATGAAAATTGTTTTAGGCAGTATTTACTTTTTCAAAATTTAAATAAAAAAAAAAAGAGATATTCAATATTTGTTTAAAAACATATATTATAAAATTTAAAAAACAGTGTGTAAATCTGGATATCAGACAAAAAAATAAAAAAAATAAAAATAAAAAATAAAAAATAATAAACTCTAAAAAAAAATTATTATTTTTTATAGCTATATTTTATTATTTATTATTTTTTATATTATTTATATTATTTTTTTTTATTATTTATTTTAATTTTTTTTTTTTTATAATTACGAATTTTTTTATTTGTATTTAAAATTGGAAACCTAGCAACCCAAGAGTAGATTTTAAAAAAAGTGCCCGTAATACATTTTTTACCAACAACATCCTCATTTTTAAAAAAAATTATTATAATAATTTTTTAAAACTATATTTATAAAAATCTCGAAATTTTTTTTTTTTAAAAATAAATGTTTAATTTTTTTTTAAAATATTAAGATAAAATTTCTGGGGGATGTTTTTTCTTTTTAAGTATTATAATGGGTTTTAATGGATCGATGGTTTGGTATAAAATGTTGAATTTTGATCAAAATTCCGCAAAAAAATATGCATGGAAACATATTTCATAAATTCTGCACCTCAGCAAAATAAATTGATTTATTATGTGATTACTATAATTTTAAAATAAAAGTTATATTAATTTATTTCTTTATTATAGCTTTGTTAAAAACAAAGATGCAAATATAAATCAAAATTAATTCATTCCAATAAAGTAATTTATACTGAATGTAGTATCTATACCAAGTTCAGAAACCATCATATTAAAAAAACCATTCATCTTTATAAATTTAATTATAAAAATTTTTATATTAATATATTAATTATATATTTATCTATGCATATTTTATTTGTTTTATTTTGTGTGTAAATCTTCATTTTTTAAATGCTTGAGGACCTGGGAATTTTTTAAAAAAAATAAACTTATAAAACAAACTTAAAAAAAATTAGGTATCACAAAAAATATCTCTAAAAAATCACCTTGAGAAAAAAAAAATACAGGTTTTTTTTTTTTTTTTTATAAAAAATATAAAAATATAAATATAAAAAAAAAATTTGAGAAATTTTTGTTTTTAATTTTTCATCACAAAATTTTTTTTAATCATCATATTTTTTTATAAATTTTATTTATAAATTTTATTTATAAAAAAAAATAATCTTTGAAAAAAAAAAATGAAAAAATTTTTATTTTTATTTTTATTTTTATATTTTTTTATAAATTTTATCGATTGTCAAACCTCCTATAGCTGGAATATTGATTATAATCTTAATGAAAATTATTTCTTTCAAGATCAAGCAAATTGGCTTCCAGTTGGTGTCCCAGGAGCATTAGATGATGCTACAGTTATTAATGGAGGTATCGTTACAAATTATTTACAAAACACAAAGGTAAACAAATTTAATTTATACGATGGATATCTCATTAACATTGGTATTATGAATATCACTGATAGCTTTACAAATTTTGGTTTTGTTATGTTATACAATGGTGGAGGGATTGAATCTAAAGATTTTTCAACTATGGGTTTAACCACCTGTTCGCAATATGACAAACAAAACGAATTTGATTGCTATTTACAACATTCGGAAATTAATATGTTTATAGGTAGTCGTTTTGAAGTTAATGATCTTGCTTCCCTATCGTTATACAATGATTCAATTACAATGATCTCAAACTCTCGAATTGTTTCTGGTTTAAAAAGCCATATTGCTTTAAAGGGTAATGGTATTATAATGATGGAAGAATCATCAATAGTTAACTCAAAGGGAGGATCCTTTTATTTTGATAATAACGTAACTTTAACTGATACAGCATACATTAGAGTTTCTAATTGTATAATAAATCAGTTCGGATATATGAGTTTTTTGGTAATTATAAATTATTTATTTTCTTTATACTATTTCCAAAATATTAACATGCTTCTCACTTTATAATATTTTAGGTAAATTCATCAATGGTGTTAGAAGATAAATCAAAATTGTATTCAGAGGATAGCTTATGGGTGTTCGACGATGGTTGTATTGTTGTAAATACCAGCTCTACGGCATTCTTTAAAAAAGAGGTTTATTTCGCAGATTCTAGCTATTTATTTGTCACAGGTGGCTCAATAGTTTGGATTCAAGGAGAATTATTTGCATCACTTGAAAGTATTCTATCTGCATGGGAAGGTTCAGTTATTTACATTCAAAACAATGCAACATTTGGGTCAGTTATTTTAGAAAGCTCAACTTTGATTGTAGAAAATACTTGTTTTATTGATGGTGTTCTCTTTATAGATCATGGCAAAATTGTTGTTAATGGTGTTTTTACTTACAATGCTTTAGCTGGCCTATTTATTAATGCTACAGTTGAAAACACTGGTGATTTCGATTTATTTGGTAATATTATGGCTAATTTTACAAAGTTTGAAATCACTAAAGGTAATTTTAATGTCTATGATTATGCATTTTTAGTTCTTTATGACTCATCTGTTAAAGTTGATGGTTTCATCTACATTTCAAATGAAAGCTATATAGAAATAGAAAGAACTGATTTCTTTGTATCAGATATGGGTCAAATGGAAAGTAAAGGTAATATTTATTTGAACCAAGAGACCAATTTCAATAATGTTGGTACATTAAATATTCATTCTGGTATTTACTATACAAAAGATTTATCAATTAAAACAAGCGATGTTGCAGTTTCAAATTCAGGCACTTTTAATGTTAAAGAAAAGATAAATATAAATGTAAGTATAAATTTATGTGACATATATTTATATAAAATTAGATTATTAATTTTGTAATATAATAATATTATTTTAAAATAGGTTGGATTTAATAACAAGGGTACATTAAATGTAAATAAAAACGAATTATTTGTATATGACTATAGTCAAACCAATGGTTCCATTCAATTATCTGGTGGTTCAATTAGTAGCGATAAGCATTTTAAAATTAATGGTGGTCTTGTCGAGGGAAGTGGTTCCATTAACAACTCTGTCTCTCAAACAAACGGTGTTATTGGATCTAAAAGTAAAATTAATAATATTAAAGTAAATGGTAATTTAATAGCAACTGAATCAAGTAAAATGATTTTTGTTGTCGACTCTATTGAATCTTTCAGTACATTAGATATATTAGATGATATTGACTATAATGGTGAAATTGAAATTAGATTTAGTATCGACTTTATTCAAGATTTACAGAGTGGAAAATTAAAATTAGAAAATAAAACAAGTCAACTAAATACAAATAATTTACAATTAGCCTCATCATCATCATCATCATCATCATCATCATCAGACGACTCTCTTAAAATTAATTTAATTAATTTTAAAAGTAATAAAAACAAAAATGGTTTAAATAATGTTTTATTTAAAACTTATGACCCCAAGAACAGTAATGATGAAGCTAAAAACTATGATGGTTGTGGTGTTTCAACATCTAAATCAGATAAATCCTTCTCACTTTTATTTAATGGAAATAGCTGTGGAGGTGGCTCAAAATTAAAGGGTGGAATTATCGCTGCAATTGTAATATCATGTGCTGTAGTTGTAGTTTTGGTAGCTTTAGTCGTCCATTACCGTGAACGTTTAAGATTCTTTTCAAAAACTTCAAAAGTAGGAACAAAATTCAAGAGTTTTAGAAAAAGTATAAGAAATAGTGTAAGTTTAAAATCAACAAATAAAGAAAATAATGCTTAATAAAAAAAAAAAAAAAAAAAATAGAAAATAGATTAAATAAAATAAATAAAAAAATAAATAATAAATAAAAATAAAGATAAATAGTTTTTTTTTTTGTTCTTAATTCTTTTTTTTTTTTTTTTTTTTTTTTTGATAAAGCAAAATAATAAAAACTGGTATATTTAAATAAATGGAAATTATTTATTTATTTGATGTTTTTTTTTTTTTGCAAACTGGGTGGGGAAAAAAAAAAAAAATTATTTTTTTTTAATTTTTTATTTTTTTAATTTTTTTTTTTTTTCATGAATGAAACAAAGTTCAAAAAAATTAATTTTTCGGACATATTAAATAATTTATTTCACTTTTCAAAGCATTAAATATAAATATAATATTCAAAAATGACAGGCACAAGAACTTTTTTTGTTGGTGGTAATCATAAAATGGTAATTTTAAATAAAAATAAAAAATTAATAAAAAGAATAATTTATATTAATATATTTTTTTTAATTTTAGAATGGTTCAAAATCAATGTTAGAATCATTATGTACTGGTTTAAATGAACAAGTCGAAAAAAAAGATAATGTTAAAGTTTTTATTGCACCATCATATCCATATTTAGACTTTGTTAATAATAAATTAGATTTAAATAAAATTCAAACTAGTGCACAAAATTGTTATAGTGAAGCTAAAGGTGCATTCACTGGTGAAATTAGTGCCAATATGGTTGTAGATCTTGGTATTCCATACGTTATTATTGGTCACAGCGAAAGAAGAAATGTTTTCAATGAATCAAACCAACTTATCACAAAAAAAACCAAATATGCCATCTCTTTAGGTCTCACTGTTATTCTTTGTCTTGGTGAACATTTAGCTGATCGTCAAAATAACAAGACTGAAAAAGTTTTAGACTCTCAATTAGAAGATTTCAAATCATTCTCTGCTGATGAATGGAAGAAAATCGTTATTGCATACGAACCAGTTTGGGCTATCGGTACTGGTGTTGTTGCTTCTCCACAACAAGCTCAAGATACCCATGTTTACATTCGTAAATGGATCGCTGAAAATGTATCCAAAGATGTTGCCAATCAAACCAGTATCATGTATGGTGGTAGTGTTGGTGCTTCAAATTGCTCCGATTTATCAAAACAAGCTGATATCGATGGTTTCTTAGTTGGTGGTGCCTCTTTAATTACCAATGATTTTGTCACCATCATAAAATCTGCCACACCAAAGACTTTCTGAATGTCTAATCTTTAAAAAAAGAAAAAAAAAGAAAAATCACTATAAAAATTAATGATTTTTAAATAAAATAAATTATTTATGTATATAAAAAAAAACAGATAATAAAAATATAGTTTCAATGGTTTTAGTTTTATTGTTTTTTTTTTTTTTTAAAAAAAGGTAATAAATATTAAAAATCCTTTTGTTTATTTTTTTTTTTTTATAATTTTTTTTTTGGCTGCTGTTGGTGCTGCTTTCTTTTTGGCGATTCTCTTATGCTTTGGAGGTTCTTCATTTTCTATAAATAATAAGTTAATATAAATTTTTTTTTTATTTTTACAAAAATAATTTAATTACCCAAGGCATATCTTTGAGGTGGTCTAATATGGCCTCTTCTTGATGAAACCAAATCAAGATTTTCGAGAGGATTGCTTGATTGTCTTGGAGTTCGTTTCTTTTTAGCAACAACTGGCTTGGAATCTGTCATCTTTGTAAGGTATTTAATTCTAATAGAGTAATTATAATAATAAAGTTGGTATAAATAAAAATAATAAAAAAAAAAAAATAAAAAAAAGTATCAACACATAAAATAAAAATTTTTATTTTTATTTTTATTTATTTATTTTTTTGTTTTTATTTTTATTTTTAATCTTTTACAATACTTCACACACACTATCAATTATTGTTATTTTTTATTAATATTTCATTGTTTTTTTTTTTTAAAATATATAATAATACTCACACTCTGTATCGTAATAAAAAAAAAAAAAAATTTCAAAATTAGATTTGGAATGAAAGAAATTTATTTAATGTGTAATGTATTATTTATTTTTTTACAATTTATTTTTATTCATCTATTTTAATCATTTTTCACTTTTTTTTTTAATATTAAATATTTGAATTTTCTAACCCAAACAATGACAAGGTTGAAAGGTTTTTTTATAATCGTTATCAAATAGATTTTATTAATTTTTTTATTTATTTTTGAATTATAATTTTACAGTTTATCCAGTTTCAAGTACACTGTTTAAACTGTGGCTTATCAAAAAATAATAAATAAAAAAAAATAAAAAAAAAATGGAAAAATTAAAACACATTAATTTAAAAAATTTTAATGTGTTTAGAAATTTAAAAAAAAGATATTAACATTTTATTTTATTTTATTTTTATTTATTTATAATTATTAGTTTCTTATTTATTCAACTTGATCAATATTTTCGAAAATAATTATATGTTCCTTGTTTTTTGAAAAGAAATAATTTCAAATATTTGTGAATTTAACATTTTAATAGGTTCATTATTTAATAAAATAATTATTTTATTAAGAATTTCTCCTATTAAAAATGATAAATTTTACAAACATAAAACTAGAAAGTGGCTATTAACTATGAGTTGATAATCCTCTTTTAAAAATTAAATAATAGTTTATTTTAAAAAATACAGACTCATTTATGATCTATTTTTATTATGTCTCATATAAAATATTTATTATCTATTGTTATATAATTTTTTTTTTTTAATCTTTATTTCTTTTGGGACTATTAATAGAATAATAAATAATTTGTAAAAAAAAAAAAAATTAAAAAAAAAATAATTAATAAAAAAAAAAAAAAAAAAAAAAAAAAAAAGAAAAAAAAAGAAAAAAAGAAAAAAAAAGAAATTGTTACTGTTTGTCGCTGCTGACTGAGATGACTAACTACTTTCTTAAAAATAAACTTAAATGTATAAAAAATTTAATTGAAAAAAATTATTAAAAAAAATTTAAAAAAAAATTAAATATTTAAGAATTATTTTTTAATTAATTTTTTTTCCTTTTTTTTTTTTAATATAAAATTTAACTTTTAAAACTTTCAATTCATTTTTTATATTTGTAACACAAACAAGCACAAGTAAATATTAATTTAAATAGACAAATAAATTTAAAAAAATTATAACAAAAAAAAAATATTAATTTTATTAGTAATAATTAATATTATAAATATAATTTTTTTATATTATAAATAATTAATATATAAAAAAAATTTTAAATAAATATTAACATTTTTTTTTTTATTTTAATTTTTTATTTTATATTTAGTTTTTTTTGTAACATTTTTATATTATATATTTTTAAAGAAAAAAGAAAATAATTATTAAATTAAATTCAATATGCAAATTTTTGTCAAAACTTTAACTGGTAAAACCATCACCCTCGAAGTCGAAGGTTCAGATACCATTGAAAATGTTAAAACCAAAATCCAAGATAAAGAAGGTATCCCACCAGACCAACAACGTTTAATTTTCGCTGGTAAACAATTAGAAGATGGTCGTACTCTCTCTGACTACAACATCCAAAAAGAATCTACCCTCCATTTAGTTCTCAGATTGAGAGGTGGTATGCAAATTTTTGTCAAAACTTTAACTGGTAAAACCATTACTCTTGAAGTTGAAGGCTCAGATACCATCGAGAACGTCAAAACCAAGATTCAAGATAAAGAAGGTATCCCACCAGACCAACAACGTTTAATTTTTGCAGGTAAACAATTAGAAGACGGTCGTACTCTCTCAGATTATAATATCCAAAAAGAATCTACTCTCCATTTAGTACTTAGATTAAGAGGTGGTATGCAAATTTTTGTCAAGACATTAACTGGTAAAACTATTACTCTTGAAGTCGAAGGTTCAGATACCATTGAAAACGTTAAAACCAAGATTCAAGATAAAGAAGGTATCCCACCAGATCAACAACGTTTAATTTTCGCCGGTAAGCAATTAGAAGATGGCCGTACACTCTCTGACTACAATATTCAAAAGGAATCTACTCTCCATTTAGTATTAAGATTAAGAGGTGGCATGCAAATTTTCGTAAAGACTCTTACCGGTAAAACTATTACATTAGAAGTTGAAGGCTCAGATACCATCGAAAACGTTAAAACCAAGATTCAAGATAAAGAAGGTATCCCACCAGATCAACAACGTCTTATCTTTGCAGGCAAACAATTAGAAGATGGTCGTACCCTCTCAGACTACAATATCCAAAAAGAATCTACCCTCCATTTAGTTCTCAGATTAAGAGGTGGTATGCAAATTTTTGTCAAAACATTAACTGGTAAAACCATCACCCTCGAAGTCGAAGGTTCAGATACCATTGAAAACGTTAAAACTAAAATCCAAGATAAAGAAGGTATTCCACCAGACCAACAACGTTTAATTTTCGCTGGTAAACAATTAGAAGATGGTCGTACTCTCTCTGACTACAACATCCAAAAAGAATCTACCCTCCATTTAGTCCTCAGATTGAGAGGTGGAAATTAAAAGTATTTGTTAACATTAAAGCAGCAAACCAATCGGGGTTACATCACAACACAATTTCCTTTTTATCAATTAAATTAATAAAGTTTAGTATTTTCTTTTTTTTTTTAAAGTAACATTTTATTTCTTTTTGATTTAAAATTTTATTGGTTTATACTTTTTCAAACTAATATGATAACCATTTACAAAATGATAATAGTAGGATAATAGGATAATAATATGGGTAATATAATTATAACTTTTTATTTTTTAATAAGAAAAAATATGAAAATAATAAAGACATTAGAATTATAATTTTCCATGTCATTTTTAATATTAAAGTAAATAAAAAATTAAACATTAAATCTTTAGTTTTAAATATTATATACATTAAACTTTATTTTAAATTATTAATTAAAAAAAGTTTCAAATAAAAAAAAAAAAAAAAATTTTAAATTTATAATTTTCTCTGCCCTACTATTTCTTTCTTTCTTCTTTTCTTCTAAAAAATCTAACTGAATGTAATCTAACCTTTAATAAAATATCAATGTTTTTTTAAATGTATTAATTTAAATTGTTGATTTCTAAAATTTTAGAAAAAAAAAAAAAGAAATAAAAAGAGTTTTGTTTAATTATATTTTAAATTCTCTTTTTTTCTTTAAATTTTATATTTTTCTAATTAGTTTAAAATCAAGCAATTATTATATACAGATACTAATACTATTAATTTAATTATTGATATTGTTATTATTATTGTTGAATATTTGGTTAGATTATTTCTAATAAAATTATTTGATTTTAAATATATTATTAAAGTTGTTGTTGCTGTTGGAGTTTAGCTTGTGTGATTGGGTTTTCTGGAGATTTTAACCATTCTTTCCAAAGTAATTGTTTAACTTGAGTTAATCTTAAACTTGGGTTTTCTTTTCTGAGAATTGGAAGGTTAACCTCTTCGTAAGCAGCAAAGGCAGCTTTCATTCTACGTTCTGGGTGTTGGTCAGCACCTTTATCAATAGAGAGGGCACCGATAGCATCGTTAATATCTCTGGCTTCAATAGCATTACCTCCTTCCTTTAATCTTTGTTCACGAAGGATATGATTCATATTTTCTTCAAGGTCAAAGGTATCTTCTTCATCAGAGTTATGTTCAGAGGATGTAGTAGTGGTAGTAGTAGTCTTTGGGACAACTAATCTTGGGTCAGCATTAGCAGCAGCAACTCTTTCTCTTTCTCTTTGTTCTTTTTCTCTTTGTTGATTAATTTCGAAACGAGTAACTTTGGTATCAGTTGGCTTACCATATTTAGCTCTATTTTCCTCTTCTTCTTTTTTTAATAATTCTCTAGCCTCTTTTTTCTTTTTCAATTCTTCCATTTTCTTATCTTCTTTTTCTTTAAGTTTTTTTTGTTTGGTTATAATTTTTTCATCAGTTTCTTCCCAGAGTTTATCTTCTTTTTCTTTTATCTTTCTTTCGTTTTCATTCTTTTTAACTTCGTTTTTTTTAGCACGAGCTTCTTCTGATTTACTGTTTGCTCCAAATTTTTTACCTGCCATTTTTTATTTAATTTTATTTATTTATTTATTTATTTATTTTATTTAATAAATATAAAAATATGAACACAAAAATATAAAATTTTAAAATAATGAAAAAAAAAAAAAAAAAAATTTTAAAAATAAAAAAAAATTTTAAATTTTAAAAAATTTTCCCTTTTTTTTTTTTATTTTTTTTATTTAATTTTTTCTTTTTCTTTTATTTTTAATAATTATTTTTTCAAGAAATAATTTATAATAGGTGTTAATAACCATTATTATTATAGTTTAAAGATTATAATATTATAAAAATAGATATGTAATATGATTACATTTAATATTCAACTTAACTTAATAAATAAAATTATTATTTTATTGTTTACAATATATAACCAAATTAATATTATCAACTCTGCTGATACAAATGGCACAAGCACAAATAGTTCATCATCAAGTTCAGAGTATATAGTTGGTAGATTTTATTTTCAACATTTCTTAATTATTATATTTGTTGTTGGTATAATGGTATTGTATAATTTTTTAAAAAAATAAAAAATAAAAAATAAAAAATAAAAATTATTAATAAAATTTAATTATTATTAGCTATTTTTATCATTTTCATTGATCCAAGTAAGAATTAGATTAAAGAATCGTATGATTGATAGAATACCTAGAAATATTATGCCATTTTTAAGACCTGGCGATTTATCAAATAAACAGAGAACCATTATTTTAAATGAAATCGTTAGATCAAAACAAATTCAGTCACAAATCGAACCAATAATGATTGGAGATTCACCAACAATTAGTCATTTAGGGTGGGGTCCACCAAATACAGGTTACAGTAAAGTTCATTTTAAAACTTCAATAGCAAAGAGTTGGATCGTTTTAGAAAAAGCAGCAACCCATTACAACCCAGAATTAAAAAGAGATACAAAGCTGTGTATTAGAGACTATGTAGAGTTCCTATTAGAAAAATGCCCACAAATAGAAAAGAAGTTTGCTTATCATTACATCGATATTTATGAATGTGCTAGATTTAGTGACCAAGAATTTACCTTAGAAGAATATACAGATTTTATGTCAAATCTAATTGAACTAATTAAAACTATAGGTGGTGTTAAGGATGAAAATAACAATATAGATGCAAGTGGTAGTACCAATAGAAATAGTGATAAATTTAATTCAATTATCAATGACAACGAATATTATAATTTTACAAGCAATCAATTTAATAATGACATTAACGATTTAGTTAATCAAGAAGGTATACCGATAAACTATAAACTTAAAACAAATTAATTAATAAATAGACAATATACATATATTTTTTTTTTTTTATAATTTTATTCTTTTTTTTTTTTTTAGTAAGACTCATTCATATCACCATCGTCATCGATTTCAATTTCTTCTTCTTCATTTAATGCGATTGGATCAGCCCATGTTTTCCAAACCTCTGGACCTTGCTTTAACTCTTTATCGGTTAATAAACAATTGTTTAATTCTTTTTCTATTAACTCTTGGTTCATTTTATTCCCAATGAATACAATTTCTTGTCTTCTATCACCAAAAGGTTCTTCCCACTTTTCTCTGATCATTTTTTGAATTTCTAAACTTGGATATTCAGATTTTTTTAAATCAGCTAACCAGTAACCATAATTTAATATAGTCATACTTATACCAGCAATATTCCACATACCAATTAGCTCTGGTGTAGAGGCGACCCATGTAAAACCTTTAGAACGAAGAACACCACCAAAAACTTTTGAACCTTTACCAATTACTTTATTTAAACGCTCAGAATGAAATGGACGACGAGCTCTGTAAATAAAGTTTCTAATACCATACTCGATTGTTTCTGGAACATGAGTACCTCTTAACTCTGCTAACCAACCTGGGTGTTCACTTGCTTTTTTGAAATCAAATAAACCGGTATTTAAAATTTTATCTAGAGGAACTACTGATTTGGTTGATCTTAATATTTTAGCATCTGGGTTAATATGTTTTACCAAACCTTCTATTTGATCTATTTCTTCTTTATCAACAAGATCACATTTGTTTAAGAGAATAACATTACTAAACTCGATTTGGTCTACCAATAAATCAACAATGGATCTTTCATCTTCTTCTGTAACACCCATTTCTTTATCTTTTAAGCTTTCACCAGATAAGTACTCTTCTAGGAAGGTTGAACAATCAACTACGGTTACCATTGTATCTAATTTGGTGTAATCCTTAAGGTTTTCAATAGAGCCATCAATTTCAAAGGTAAAAGTTTCAGCAACAGGTAGTGGTTCGGAAATACCAGATGATTCTACAATTAAATAATCAAACTTTCTTTCTTTTGCTAATTTTGTAACTATATAAAATGATAAAATTAATATTTGAAAATATTAAATAAATTTAAAAAAACTCTATTACCTTCAATTAATAAATCTTCTCTCAAAGTACAGCAAATACACCCATTTTGCATTTCTACAACGGCATCAACTGTTTTTTCAGAAGGAACAGTTCTAGAGATTTTAAAACCATCTTTAATTAATCTAGCATCAATGTTAACTATAATAAAAAAATAAATAGTTAATATGTTTTATTTTATTTAATAATTATATAACTATATTTACCCTCGCTCATATCATTGACTATTACAGCAATTTTTAAACCATGGTTAGAGTTTAAAACATAATTTAATAGAGTAGTTTTACCAGATCCTAAGAAACCAGAAAGAACTGTAACCGGGAGTTTTGGGAAATCTTTAATTTTTAATTTATGAATCATCTTTTTATAGTTGTCTTGATTGGATTTTAAATAGTGTTTGTGCATTTTTGGAGTTTTTTTATTGTTATTTTTTGTTGTTATTTTGATTGCTTGTTTCATTTTATTTTGTTATAATTATTTTATTTTTATTCTTTATTTGTTGGAGTTTTTTTTATGAAAAATAATTGTAATTACAAATATTTATAGTTTTTTTAATGATTTTATATTTTTATAAAATTAAATGAAAAGGTGTACGGAGTGTATGAACGGAGTGCAGCTAAAAAAGGAAGGGAAAAATTAGGGCGGTGAATTTGCTATTTTCCATTTTGGTATTTTTTAACAAAGTGAAAACGGAGTAGAAATAGATATTCAGACGGAAATAAAGTAAAAAAAAAAAAAAGAACTTGTAGTTAAAAATGACTGATCAAAATCCACTTCGCAAAACGAGGTGTTTTTTTTTTTTTTTTTAATTTTTTTTTTTTTTTTTGAAAAAAAATTATTTTATGGAACATTTTATTAAATATAAATTTATATTTGATTCATAAATTTGAATGATAAATTTGGCTATATATAAAAGATTTCTCCTTATATTGAAGACTACTTGATAAGTATAATCACAAGTTATTATGATAAATATATATTAGTTTTTATATTGGTAAAAAAGTAAAATTAAAGGTAATTTTAACCAAGATGATGTGCCCCTGCTCCATATAGACCCTGATAAGGTTTACATTGACATAAAATTTTTTTGTTTATAATTTTATTCTTATAAAAAAAGTAAATATTCGATTTTTGAGGTTAATAATTTTTATTTTTATTTTTATTATTTATTTGAACTAAATTCTTTTAAAACTGGTACATCACTTAACTTTTCTGGGTAATTTATATCTAGTGAAATAAATTTTTTTAATTTTTTTCTATTATGGTAATTTAGTGATTGCATTTCCACTATTAATCGGCCGATATTTGATGACATGGTACCAATAAAAACTTGACAATTTGAAGCTATATGGGATTCAGCATATAAAATTGATCCATAATCGTTTATGGGCTTATCTATATCTAAATCACTATCCTGATGCCAACCATACATATTTCTTTTTATATCTAAATAATTGAATGTAAAATTTGCCATTATATCTTGAGGGTTATCTTTTAGATATTTTATTTTGAATTGAATTTGGTTTATAACACTTTCATCATCTGTTAATATAAAAATATCTTTTATCTTTTGATACTCTTTATTATTGAAATTTTGTTTATAAAAATTTTCCAAAACGGTATAGTATTCCTTGAAATCGAATAAATCATTTTCTTGATATTTATCACCATGTCTTATATGTATTGATATGCAAGGTGGTATGAAAGGCTTTTTAAAAGTCTCCAAAATTCTTTTATTAATTGACTCTCTTAGTTGAAATGTTGGTGTAACTAGATAATGTAACAAAATTGAATTAATAGCTAATGAATCTTTAAAATTTACTTTTATCTCTGGGGGAATAAAATTATCTTTGAACAAGGTCAAGTGTGATTTTTCATCTGAAAATATAACCAATCTATCGTCATACTGGGTATTAATGTGTGAATAGAAAGGATACAACTCTAACTCTTCTCTATTATAATCAATAAAATCACACCTATAAAAAAATTTTAAGATTTTAATTTTAATTTATCAAATGTATATATATATATATATAGTTACATTGAAGTTGGTAAAAATAATTCATTATATAATCCATAATTAAAACAACCCTGCTCTATAATTAACATTCTATTACTATTTGATGTATGAATAAATAAATTTATATTAATATGCAATATTGATGTCATACCCCAACACTTTAATTCATTAATTAAAGATCTTATATTTGTACAATTGATATTATTAGCACCGTTGTTATTATTGCTATTATGTATACCTGGAAATTGAATTTTACTATATTTAATAATTTCATTTGAAAATTTTGAATAGGGATTTATACTTGATAACTCTACGAATTGATTTAAATAACTATTACTTTTAAATGGATGGTTGGTTATTTTATAATGTTTATAATAAGTAAGAAATAAATCTAAATCCAAATGAAACTTATTATAATCTATTGAATATCCATATACAATTACATGTGAAAATAAATTAAAATTATCGCTATAGTTATATCCTAATAATTGTTTTAATATTTTGAAATAATAAAGAGGGCCACTACTGTCAGAATTTGGTAAAACTAATATTAATGGACTATTAATTGCCTTTCTAATATTATTTGTGATTTTGTATCCTTTAATTTTTATTTTCCTTAACTCTTGTTTTAAAAAAGGTTCAAATAAATGATAAATATTAATATATTCATCATTTTCTAAACCATAGTTATTATAAGTAATATTATAAATATATACATAATAATAACCTTCTTTTTTTGAACTTAGATAATAGTTATCCAATCCAACATATGCATTATCTTTTGAAATAAATGGAATAATATTTTTATTATTTCTATTATATATATTAATGTTGTTTAAGTTACTATTATTTATATTATTATTATTATATATTATATTTAAAAAACTATTTTCGTTTTTTAATACATTTAGATTTAATAAAAATATTGAAACTATTAATAAAAATAATAAAAAAAAAAACAATAGTTTATAAATTGTTTTTTCTATAATTAATGAAACCAATAATAATATTACAACCAAAGTAACTATAGATACTCCTAAAACCAAAACGAACATTCTTATTTAAACATATTATATTTAATGATCATAATTAAAAAAAAAATATAAAAATACAAATTAATAAAAAAAAAAAAAAAAAATACAAATTAATAAAAAAAAATAAAAAAAATATTTTTATTTAATCTACAAATTTATTTATATTACCCCCATAAATATTATATATAAATAAATAAATAATATGTACTGATAATATTTAAAGCTTATTTTATTTATTATACTTTAAGTTCATTAATAAAAGATTGATTTTTTTACTAATCAATTTTTTATTAATCTTTTCTAAAAAAAAAAAATTTTAGAGTGTTTTAAATAGATAAAAAATATTTTTTATATTGAATTTAAAAAGAACAATAGGTTACTATTTAATATTTATTTAATTTTAATCGATACATTATAAACCAACTTAGTTAAGTATCTAAATTTTAATAAAGACTAACTAGTTTAGTTGCTGCCAGAACCACTGCCGCTACCGCTGCCACTACCACTTGATGAGCCGCTACCACTTGATGAGCCACTACCACTTGATGAACCGCTACCGCTTGATGAACCTGAACCTGAACCGCTTGATGAACCTGAACCTGAACCGCTTGATGAACCACCTGATGTTGAACCACCTGATGTTGAGCCACCACCTGAAGTACCTGAGGTACCACATTGATTCCAACCATCACAATCACCATTGCCTATAATAAAAAACTATTAATATATGTTGTTTTATAAAACTTTTAAATTTAAATTTATTTAACCTACTGTAGGTAGTCCAAGCATCTAAACCTTGAGCGTTTAAGACGGCTGAAGCACATTGAGCATTGATATCTGGATTGAATAAATCACTTGGTCTGTATTTGAAAAAAAAAATAAAAAGTTAATAAATTGGTTTTAAATTAAAAACATTTAAAAAATCATTTAATATACATACGTTGTGCAACTTGGACATAACTGTGAGTTTTAAAATTAAAGTAAAATAAAAAAAAGAAATATATCAATAAAAATTTAATTTATTAATAAAAATAAAATTAAAAAACACTTACTTCACCCTATTTTCATAGAAATTGATATTTGATATATTTGAAAATAATAAAATCAAAAGTTAGTAAATATAAACATAAGAAATTTCAAATTAGAATATTTTAAAATAATTCTTACACAGTGCTAATAGAGAGAAAAAAAAAAAAAAAAAAAAAAAAAAAAAAAAAAAAAAAAAAAAGGGAGTTAATAAAATATATGGCAATGACTAAATTTTATTAAAATGGCTTTACTTACTTCTGGCATAATTTGCCATAAACCTGAAGCACCTGATGGATTTTGGGCATCTATTAAAATAATTTAATATTAATAAAATAATACTTTAAAAATCATAAATAAAGAAATACATACTTGGATTCCATGATGATTCATAATATGAAATACAAACCATGGTGGTTTCAGTAGCACCACTGAAATATTGTGAGGCTAATGATTGCATTTGTTGACATGAATATGATTGAGCTGAAACACCAGCTAAGGCTAAAGCAGCTAAAGCTAAAACTTTCTTTAACATTTTATTTATAAGTATGATTATTGGAGTAGAGAAAAAATTAAAAAAAATAATGAAAAAAATTTATTTATAAATATCGATAAAAAAAAAAAATTATAAAAAAATAAAAAAAATTAAAATAAATAAAATAGGATTTTAGAAATAGAGTGGCGCAACCATAATTTTTTTTTAGTTTTTGAAAAAACTGTTAAAATTTATTTTATTTTTTATTTTTTTATTTTAATGTAGGATTTCGGAATTTACTCCACTATTTTAAAAATATCCAAAATTTAAAATGATAACACTGCTTGCAAATAATGAACCCTGGTGGCACATAAAAAAATATCATCATTATTATAATCCATAAATAAAATGATAATATCAAATAATGACACCAGGAGCAAAGTAAATTGAAATTTCTCTTTGGATATTTATTAATAAACCCAATTTTTTTAATATAGGGGTACTACAAACCCAAAAAAAAAACTCTGCATCTGCCAATGCTCCGCCTGTATTTCATCAAATAAAATTTTTTATTTTATCTCAATAAAAATAAATAAAAAAATAAAAATAATTAAATATTATAATATCTATAAAATGAATATTTTGTTTTTTATTATTTGAATTGGTTGTTATTTACTATTTGTTAGAGAAATGATAATAGTAGTAATGTTATTATAGATAAAGTAATACTATTAAATAAACTAAAAAAATAAAAAATTTTAAAAAAAATTTTCTTTTTTTTTTTTTTTTTTTATGGTTTTTTTTTTTTTTTTTTTTTTTTTTTTTTTGATTTTTTTAAAATAATTATTCATTGTAATTAAAATGTTTTCAAGATTATTAGTTTCCAATTTAAACAAAACCAGACAAATTAGACAATTTTGCACTGCATCACAAGATGTAAAAGGTGATAAAATTAGATCACTTTTAACTGAAAATTTAAAACCATCCACTCTTGACGTTGTTGATATTTCAGGTAAATAAACAAAATAAAAACAAATTGTTAATTAATTAATTAATCAATAATAAATGTTTTTTTTTTTATATAGGCGGTTGTGGCTCAATGTATAGAATTACAGTTGTATCTGATGAATTTAAAGGAGTTTCAATGTTAAAACAGCATAAAAAAGTTAATGAAATTTTAAAAGATGTCATTCCATCACTCCACGGTTTAACTTTACACACAAAAGCATCAGACAACTAAAAAATAAATAAAATAAAAAATAAAAAACAATTATTTATGTATATAACAATTATATTATAATGACAATTTTAATTTATTAAATAGAGTGTTGGGTTGTTTTTGTTGTTATTGTTGCTGTTTTTTTTTTTTTTAATTTATAAATAATATTACTTTTTTTTTTTGGAAGGGTATAAGAAGTATTTTGGTTGATTTATTTAATTAATTTACGTTGACCTGGACGAGCTGGTTTTGAAAAAGCTTTCTTTTCTTCAACTTTTGGTGGATGTAATTCATTGATAATGCTATCTGCTGAAATTTCTGATGGTGAATTAATTTCGAGTTTTAAGTCGATTTTAACTTCTTGTTTAGTTAAAAGTTGTTCGACATTTGCTTTGCTTGATGAATATAACATTCTCTTACGAACTGGTGCACTCTTGGTACCATTTGAACCATCTGGGCATGAGAAAACATAAACTATAAAAATAAAACAATATATTAGTTTATCGTGATATGTGTGTGTGTTTTAAAAAAGATAATATTTACTAATTGAATCTAAACTATCACCTTCGTGGTTATGTGAGTATCTGAAAAAGTGGAATCTTGGTTCGGTGGTTGAAATTTTTGATGAGACATCATTAATATCAATGTTTGATGATGATCCAAAAATAACCTTTTCTTCTTGAATGTCAAGAGCTAATTCGACATAGTTTACTCTTTTACCAACAAAATCGTTAATAGCTGATAAAGCTTTATCTTCAACTGGGAATGAAATACCATGAACGTGCATACCATTACCACCACCACCAACAAAGAGACCACCTTCTCTTTCATCATTTCTTTGCATTTCATCCCAAGTTAATGGTGCTTCTGATTCTTGATGACGTTTATGTTGTTGATAACCTTTTTTATTGAAATCGTCCTTTTTTAATAATAAATTTAGATTAGTTTTAATATGATACCCTGCATAGTTACTAAATAAGGTTTTATAATAAAACATACTGTTTTGGATGAATAGATTTCATCAACGAAATGTGATGCACCTAACTCTCTCTTTAAATTGGCTCTAGTTGAAGCATAAGTCATCTTTTCTCTAACTTTAGCAATATCTGGAACATAAAACATAAAAATCCAATTATAACCTGTAAGTTCGATACTTTTATCGTCTCTTTTGTAAAGAATATAACATGGTGAAGCTTTATCTAAAACTGATGGTACTGAATCTAAATCTGATTCAAAATCACCAGAAATATCGCTTTTAGCTTCAACAACTAATTGATCTGTTTTTTTTTTTTTTTTTTTTTTTTAAATAAAAATAAATTAATATTAGCATTTTTATTTTATTTAATAATTTTTGTTATTAATTATGTTTCTATTGTTATTATTATATTATTATTATATTATATTATTGCCATTGGTTCTCGCTATAATTACCATCTTTAATAACAACTTTAATATAACGGGTGTTATCTTGTTGAGCTTGACCAAAAATTTGAATTAATTCTGGTGAAGCTGGAATACCACTTGAATGACTCATTTCTAAAAAAAGTTTTAATTATATTATTATTATTACAAAAAATAAATATAAATATAAAAAGTAATAGAAAAAAAAAAATATCTAAAGAAAAAAAATTTTAAAAAATAAAAAAAATAATTAAAAAAAAAAAAAAATAAAAAAAAAAAATAAAAAAAAAAAATTAATAATTATTATAATATAAAATTTAAAAAAAAATAAAAAAAAAGAATAAGGAGACAATATTTCTATAAACCCTGAAATTATATTTATTGTAATGTCATTTTATACGATATGACAAAATTAAATTCTATAAATAAAATATCAAAAAATGAATAAAAAAAAATAAAAAATAAAAAATTATTTAATAAGTACACACAAAACACCAAAGAATCTATAAAGAAATCATGGTTGTCGTTAAACGAAATAATTATTGTATTTGTGTGTAAAAAAAAATAAAAAAATATTTTTAGATTTGAGGTGTGATATAATTTGAATTTTGAAAATAAAGTGTTGTTTTATGAATATTTAATAATATATATATATAAATTTAGTTTATACAAAAAAAAGATTTTAAAAAATAAAAAATAAATAAAAAAAGAGATAATAGTATATTTTAAAAATTATTTTTTTTTAAATTTTTTTTTTTAATATTTATAATGATTTTAATTAGTTTATTCTTGGTCGTTTTTGGTACCTCTGAGTCTACCGGTTCTTCTGGCAGCAATGAGACCAACTTTTTTACCAGCTGGATCGTCTCTCTTGGTAGTAGTGGCGTGACCAACGTGTTGATGATTACCACCACCGTGTGGATGTTCTACTGGATTCATAGCAACACCTCTAACTTTTGGCCAGTTGTTCTTCTTGACTCTGTATTTGTGGAAAGCACGACCAGCTTTGAGCATTGGTTTATCAATACGACCACCACCAGCAACGATACCGATCATAGCACGAGCGAGGGATGAAACGTTCTTCTTTGAACCTGATGGAAGTTTAATACGGGTGATACCTTCATCTGGGTTGTGTGAAACAACGGTGGCATAGTTACCTGAACATCTAGCGACAGCACCACAGTCACCAACTTTTTCTTCGACGTTACAGATAATGGTACCTTCTGGTAATTTACCGATTGGGAGGATGTTACCGATGGTTAAAGTGGCTTTTTTACCGGCAAAGACAAATTGACCAGTGTGCATACCTTCTGGGGCGATGAAAAGTTGTTTGTCTAATTTGAATTTGGTTAAACCTTTGAAGGCAACACGGGCGAGTGGGGCACCTCTATTTTTTTTAAAAAAGATTATGTATTAATAACTTTATACTTTTTTTCTTCGGTTTTTTTATTCAATAAAAAATACAAACCTGGCTGGGTCGTGGATAATTTCTCTGACAACACCTTTAACGTAACCATTACGTTCAGCGAAATCTAAAGCACGGAAACGTGGACTGCCTTTACGATGGCTGGAGTGGGACATGAAAACGCTGCCCTTTTTACCCTTACGTTGAGCTCTATAATTATTTTAAAATTGTCATTAATATTTAATTTTGCAAAATTTGAGATAGATTATAGAAGAAGGTTTTTATGTCAATCCAAATAAAAAAATAATAAAATAGTTTTTGATGATAATGCTAAATGCTAAAATAAATTGACCCAATTTTATATTTTCCTTTTTTTTTTTTTTTTTCGGTTTTTTTTTTTCCTATTACTGAAACAATTATTATTATTTTTTATTTCATCATTATTTAACCTAGACTAATCCCATTCCACAAAATATTGTTTGAATTGTTTTTATTATCCAAAATATAATTTCTATCTACACTATTTTTTTTTTTTTTTTTTTTTGGTTGTCTATTTATATTCCAATTTATAATTATTTTATTATTGTTATTATTATTTTGATTCTTTTCAATTCATTTTAAAATCAATTTTAGTTTTATTATTTTTTTTATTATTGATGACATAAAAAAGATAGAGAAAATAAAAAAAAAATAAAAGATCTCTACCTAATAATTCTACCCATTGTGTGTGATATATGAATACGCTAAACCTAATAGAAAAAAAAAAAAAAATTTAAAAAAATTTTTACGGCCAGAGCTGTAAAAAAAAAAAAAAATTTAAAAAAATTTTTACGGCCAGAGCTGTAAAAAAAAAAAAAAATAAAAAAAATTATTTTTTTTTTTTTTAAAAAAAAAATTCATCAAAAACGAGGATTTGGGCTCTGCCATATAAAACCATTACATAGTATTTACAAAGAAATTATTGTTACATACTTTTAAACCCATATAAAATTTTTCAATGTAAAAAAAAAAAATTGAAAAAAAAAATTAAAGTTGAGAAATAAAGAAAAAAATAGAAACAATGTATATCAATTAATTGATTCCCAAAATTACAAATTGAGAAAAAAAATAAAATAAAATAAAAAAATAAATAAAAAAAAGATACAAATAATTTATTTTTTTAAAGTGAATATTTATTTTTATTTTTTTTTTTTTTTTATACCAATATCAAAAAAATGAATATTTTAAAATGGTATAATTTTGAATTTATTTGAGTACTATTAATTGTCTAAACATTTATATTTTATTTTTTAATATAAATTCTTCTGGAATTATAATTACTTTTTTTAAAAAAAATATTATTTTATTTACCAATAATGCTGTTTTTTTTTTTTTAAATTCTTAATAAATGGAAATATAAAAATTTATTTTAGTATTGTGGTTGGGGTGTTTTTCCAAAACAAAGATTTATTATAACACAGTTTTTTTTTTTTTTTTGTAAATTAATAATACATATAGTTGCAGATATAAAAAATTATTATTTTATATTTTATTTTTTTGTAAAAAAAAAAAAAAGTTAAATTTTAACTTTTTAATTTATTGAATACTATTATTTTTTTTTTATTTTTTATTTTTTGTTTTTTTTATATAAACCAGTTTTATTATATATATTTAAATATCAAATAATCATATAAATTCCATAAAGGGGAATTTATAATATCATTCGAAAATTAGAAAATAAAAAAAATTAAAATTGAAATTTAAAAAAAAAAAATAAAAAAATAAAATAAAAAAAAATAAAAAAAAAAAAAACTTTTGGGTTGTTGTTTTAATTTTTTTTTTTTTAATTAATTCATTTCATATATTTTTATTTTTTTTTATATACAAATAATATTTAATTCCACAATGTACAATTCAAGAATTGAAGCAATTTCACGTCACTTAAATACTGATAATGAAGTTTTAGAATCAAACCCAACTTCAGCACCAGTTTCAAGTATGTTTTTCAAAGATAAATAATAATAATAATAATAAAACAAACGAAAATAATGAAAAAAAAAAAAAAATATTGTTTTTTTATAAAAAAAAACTATTGTGAATAATTTTATTATAGAATTTATTATAAAAAGTTTTATAATACATCATACTATAGTTATTTATATATTTTTTTTGTTTATTATTTCTTTTATAAAATAATTATACTTATATATTAATATAAAATTAATTTAAATAGGAAAATCACCAGATGATGTTGTTATTGTTGCACCATTCCGTACTGCTATTGGTAAAGCCAAGAGAGGTTCATTCAAAGAAACTGCACCAGATGAATTATTAGCACCAGTTATTAAACACATCTTAAAAGTTACAAATATTGATCCAAAATTAATTGGTGATGTTGTTATGGGTGCTGTTTTACCAAGATCATCACAAGGTGCTACTGAAGTTAGAGTTGCAACTTTATTAGCTGGTTTACCAAAAGAAGTTCCATGTTATACCGTTAATAGACAATGTTCATCAGGTCTTCAAGCAATTGCCAATTGTGCATCTGCCGTTAAAATGGGTCTTTATGAAGTTGGTTTAGCCGGTGGTGTTGAATCAATGAGTTTAAATCCAATGGCTTGGGATGGTGGTTTCAATGAAACTGCTTCAAACGATCCAATTATGAGTGGTTGTTATATGACCATGGGTCAAACATCAGAAAATGTTGCAGAAAGATTTGGTGTCACTAGAAAAGAACAAGATGAATTCTCAGTTCAATCACATAAAAAAGCTGGTGCTGCTCAACGTGCTGGTAAATTCAAGGATGAAATCGTCCCAGTTACCATTAAAACTGAAGATGGCAAAGAAGTCGTTGTCGATAAAGATGAAGGTATCCGTGAACAAACCACTTTAGCTGATTTAGCAAAATTAAAACCAGCCTTCAAATCTGATGGTACCACCACCGCTGGTAACTCATCACAAATGAGTGATGGTGCTGCTGCTTGTCTTGTTATGAAGAGAAGCACCGCCGAAAGATTAGGTCTTCAAATTGCTTTAGTTTTCAGATCATTCGCCGCTGTTGGTGTTGAACCATCAGTTATGGGTATTGGTCCAGCTGCTGCCATCCCAGTTGCTGTTAAACAAGCTGGTCTTTCAATCAACGATATTGATGTTTTCGAAATTAACGAAGCTTTTGCCTCACAAGCTTATTACAGTTGCAAAAAATTAGGTTTAGATATGAGTAAAGTTAATCCAAATGGTTCAGGTATTTCACTTGGTCATCCATTAGGTGCTACTGGTGCTCGTTTAACTGCTACAATTTCAAATGAAATGAAACGTCGTGGTGCTAGATTTGGTGTTGTCAGTATGTGTGTAAGTATCCTATTATTCTAATATTAATAGTTTTTAATAAATTTACTAATCTTTAAACATTGTTTTTTATATTTAGATTGGTACTGGTATGGGTGCCGCTTGCGTTTACGAACGTGAAAATTAAATAGGTAGAAGTATTTATACGAATATGGAAATATATATATTATTACCTCAATTTTTTTAAAAACAAAACAAAAAAAAAAGAAAAAAAAAGAAAATTTTAAATAACAATATATATAAAATAGTAGATGTATATAAAAAAAAAAAAAAATTAAAAATAAAACCTTTTATTTGTAACAATAAAATTTTAAATAATCTAAATTATTTATTATCTTTTTTGGGATGATGATTCTACATCAATGGGTATATCTTCGTGGTTGTATTGACGAGAGTATTGATTAATATTTAAATTATTTACATTATTGTTTTGAATTGTATTATTATTTACTTTTTCTAGGGATATAGTATTATTTACATTGATTGGTACTGTTGATGAGGAGATTTGATTGATAAAATATTCAGGTGGTTGATTATGGTGAGATGGCGGTAATACTATTTCATTTTTTTGTGTTTGATAATTATACAGTGAGTTTGGGTGTCTATACCAATCTTCATCATATTCTAAATGAATTCTTGTTACCATTCTTTTATTTTTTCCAAATCCTATATACTCATTAGTTTTAATTATAACACCTTTGCAAGTGTATTTTTCATTTAGTTTTTGAATGTTTTTATCAAAATTTTTATAAAGCTATATATTATTAAAACGTTTTAATAAGAATAATTTTTTAAAAATTAGAAAATTAATATTTTTTATTTATATTTACCTTTGAATTAATAAAATATAATGTTACAAAAACAAACAAAAATGGTAATATAATAAATAAAGGTAAAAATTTTGGATTTATTGTTTTTTTGATAAAAAGAAAAATTGCAATTACAACAGATACTGGGAATATTAAATAAACTATATTTGCAATTTTCTTTTTTCTAAAGTAAGTATTGCAAACTATAACTATTTCATTTAAATCTTCTATAGTTAATATGGTCCAATTTGATAATTCTTCTGGTACTTTTGATGGTTTTTCTAAAATTTCTGATCTTACTGAATAACAACAACCTGTTGTATCTATAGGAATTTCATATTTTTTTATCATCTTTTTTATTATTTATTTTATATAGTTTTATTAATAAAACAAAATAAAAAAAAATATATAAAAAATAAAATATAATAAAATATAAAATAATTTTAATATTTAAAAATAACCAACGGGTGTCAAAATATTTAAACTTGATTAATTTAAAAAAAAAAAAAAAAAAAAATAAAATAAATTTTAACAGATTAAAAAAAATTAAAGATAAATAATGGGAAATAGAAAATAATAAAAGTTTATATAAGAAAAAGATTATTTCAAAGTTAATTATATATAAATTTAACTTTTTAATAAATAAATATTATTTTTATAAAATTTTTTATTTTTTATTTTTTTAAAAATTTTTTTTTAATTTTTTTTTATTAATTTGTTTTTAAAAATTATTTTTCATAATCATAAAGAAAAACAATATGGAACATAATACAAATATTAACAATGATTTTGAAGAAGAGTTAATTTGTTCATTAGCGGTTAAAGGCGAAAAATCAGTCCATAAATTGCTTTTAAATGTTTTATCAATTGTAAAGTATTTAAAAACCTTACAATCAGATCCGGTATTGGTTTATCAAATGTCAACAAAAGAGCAACATAGTTTTCAAGCTAATCAGTTACAAAATTTACAATCATCTAACAATACAAGCACCACCTCTACAACAACAGGCTCAGCTAACAATACTGCTACCTCACCAAATACCAATAAATCACCGACCAACACATCACCCAATACAGGTTCACACTCAAATATTAATAATCAATCATTAAACTTAAATACATCATCCTTTTTAAACGACAACGAAAAAATTAAAGAGTTAAATCAAAATTGTTTAACATCAGTAGTTGCACTTCAAAATATAATAAAGGATATTTTAAATTTGGAAAATAAAATAACAGAGAGAGATAGTAACATAGAAAATAACGATAGTAATAGTAGTCATAATAATAATAGCCAAAGCTCATTGGTAGAGGAGTTGGAAAATTTGAAATATGTAAATATAATATCTATTCACCAAAACTATAAATCATTTTAATAATACCTTTTTTATTTTTTTAGGAAGCTTATCAAAAAAATTGCACAATTAAGAAATTAATAGATAATATGCGATTGCTCCAATTAAGTATTAACTCAATGAATAGAACAAGTTTGTCAGATTAAAGCCATATAATAAATTAAATAATTTATACTGTGGTTATAAAATAAATCATATAAATAAATAAAATAAATTGTATTATTAAACCAATGAATTATTTAAAAAGCTTTGACAAGATTACATAATGTTATTCAGGATTTTTTGATTGGATTTAATTGTATTCTCAATACGATATTGAAGCAATATATAATCCGATTCAGAATAAATTGGTAATAAATAATATCTTTATATTGCCCAAAATTAAGTTTAATTTAATAATGAAAAAATATCTTTGTCATAATCTATCACAATCAAATCTCTAATATAATCTTTTAATAATCTTTTGAAACCATCACAAAAAGAAATCGATGAATTAGTAGTAAAAATAAAGGTTTTAATTTTAAATTAAAAGAGGAAAAAGAAAAAAAAAATAAAAAAATAAATATTTAAAAAAAAAAATTAGTTCAATTTCGGTTATATGTTCATTTTTTTTTGCCATAAAAAAACAACCATTTTTTTTAACGGCAGAAGGGTAGATTTTTTTTAAGTCTAAATCACTTTTTTTTTATTTTTTTTTTTTCTATTTTTTTTTTTTGCTATTTTGTTGTTAAAATTTTTTTTGTTCTTTTGTTGTTAATTTTTTTTTTTTATACCATATTTTTATAATTTTATATATTTTTTTCATTTTTTATTAATTTCAATTAATAAAAATGGAAACAGGTATTAAAGGAAATAAATTTATAAAAGACGATATAGAAAACACACCAAATAGTTTTTCTCTTAAAGAATATGTTTTTACTCATGTAAAAAAATGCGATTACCATTCAATTACTTTCACTAAATATTGTGTAAAAGATGGAGCTGGAGTTTGTATAAGATGTGACCATCATAAACATTGTTTAAAAAATAAAAATAATATTATTGAATATAGAGAATACTTAGATACCGTTTTTTTTGTAAAGTATGGTTTATTAACAGAATCATATAAAAATATTAATGATTATAATTTAGCTATGGACATTGGTAATAAGTTCTTGATGATAGACTACGCAGAGAGGGTTCTTTCTTATGGTCCTAAATGGAGTAATATTGGTCTTTCAGATGGTGATCCTTTTTTATCTGTTGGGTTTGTTGGGTATTCTGGAGGTGGTAAATCTACTGTTATAGCTTCATTGTGTGAGGATGATTCCCTGGGAAAATATAATCATCCCATTCCAGCTGTTTTCTCAAGTTCAGACTCTACTTCATCCGATTTAAACTCTTTTATTGGTGGTACATTAGGGACATCAGAAAAATTAAAATATATAATTTTTGATTCAGAGGGTATGGGAGGTACTTTGGTTCCAGCAATGCTCCAAAAATTAGAAAAAAAAATGGATTCTTATATTGTATGTAATTTATTTTTTTAATATTAAAAACAAATTTAAATAAATTTTTACTAATAAAATTAATTTTTAGAATGATTTTAAGCAATACAGATCTAGTATTGTTCAAATAGCATTGCCTAGATTGTTATATATTGTTTCTGATGTATTGGTTTTTACTTTTAAAGGTGATCCAAAAGAAAAATCAAAAGTAGGAAAAAAAATATTGAAGTTTGCTGAAGTTTCAACTGGTATTCCAAATAATACACTTAGACCACATTTAATTATTTTATTAAATAGACAAACAACAACAAAAGAATATGATGATGTTGAATTCGCAACCAAAGATTTTTTTAAGGGTGCAGAAACTTCATTATATGATTCATTGAAGATTTGTTATGAATCTATTACTGTGATTTACCTTCCAAATATCCATGAATTAGAGTTTGATTCTTTCTTTAGGTATCAAAGACAAATCATTTTATTAAAAAGTATAATTTCTTGCAAAGTAAACGAATCATATGCTCATAAAAAAAACATTGGGTTTTCTCTAAATAAAAAAAATAACATGGAAAGAATTTCTAATATTATTGGATTTTTAAACAATAGCCCAAAAGATGCACCTGATTTATCATTATTAAATTCATCGTGCATCAAAAGATCATCTTTTGAAGATGAAGTTGATGATTTAGTTGTAAGAGAAACCAGAAGGGCTTCTTTAAAAATAGAAGAAAAAAAAGATGAACAAACAACTATTTTTAAAATTGCTAAAAAGCCATTTATTGGGAATTCAACAATATCTGCTATTGGTAATAATAGACAAAGATTCAATTCTGCCATTGGTGTTCAAAATAATAGCACGGTCAAAGAAAATCAAAAAATTTACCGTAATAATACCGAAAGTGACCTTTTAAAAATGAATTCCTCCAAAGAAATAAAATATATTAATGAAAAGATTATTATTGTTGATAAAAAAGAGCAGAATATATCAACAGACAGAAAGAGAAAAATATCAAACAACCTTTTTTCCTACTTTAAAAGGTGCTATAATGTTTTAAATAAATCCGGGAAAACAAGAAGAGAATGTTATCAAATATCAGTAGAACAATTAAAATCAAAAGTATTTTTAACATATTTTTTGTTTTTACAAAGAAATAATATTTCTCAAGAAGATAACTTAACTATCTATGAGGAGTTTTTATGGATTTTAAATACAGTTTCTGATAATGTTTCAAATTATATTCCATGTAAAGAAATGATAGACGGTAAATACCATTGTATTAATTTAAAGGGTATGCACAATTTCCATATATCCAAAGAGACAGAGCAAAAAAAAATTGGTTTTTTAAAAAAAGTAGGAACTAATGGAGTTATTGATTCTCCTTTTAAAATGGAGGGATCGTATACCCCAATGCTCCAATATGAAAGTTTGGCTGACTATCTTAAAAAAATGTTATTGAACCCTGAAAATATAAGTAAGGGATTTGAAGATTTGGAAATTAAAAACTCATCAGAGTTTTGTGTTAAATGTTTACTTGATTCCCCAATAATTCCATTCGATTGTGATCATATGTTATGTGTTAGTTGCTCAGAAGCAAATGGCTTTAATTGTCCATGTGATGGTTGCATAGGAAAAATTCAATATAAAAAGGAAATCGATTTTACACCTTCCATGGGTTCAAGAATTTTAACACTTGATGGCGGTGGTATCAGAGGTATTGTTGAATGTTGTATTTTACAAAGAATTCAAGAAGAGTTATATGACATAGAAATTACTAAGTTATTTGATTTAATTATTGGCACAAGTACAGGAGGTATAATTTCATTAGGTTTAGGAGCAACTGATAAAAGTCCAAAAACATTAATAGATACTTTTGAAAAAATGGCCACAGATGTTTTTTCAAGTAGTATTGCAAGAAAATTTGTTTCACTTTTTAAACTTACAACCAAGTATTCAAGATCTAGTTTACACGAATGTTTAAAAGCCGAAATTGGTAACGTTAAATTAACTAATACATTTAAGAAAACTAGGATTGGGGTTACATCGGTAACCGAAGAAAGTGGTGGCCCAACTGATTGTTTTTATATTAATTATCCTAGAAAAGTAAATTCAGAAAGCTTATCAAAGTATATTAACTATTCAAGCTGTATTGATGGAGCAGAGGCCACCTCTGCTGCCCCCACCTATTTCCCACCTTTTGTCTTTGAAAATAGAAAATTTTATGATGGGGGAATTAAAAATAATAACCCATGCCTGGTTGCTATGGATGAACATACATCTTTGTGGGGTAATAAAACAATAGATGTATTTGTTTCTCTTGGAACAGGGGAGTTTAGTTACAAGAGATCGAAAAATGACAATATATTAGAGTTGGCAAATTTATTTGTAAACTTATTATCAGAGGTAGAGTTAAGTTGGAAAAAATTACACGAAAAAAAAAATATTTCTGAAGGTGAAAATTCATTTAGAATCAATGTTCCATTCACAGATCTCAAGAGTGAAATTGGGTTAGATGATAAGCGTCAAGACTCTATTAAAATACTCAAAAGTAGTTCAGAAAAAATATTAGGAAACAAAAATCTTTCTTTAGCAATTAATAAAATCCTTTCATCATTGTTTTATCTCAATAATCTACAATGGTGCAATGAAAGTCAAACTTTAGAAGGTATTATCATGTGTAGACTAAACTCTCTTCCAAAAGAATTGGTAAATCAAATTAATGACAGTAAACCATTTTTTATTTTGGATCCAAAAAATAATAAGCTTGTAGATTTTGAAATGGAAATCAATGTTAAACATGATAGCCCTTGCAATATTCCATTTAGGATAATTAATCCCCCAAATCAAATAGATATTGTTTGTGCATTAGTTTCAAAAAGCAAATTTAAAAATAATAGCTCCATCTCAGGTTGTCCATTTATACTCAATAGAGACTATAAATTTTATAATATTTACATTAAAAAAAATATTCAAGCCTAAAAAAAAAAAATATTCAAGCCTAAAAAAAAAAAATATTCAAGCATAAAAAAAAAAAAAAAAAAAAAAAAAAAAAAAAAGCAATACAATCAAATAAATAAAAAAATAAATAAAATAAATTTTAAATAAAGAATTACAATATAATTAAGTAAAAAAAGTAATATTCACCTATTTTCTTTGTGCCTTTATTATTTTAAATTAAAAAAAATAATTTTTTGTTGTTGGTATTTTATATAATTATTCATTTGTAAAATTTTTAATTAAATCCCAATAATGAGGGGTGCCACACTCTTGTAAATATTTCCTGGCCTGTGATTCAATTTGACAAACTTCGAAATGAAAACCTTTAAAATTTTGTTTATGGATTGGACCCTCCCAAACTAAGTGACATGAGTTTATTGTACCTGCAGGAGGTTTAGGAAATTCGATTTGATTTGTATTATTTGTTGTTTCTTTAACATTTGATTGTGGTGGGTTTTCCCAATCTATACGATTTAACATTAGCTTTTTAAATTTCTTTTGAGCCTTCATACCAGCTTCGAACACTACCAAATTCATAGAGTTAAAGAATACTATACAACCAGTTCCATAAAGATCAGTGGCATTTTTAGATACTTTTGTACGAAATAATGGATGAGATAAGTCTATTACTTTATATATTGAACAATGTAAATCTTTAGCATCCCTAAATAATTTTTCTTTTTCTTTTTCTTTTCTTTGTTCTGGTGTTAATTTCCTTTCTTCGTTTTGTGATTCGTGAAGTTTTTTACGCTCCTCAATCTTTTTGGTTACTTCTAAAATAGCTTTGGTTGGATCTATAATTGCTTGAGTGCCAATAACCCTCATAATATTACTAAGTTTGACCTTGTTTTCTGGTGGGGGCTCTAAACCATTTAATATTCGAACTGTTTTTTCCCTTTGGATTTCTTCTCTTCTTTGCTTCCTCATTTTCTTTCTTTCTTTGGTTAATAATAATAGATCTGGTTTAATTGGTAAAATTGCATTCTCTTTAGATTGTATCATTGTTTTAATTTGCACTGGGTGTTCAATAAAGCTCCAATATTCTGTATCTAAAATTGATTCAATATTTGATGATTCGATATTGCTAATAATTTCTTTTTCGTCCTCAGTCTTCATAATTTGTTTATCCCACCATTCTATATCTGGTACCTCTTCGTTAGCTATGAATGTTTCGATAGTTTCATCGCCCAAAGTTTTCTTTAATAATTGATTTGCTTCTTGTTGTTTTTTAATTTCATCCTCTAAAAGCTGCTGTCTAATTTTGTCACCTTTCTTTGTATATCTTCCTTGTTTGATAAATGAAAACGAATTTAATCTTTTCTTTTTATCTGTTGAAACTTTAATTCTTGGATCAAAAAATAGCTTATTTTCTTCTCCTTCTTTTTCTAAATTTGCATCATCTTGTTCATTATTAAATTTGATATCTTCTTTTTCTTCTTTTTGAGTTATTGTTGGTGTTGGTATATTTTGGGTTGTTACACTGGTAGTTGTGGTAATTGGTGTTGGTAGGGGTTTATTTTCACTTTGTATAATTGCAGCAATTTCCTTTTTACTTTCTTGTACCTTTTTTGCTAATCTTTCTTTAAGTAATCTTTTTTTTTCTTCAGCAGATAGTGTTGTGTTTGTTTCTTGTGATGTTTTTGTAACATCTTGGTTATCTATTTTTATTTTCTTTTCTTGTTGATCATTATTTCCATTTATAACTTCTGGTCCATCATGAAACTTTCTTTTGGTTGGTGTATTTGACATTTATTAATTAAATTTAATCAAATAAATAATAAAGATTATAACAATTAAAATTAATTTAAAAAAAAATGAAAAAATGAAAAAATGAAAAAAAAAAAAAATTTTTAAAAAATTAAAAAAAAAAAAAAAAAAGAGTTTTATTTGTTTTTGGTTATTCACTTTTAAAAATTCAGCAATAAAAACCAAATAAAAAAAAAAAAACTCAGGATGAAATTTTTGTTAATAAATATACATTATTTTGTTTTTATTTAAATTTAAATTTAATAAATTATTTCGTTTTAGATAATTATTATAAATGATTATTGATTATTTAAGTTGAAGAATAAAATTGATAAACTGAGGCAATTGAAGAATGTTCATCGGTAGTAAAAGTTTGTTTAATTGGTTTCATAAGATTACCAGTCATAATAACAAAAGTATCATCGGTAAAAGCTACATTAGAAATTGATTGGAAAGTCCAGAAATGTTTAGATTCTTTGGTATGTGGATCAAAGATTGAAATACCCTTTTTGTTAATAGCCAACCAAGCCTTTGGTGGATTTTCTTTTTGTTGAATAGAGAATAATGTGCAACCAAAAATGCTGGATTTAGTACCTACTAAATGAATAAACATGAGTTTAAGGTATTCTGGAGTTTGTGATACCAATTCAAAGATTTGAGATTCGACTGTTGAAATCCAGAATTTAATATTTTGTTGTGCAATTATATTATCTGGTAAAGCTTGACGAATAATTTCTTTGGTGAAGATGAGCTTGGATTGATTTGGATATAATAATTGAATAAGAATTGCAGCTGCTACGGCTGAATCTTTTTCATTTAATGTTGAATGAAGACCTCTCATCCATTCATCACGAATTTGAACAAAGGTAAGCTCGAAAGAGATATCATCATCAGTCCAGAGGTGTTCTTGTTCAAGGATCTTATTGACATCATCCAAGAAGAATCTACGACGAACTTGGAAATAGAATTCACCCTTTTCTTCACTTTGTTCCCAACGTGTTAAAACATCATATACCATATCAGACTCTGAAAGTACTTTGGAGATACCAGCAGTTTCATTTACACCACAAAGACCAAACATTTTAATTGATTGTTGTGAAATACCATATTGTTTGCAAACAGTTTCGGTGACTTCTCTAATGGTAGTGTAGGTAGAGATTTTAGCCAATTTAGTTGATTGATCAACAAAACGAATCTTGCATGTACTAATATCACCACTATCGATTGAACCACGGAATGATTGAATTTCAGAGGCACTTGGACCTTTCTTACGTTGTTGATATGAGGCAATTGGATGTGACTCTAATTTTTCAATACAAGCAGCAATAATAGAGGCTAATTGTGGTTGAGCTGATTGAATAGCAAGATTTCTTGACATTAATTGTTCCATGAATGGTTGCATTAATGAATCTGATGGTGAAAAAGAAATTGCAAGGAAATAAATTAATTCAAAACCTTTCTTTGTTGATTCTATTTTTGGATTACGATTAGTTTGACGATAGGCTTGGCAATAGATTTCATCACGAAGTTCGTGATTTTCAAGACCACGTGCAACAATGCTTTGAATTACTGAACTAGCAGTTTGACCCTTTGGAATTGGATAATCACCCATCCACATCATAATCTCTGAAAAGTTTTTAACTGATTTCTTGGATTGTTTAACATCTAAACTTTCAATAAGTGATTCTTTAATAGTATCTTTGTTAAAGTATAAAGCTACATTTGGATCAATTGGAGCCTTTCTCTTAAGAGTAGCAGTGGCATTTAATGTAGCAGCTCTCTTGAAAGAACGGAAACGAGTTGATGCCCATTGGAGTAATGGTGAATCGCTACCAAGAGCTGGGGTTGTAGTTAATCTCTTAGATGGGTCATCTTGGTCATCTGATGAGTTACTGAGTGGATTTACTGACATTCTAATTGAAGCTCTAGAAATTGGTGGAGTATTTGGCATTGATGGTGGTGTTGATAACATTGGTGGTGGTGGTGGCATACCCATAGTTGGTGAAGATGATAAAGGTGGTGGTGGTGGCATACCCATAGTTGGTGAGGATGATAAAGCTGGTGGTGGTGGAATATTTGAACCAGAGCCATTGAGTGATGGTAAGTTTTCAATATTTAATGCTGGTGGTGGTGGCATCATTGGACTTGACATCATTGGTGGAGTAGCTGATGATGGAGTTGATGATGATGAAGATTGACCACTAATTGGAGTTTTTTCAATAGTTAAAGTTGGTGTTGGTGGTGGTGAATCAGTTAAAAGGATTTCAACATGATCGACTGGGAATGAACCTTCTTTTCCATTTAATGAACCAATATACCATTTATTTTCTTGATCTTTAAATGTAATTGTGATGATATCATTTCTCTTGAAAGCCAAAAGAGTTGAATCTGAAACATTATAATCTCTAAGAGCTCTAGCATATTTAGCGTTATTTTTAAGGAATAATGAATACTCTTTGATTAATGAAAGACCTTTAGAGACATCGACAGTGAAAATTTCGAGTTGTTGTTTATTTTCAAGAGCAATGGTGAATGATTTTTCGGTACTCTTGATGTTTTGAGATTGAGTTGAATATTTAACACTTTCAATAGCTTTGCCTGTGGCTGGGTCAAAGATATTAATACCATGAGTATTTAAAGCTAAAACAAATTGCTTTGGATATGGTGATGCTTCTAATTGGTGTTCGCATGCTAATAATGATTGATTGGCTAATGGATGCTTGAATAAGAGATCGCTCATTTCTTTCTTGGCAGCATCTTGAGATTTACCTTTATGTGTTTTGTATTTAGCAATAAAGTCATCAAATCTTGTCTTTTCGATTTCAGTGGTAAAGTATTTACCACGACCATTTCCTGGTAACCAATTTTTAATGTCATCGGTGTAATCAAATGATTCGGCTTGAAGTCTTAAACTACCAATAGTGATTTGTAAATCTTGATCTTTGCAGAAATTTGGATTAAAGAGATCATTATATAATTGATGAACATAAAATTCACTTTCGAGAGCAGGAACACTAGAAATTTCTTCAAAGAATAATCTCTTTTTGAATACAAGTTTAAAGTTAATTTGAATCTTGCTGCTAAGAGTAGCTTGAAGATTTTCAACTTTGGAAAGAACATCACAAATCTTATCGGATGGAGCAATATCTCTTTCGATACCATTGAATGATTCTAAAATTGAGAAACCATTATCTTTTGAATTTGGACGTAAACGAGTACGTTGTGAGAGATCGTTTGAAGCTTCGCTGCAAGTGGTTGCAGAATCGATATGAAGACCTTTCAAACTACCATCAGTAGCAATAATACGAACAAAGATTGGACGACACTCTTTAATTGATTCTAATTCAGAAACGGATGGAACTTGTTTACGATTACCATTTAAATTGAATCTTTGTAATACTCTATAGGATGATTGAGCGGAATCTTTAATTGATTTAGCAACATCAGCTTGTTTAATGGTGGACTTTAAGTATGAAACAAAATACTTCATGAGTTTTCTGGTTGGTGGGAAAGTGGCACAACAGAAATGGATAAGCTCCCAAACACGAATATTTAAATCTTGAATTGGATTTGATGTTGATTGTTTGATTAATTGACAATAAATTTCATCACGAAGAGTTTCTGTTGAAAGACCTTTTGTTAAAATAAATTTAACTGGTGAATAGAAATCACTTGGATCTTTCTTTGAAAGTAATGGATTACTGGTCATATAATGAAGGACTTTGGAGAAAATTTCAACTGATAATTTGGTTTGCTCAGAATCAGCATGGACCAATAAACTTGATTTAATATGTGATTTTTGATATGAGAAAATGTCTTCTTTTTGTTTTAATTTTTCAGAGTTGAAATTCTTGTTGGCATATTCATAGAATGAATATAATGAAATTTCTTCATCTTGAAGTAATTCTGGCAACTCTTGGGTAAGTGGATTGGTAATTTGTGGTGATGCTGATGATGCACCAGTGGTTGATGAAGCACCTGGTGAAGAGGTGCCACTAGTACCTTCACTTGATGAAGCAGCTGGTGGTGGTGGTGGAAGACCAAGTACTGGATCAATCATATCAAAATCGAATGATGGTGGTGGTGGTAATTCTCCAATATCGTTAAATGAGGAAGATGTTGGTGGTGGTGGTAAATCACCGAGATCGAATGATGGTGGTGGTGGCAAACCGGTGAATGATTGTGATGGAATTGGACTTTCAACACTTTCTGGTGTAATATTAGCTGAGGAGTCATCGACTGGTTCATTGTTTTCAACGGTTGATTCTTCTGGAGTAAATTGAATTGGTTTTTTGTTGGTGGATTGTGGTGGTGGAATTCTTTTTAATACATTTTCAATGCCTGGTGGTAAATCGAATTTACTATCATCAACTTCGAATTTGGTAACACTTCTGACAGTTTGTTTTAAACCTTGGAGTAAATCAGTAATACTAATCTTATCAAGAGCATCTGGTGACATCTCATACATTTTGTGATTATAAGAGTATGGTTGTGAATCATCGACACCGCCTTCGAATGAGAAAGCCTCTAATGAATTTACAAAGTTGTCAAGTTCATTAATATTCTTATCTTGTTGTTCTTTGAGCATTCTTTCGATTGAAGATAATTCGTCCATTTGGTTGAGCTCTTTGAGTTGATTTTTCTTTTCTTCGAGTTTCTTTTGCTCTTCCTCTTCTCTTTTTGATCTGAGCTCTTCTTCTTTTCTTTTTTGTTCCTCTTGGAATTTCTTTTTGTCTTCAACAGCTTTTTCTTGATCTTCTTTTTCTTGTCTTTCTCTTTCTTCTTTTTCTTTTCTCTTTCTTTCTTCCTCGTCTTTTTCTCTTTGAATTTCTTCCATTCTCTTATTTCTATCTCTTTTCAATACAACAGCATTTCTAGTTTCTTTTCTTTGAACAAATGAACGACAATGATTTTGGATGACTGCAATATTTTCTTTGAGGAATTTGAAACGTTTTTGTGCTTCGACCATCTTGAAGAAACCTTTAATCTTTTGTACTGCTTCACGTTGTTCAAAGAACTCTCTTCTGGCGACATGTGATCTCATGGCTGTTTCAACTAGTTTAGCACTATTTCTTAAAACTTGATAACGTTTCTTATGACGATACATTCTCCAAACTGATTGAATTAAAACTACTCTACTTAAAAGTTTTTGTTTTCTCATTTCTTCCAATTGATGGTATTGTTTATCTCTAATAAAAACTTTAGTATGACCAAGTTGCCATTCTTCTTTGTCGATACCTGGAGCAGAATTTAACAAATTGATTAAACCAGCACAAGTTTGTCTGTGGTCAGCTGAACGAGCACGATAATCGAGAATGAGGTATCTATCTCTAAATTCTTTATGACCATGACGGATTGGATAACCTAATTTTCTAATTCTAATAGTTTCCATCATACCAGCGTAACGAAGTTGTGCTTGAATTAATTCGTGATCGAAAGCTGATGGTTCTTTAGTTGAATTTGGTTTAATACAACGAACATAATGTGGTTGAGTGGCAGAAAGAATATTAATTAATGATTGAAGTTGAGTTTTAAATTGCATACCAGCGGTTGTTTTCTTGGTACCTCTTTGCTTGTCATCATCATCACCTGATTCTTTTGGTGGGGTGAATAAATCGACAATAAATTTATTTTTACATCCTTGAAGAAGACCGAGGAGATCATCAGATACAGTATCTTTATTTTTATCAAGGAAACCAGAAGTGTCATAAGCAACTTCACCAGCATAATGTTTAACAACAAAAGTAGTCTTTGAACGTCTTGGTTTTTCGTAATATGGATGTTTTTCGTGATTAACATGTAACTTTTCAAGATATGTAAGATCGGTGGCTTGTGGGAATCTAGACTCTTCATCTAATAATGAAAGAATACCTAATGGTCTCTTTTCAATTAAATCTAAACATTCTTGATTATCGTTATATACAATCTTTGACCAATTGATTTTTTCTTTTTCATACTCTTCTTGTTCTAATTTGAAAATATGTTGATTAAAATGTTGTTGTAATTTTTCATTTGCAAAATTGATACTATGAAAAAATTTTAAAAGTTTAAAATTAATAAAAGTTTTAAAAAAATAAAGAAATGAATAAAATAAAATAAATGAATAACTTACCAAAATTGTTCAAAACTATTCTTTTTAAAATTTTCAAAACCAAAGATATCAAGTACACCAATAAAAGTTGAATTTTTTTGAGGTTTATGAATTCTTGAATTAATAAAAGTAACAAGCCAATTGAAAACATTACCATATAATGCTTTAGATAAGGCATCTCTTGTATCTTCTGCTTCATTAACTTTTAATGGAATAACAAAATTTTGGCCACGAATTAAAACATGACGAATTGTTAAACATGATTCTAATTTAGCTGGGTCGACATTTAATAATTGTGCAACAATTTTTAATGCTATTTAAAAGAAAAAAACATTTAATTAGTATATAAATAAATTTAAAATATTTAATATTATAATTACTTACAATCTTTATTTGAAACTTCTGAACCTTCAGCACCTTGAGTTTTTTCACTCTTTTCAAATTGGATATTACCAAGATGTAAAACTGCAGAGATGATTGAAAAAATTGTAGTTTGTTTATCCTCTGGAAGACCTAAAACATTCATAGCATATTTAACATGTTCAAAATCTTCAACATCATTAATATTATCAATTCTAATACAACCACTTTGATTTAAATAATGATAATCTTCTGGTTCACCTAATTTTAATTTTTCTTTTAATTCTTGATCTGCACCAGCTAATAATTGATAAAAAATATGATAATTTCTTTCTGAATCAGCTTGATGTGAAATTCTAGATTTTTCTAATAAATCTATTAAATTATTAATTTAAAAAAATTGAAATTTATTAATATTATTACTTTTTTTTTTTTTTATAATAATATTATTACTTACAATTTATAATTCTAGCACCAGAAATATGACCTTCTTTATTAAATTGAATTTCAATAAATTTACCGAAACGTGAAGAGTTATTATTTCTTATTGTTTTAGCATTACCAAAAGCTTCGAGAATTGGTGAAGACTCAACAATCATCTGCTCGACTTGACTGTGACGATTAGTTCTAGCGGCAAGATATTGAATAATTAACTTTGTCGACTCTGTTTTACCAGCACCAGATTCACCAGAAATAATTAAAGATTGATTTTTACCCTCTTCCATCATATTGGTATAGGCGGCATCAGCAACTGCAAAAATGTGTGGAGTGTTTGCGGTACGTGGCTTTGCAAAATATTGCTTTACAATATCGGCTGTATATATTGGGAGGATTTCGTATGGATTGACAGCTACCAAAATTGAACCAGTATATGTATAGATTTGCTTCTTTTGATATCTTAACTTTAAATTTAAAAGTAATGACTCTTCAGTCAATACTGGTAAGGTAATCATATCCTCTACGGGATTGAAATACTCTTCGTCTAAATAACCATCCATTCTTTGTTTCTTTTTCTATATATATATTATATAAATATACAAAATTTTATAATTATAAAAAGAATTGAAAAAAAAAAAAATAAAAAAAGTACAAATAAAAAATTTTCTATATACGAAAAATGATATTATTACTCTTTTTTTTTTTTTTATTTATTTTGAAACACACAAAATATAAATATTACAAATTTAAAAATACAAATATAATAAGTCTATTATATGAATAAAAAAATATAAAAAAAAAAATAACTTGTTTGGATAGAAAAAAAAAGGTAAATTAATTAAAATTACAGTCCAATAAATTTAATTTATGAAATGAAATAATTTTTTTTTTTTTCTATTTTATCGAACTATTATTTTTTTTACTTACTATATGATTTTTTTTTTTTCTTTTTTTTTTTATAGTAGTTTACAAAAAAAATAAATAATAAATAGATAAGGGATTTGTAATGTTATTATTTATTTGATACCCTTAATATCTTCTATCAACTAACTATAATGCTATTAATGAAAAAAAAAAAAAATAAAATAAAAAAAAATTAGAAAAACCCTTTTTTTTTATTTTATTTTTTTTTTTTTTTTTATTTTATTTTTAATTTTAAAATTTTTTTTTTTTTCCAACTGAATACAGTATGGCTGTATCTAAAAATGAATCGAGATTAAGGTTTTTTTTTACAATAGTGTGTCTATCATATGAAATAAAAATTAAATGATTTTTATTTTAGTTATTAAAATAATATCTCTTTTTTTTTTATTTGAATCTTGATCAGATGTTCAAAATTTTTTATTTTATTTTATTTTTTTTTTTTTTTTTTTAATATGTATGTTTGTGGGGGTTTCTAAAATTGAAAATGTTTGTGTAATTCAAAATAAAAACACACCAATATATAATTAGCCATCAACACTCGATATATTTTCGTTAATTATAATGACACAATATTATATATTTCTTTAAATATACACAAATGTAAAATTAGTTTTTTTTTTTAATATCATCATATATGTTAAATTTTTTTATGACACATATTATTTTTTTTTATAATATTTCTTTCCACAAAAGATAATATTCAAAAAAAAAAAAAAAAAAAAAAAAAAAAAAAAAAAAAATATATAAACAAGATAATTTTTTAAATTATTAAATCATATTAATTTATTTTTATCAAATCACACTAAAAACCAGGGTTAAAGATTAAAAAGAGAAAATTAAAAAAAATTCAAGTGACAAAATCTCACTGGGACCCATCACGTTAAATTTGTATCTATTGGAGGCCATAAACAAGTATATCGACCACATCATTTCCATGGTGAGCATTCACTTTCCACTTAGATCATCACCATGGTAAAGTTTTCATTGGAGGTCGTTGGCATTCATTGGTGTTGATGATTAATAAATAAAAAAATATTTTAAATTTTATAAACAGGACTTTATTTTATTTATTAATCTATAGACATTGGAATTGTAAGAACTTTGTCAATAGCTGCTTTACATTGAAATTTAAATTTTAAAAATTTGCATCGATTTGAAATTTTTTTTTTCTCATATGAGACAAAAGTTTTTAAATTTTCAATACCCTATTCAGGATTAGGTTGGTCAAAGGACGGTTTTCTTTTAGGTGATAATTTCAGTCTTTTGATCCAACTGTATTCATAATATTTACAAAAAGGTCAAGTTGGTCTTTAAAGTTTTAAAACACAATAGCATAATATTGTTAAACAATTAGTATTGATAAATATCATTTTATAAAGCTGATGATTTTTTATGTAAAATTAAAAATATATAGGACTTAAATATGTTTATAGGAATTTGTTGAAATAAAAAATAAAAAAATAAAAAAAATAAAAAAATTTTACAATTAATACATAGAAATGCAGCCGTTTATCAACTGCATCCCTTTAATATTTTTATTTATTTCTAAAAAATGGCATTTTTAGTGATTTTCTTAACAAATGATTTCTTCAAATAATTCGTCGTGTCCTCTTTCGTGAGTGCTACGTACATGACCGTGATGATCAACGCCAATGTAATGATGATGATGACCTCTGATGAAAACTTTACCGTGGTGATGATCTAAGTGGAAAAGTGAGTGTTCACCATGGAAGTGATGTGAGAGATATACTTGTTTATGGTCTCCGATGGAAACGTATTTACCGTGATGGGTTCTTAAAGCGATTTTGTCACCGTGTCTTTCAACGTGGAAATGAGCATGATGATCATGGTGTGAGTGGTGGGTCTTTAAATGATCGTGTTCGGCGGCTAAGTAGTGACCGTGATGTGTTTTGAAAGCTCTTTAGAAATAATAAAAAAAATTTTAAAATTAATATTTTTATTAAATTTGGCTAATTAAAGCAAAATAAAAAGTAAAGTTATAAACATACCTGTTACCCATGTTTATTTATATATTTATGTATTATTAAAAATAATTTAATGAAAAAACTAAAAAATTTAAATTTTCAATTTATATTTTTTTGATAGCAAAAAAAAAGTGAAAAAATATCCAGCTAGGAAAAAAATTTTAAATAAATAAAAATTAAAAAAAAATAAAATTTCAAAAAAATAGGTTGTAGATTTGGATTAATTTTTTTTATTAATAATAACAAAAAAATCAGAATTTTCTTTTTAAAAATTGAATAAATGGGTTGGATAGCCTCAATTTTTTTGCCCACCAAGGAATAATCATCAGCTGTTAACTCCTATGATGACACACCAAATTGAATATTACTGGTTTTTTTTTTTTTTTTTGTTAAACTTAAAACAAAACAACAAAAAAGTCTTTTAAGAAATATTTTTATAATAAATAATTTAAAATTATCTGTTTATTTAATTGTAACCATTACTGTACATCTTTTTAATCAATCTCATTATAATAATTTTTGTTTTTTTATTTTTATTTTTATTTTTTTTATTTTTTTTTTTTAACCACTTTTGACGTTTGTTTTATATAAATAATTATTTTATATATTAATCAATATAATAGTGGAGTTATTCATAAATTTTTATTTCAAAAACTTTATTCCATTTTTTCAGATATTTTTCTTCTTTTCCCCGATAATAGGGTTTTTTTTTTTTTTTTTTGTGATGTCAAAAGGTAGCACTGGTTTATATTTTACGACCTTTTAAACAAATAAATTTTTTTTTTTAAAATATCTCTTTTTAAGAACACAAGAACCAATTGCTTGAAAATTTGGGTCAAACGAAATACTTCAGATCCCTAATAAAAAAAAAGATATTTAAATTATTTTTAGTTTTTTTATTTTTTATTTTTTATTTTTTATTTTTTATTTTTTAATTTTTATTTTTTTTATTTTTTTTTAATTTTAATAATTTTTTATTTTTTTTATTTGGATATAACTATTACTTTACTTCCTCTGATCAAAAAAAAATACATAATATTGATTTTATTATAAATGATTTCGAAACTGCACTGAATTAATTCATTATAATTTGAAATTATTCAAAAATTATTTTTAGACAATTAATCTATTTAAAAAAAATATGTTATAATTGTTTTAAAATATAAGAATTTAAATAGTTTGGTTTTGCTTTTTTTTTTTTCAAAATGATATTTTTATTTTTATTTTTTTTATTTTTTACTTTTTTTTTTCTTTTTAAATTATTTTATATCTCATCATCATTTGGACTAAAATTAAATAAATAAATAAATAAAATTAAATTTAAAATAAAATGAATCTAAAAGATATTTTTATTATAAGTAGAAATTTTTATAACAAAGTAAATGTAAAACCAAAACAGATTTTTTACATCTACATTTACATTTACAAGAATCTTCTTGGCATTGGTTAATACATCTACACTTGCAATTTGAATTTCTATTACCAATTGATGTATTGTTGAGTAATAGTTGTTTTATTAATTCCCAATACCAACCTTTTCTAATTGTTGTGATATTATTATTGTTTTTTTCAAAAACAATATGACTAAAAATTCCCAAAGGTTCTACTTTTTTTTGATTTAATCTATAAATAAGTGATCCCGACGAACCCCAGAACAAACCCATATTAAAACGAAATTGTTGATCATAACAGGCTATAACTTCACCCTTCATACATACTGGTTCTCTAAAACCCCATTTATCATGTTCATCATTTGATATAAATGGAAATCCTGCAACCCAAATCGTTTCTTGTTTTGTAACCGGTTGAATTTCTTGATGGAAACCAAAATCATTCTTGTATTTCTTTTCATTATCAATTTTATATAGTTTATGTTCTATAGCAGTACCTAAAATATTTAATTTCATTGCCCCAATATCTGGTTTTGTTCCATCACTATCAAACTTACCATAACTAATATAATTATTTTCATCGAATTGAATTGAAAATACTTCGTATCTTTCTTTGGTTTCATCTCTAAAATAAATTTCTATTGATTCTGTATTCCCAATAACATGATCATTTGAAATCAAATATAAATTATTTTTTTCCATATCATTATTTGGTTGTTTATTTCTATCAAATAATGGTTTATATGGTATATTTTTCCCTAAACAATAATCTTGATATTCTCTTTCTTTTTTCATTTGATCCATTCTATTACTTATTTCTTCTGCAGATGGTTTTTCTATTTTTATAGGTGTGAGATTTGTTTTTATTTCTGTATACGCTGCTTCTACAATAAATCCTGTCCCAAAGTGAGTTTCTTTATCTCCATTTTTTCCTTTTTTAATAGACTTTAAAAGTAATGGCCAATCAGTATTATGATAATTTTTATTTATAAAATTTTTGTCCATTATAAATTATTAAAATAATCGATGAAAAAAAATTGATGATAAAAAGAAAATTGGAAAAAATTAAAAATTAAAAAAATTAAAAATAATTAAAAAAAGTTTAAAGAATTTGTGTTCATTATGGTTATTAGGAAATTAAATCAAAAAAAAACATACAACCAAAAATTTCAAAAAAAAAGATTTTTTATGTCTTTATAAAAAAAAAAAATAAAAAAAATAGAAAAAATAAAATAATAAAAAATAATTAAAATATATATCTTATTAATTTGGTATTTTAATAAACTAAAATAAACATTAACTATTTGAAATTTTAAAAAATAAAAAAAAAAAATAAATCAAATGAAAAAAAGATTTTTTTATTTTTTCTATTTTTTTTTTTATCAATTTTTTTTAATTAATGACCACCATAATCCTTTTATTTATTTTTTATTTGTTATTTATTTGATTATATAATATTATAATATTACTATACAAAACATCAACTATTTTTTATATATTTTGGTTTTTTTTATGATTATTTATTATTTTTTTCATTTGATTTATTATATTTTTTCTTTTTATTTTTTAAAATTTCAAATAGTTAATTGGATAGTCTGTCATATATAAAAGTTATACGCCCCTTTTTATTAATTAATATTTCACTATTTCAATTTCATCACTACAATCCTCACCTGAATCATTGAAAAATTCTTTTCAGCAACCCAAATAATATCTTGAAAAATAAATTATTGTATCTTCCTCAATTTCTTCATTTGAACTATTTATATGGAACATGTGGTCCATCCTTTAGAACCTGACATTTCAAACCCCAATCAAAAATTAATTATTCAATGCAGCACAAATTTCAAAAAATAAAATAATTTCTAATATTTTTTTTATAGCAATGGTTTTTTTATGGCTATGTTTATTTGATAACTCTATAAATACAAAATAAAAAAACAATAACTAAAATATTGTTGTAGATTTTCGAATATAAAAAAAAAATTTATTCTTTTATAATATAAAAATATCATGATAAATAATAATAAAAATCAAAAGCAGCTTACGTGTAAATCATTCCATTATAGTTTTCTTGATAATTTTCAATAAAATATTTTTTTTTTTAAATAAATATCTTTTTTTTTTTATAAATTTAATTTCTTTTTTTCTTTTTTTATTTTTTCTCTAATTTTTTCTATAATTATTTATATATTAATAATTAATAGATAATAACTATTTTATTAAGTTATTATTTCTATTTTATAATATAAAAATGATAAAAATAAAATTTATTATATTTGCTTTTGCAATATTATTAATATCTTATTTAAATAATAGTTTTGTTATAGGTAAAGAATATTCAACTAAATATCAAAGACCAACATCACCCGTCCCAACCTTTTCAGTTAAATTATCATCAACAAATGAATATTCAGTTTATTCAGGTAATGATTCGGCCTCAATAGCACAAGCGGCATATAGTAATGAAATGATGAATATGGGATGGGCTTATTTATCTATTACTACAAATTCACAGTTTGAGGATTCAATACAAGCAGAGGCTGCTGGTTACATAGAAGGCTATTTATCATATGAAATGATATGGCAAACATGGTACAACATTATGGTAAATGAATATAATAATAAAACAATTCCATCAGAAATTATCAACTTTCAATCAGAAAACTTTTTATATATGAAGGATAATATATATGCAAATGCCAATGACCCATATTGGGTTCACATTGGCTTAGTTTGGTCCCAATTAAGCGGTATGGTTAAAGGTTATAATGATGCAAATCAAGATCCAGACCGTCAACTCTCATTTACAGAATTTGCATTAATCAATATGGATGCTGATTTAGGAGATATTGTACAGGCTTTAAATATTTCTGATGCTAAAGAAAGCAAGCGTATGGACCACATTAAAAAGACCGATCATTGTTCAGGTCTAATTAAACTAACTGATGATTTAACAGAGCTATACTCTGGTGTGTATATTTATAAAATATTTTATAAATATAATAATTTAATACTAATTAAAAACTATTATTATAGCACATACATCATGGAGTAGTTATGTTAATATGCTTAGAATATTTAAATCATATAATTTTAAATTTTCTACCCCAGCAAAATCACAATTAACTATTTTTTCTGGTTATCCAGCTACCCTTGCAAGTTTGGACGATTTTTATTTATTAGATACAAGATTAGTAGTTTTAGAAACAACAAATGGTTTAAATAACAATGATTTATATTATCTTATTAATCCAAGAACCGTTTTAACATGGATGCGTGTTATCATTGCCAATCGTCTTGCTAACAATGGTTTAACATGGTGCGAAACTTTTGAAAGAGAAAATAGTGGTACATATAATAACCAATGGATGATTGTAGATTATAAGAAATTTGTACCAGGTGTTAAAGTACGTGATGGCACATTATATGTTTTAGAGCAAATACCAGGCTATATAGAATATGCAGATACAACCAATGTATTACGTACAGGATATTTTGGATCATATAATTTACCGTAACTATTACACATCTATTTAACATTAAATATACTTTTTATTAACACTTTCCTTTTATATTGCATAGATACTTTGAAAATGTATTTAATAAGTCGGGATTCAATGATGAAGGATCATCAAGTGGATATGAAGCATATGAAGAAGATGTCCGTTCACAAATTTTCAGACGTGATGCAAATAAAGTTTACACGCTCAGTGATTTCCAAGCAATTATGAGATATAACGATTTTCAAAATGATCCATTAGCAAAAGGGGATGCTGCTCAACAAGTATGTAGTCGTTTCGATCTTAATCCACCAACAGCAGAGGACTATGATGCCTTTGGAGGTGTTGATAGTAAAGTAACATCGCTAGATTTAGTAAATCAACAATTGGTAATTGCTCAATCGGGTCCAACCCATGATCAAGAACCAGCTTTCCGATGGTCATCGGGTAATTGGACATCATTATACCCAACCATTGGTATGCCGGATTTATATAACTTTACTTGGGTTACTTTTTCAGATACATCTTATTCTATTAATGAATAATAACAAAATGATAAAGAAAAATTTTAGTAAAAAAAAAATAAATAAAAGAAAAAAATTTATTATATATTAATTATATTTTATATTTTAATTAAAATTTGACAAAAGTTTATTTAAAATTTATGAATTACTAGTTGATAATGAAATATTTTCTTTTAATTTTGAAATAGCGTTCTTGTGGTTTTGTTCTAAAGTATGTCTTGAATTAGCAGTAACACCTAAATCTCTTAAATAACCGTCTTGAATACCGTAAATCCAACCGTGAATTTTAACATCTTGACCTCTTTTCCATGCAGATTGCATAATTGTGGAATTACCAATGTTGAAAACTTGTTCTACTACATTTAATTCGCAAAGAGTATCTAAAAGACGCTTTCTATTACCTTCTAATGAAGAAATAAGACTACTATGTTTGAATAATAAATCTCTGATATGGAGTAACCAATTATTAATTAAACCTAATTCTGGGTTATCATATGCAGCGGCAACACCACCACAACCATAATGGCCACAAACGATAATATGCTCAACTTGAAGAATATCGACAGCGTATTGAATAACGGAAAGACAATTTAAATCTGTATGAATTACTAAATTTGCTACATTACGATGTACAAAAACTTGACCTGGTTGCAAACCAGTTAAACGTTCGGCTGGGACTCTACTATCGGAACATCCGATCCAAAGGAAACGTGGTTTTTGTGCTTCTGCTAAATGATTAAAGAATCCTGGGTCTTCTTGTTTTATTCTAGTTGACCAGGCATGATTATTGGCGATTAATTGATCAATTTCAATATGATTACTTCTTGGTGATGTGCATGAATAACAATTTGGTCCGCATGACTTGTATTCCTCTTTATCATTATTATTATTTTTATTATTATTATTTTCTGACATTATTTACTATAAAGTTGAAAAATATACAATTCGATAGTTTTTTAGTTTAAAAGTTTTTATGATAATATTATATTTTTTTAAAATTATGAAAAAAAATTTAAAAAAAATATAAATTTTATAAATTTTTAATTTAATGTTTTTTTTTTTTTTTTTTTTATTTGTGTGAATTTAATAAAAAAAAATAAAAAAAAATAAAAAGGGTTAGAAAATTACAAATAAAAATTTAAATTTTTAATATACATATTTACCAGTAGATTTGTGAAATTAAAAAAAAATAAAAAAAATAAAAAAAATAAAAAGTTTGATAAAAAAAAAAAAAAAAGAAAAAAAACGAAAAAAAAAAACAAATTAATTAAAAAAAAAATTGATAATCGATAAAAAAAAGGATATTTTTTAAAAAAATATTTTTCATATTTGTGTTGTTTATATACAAAAAAACATAAAAAAAAAAATCATTTGGCTAAAAATTAAATCGAAATTTCCTTAATCTTAATATTAACAATTTTGATGTGATGATGGGAAAAATAAAATTCCTTTACAAATATAGGTAACACAAACACATAATATATACATCTTAATAAAAATAAAAATTAAAAAAAAAATTAAAAAAATCAATTTTTTTATTTTTTTTTTTTTTATTTTTTTATTTTTTTTAAATTTTTTTCATTTTTGGATTATGTTTCTTATATAAATACATATTGTAGTTACAATAATGATGAATTTAATAACAAGGGGCAGCAGAATTGCCATTTCTAAAATTTCACAAAATAATATTTGTAATTTATTAAATAAAAACAACAATAAATTTTTATTATTAAATTATAACAGTATTAATAATAATAATTATAAAAGATCATTTTGTTCAACAACTATAAATAATGATTTAAACAATAATAGTAATAATAATAATAATAATAATAAAAATAATAGCAATAATAATATTAATGCAACTGAAGAACAACCAATTCAAAATACAAAAGAATCATCAATTAATGATTTAAAAAATCAAATTTTAGAAAACTCATTAAAATATATTAGTTTATATGGATGGACATCAGAAGCAGTTAGCAAATCATGTATCGAATTAGGATATCCACCAGTTACTCAAGGTTTAGTTGGTGAAAATTCAGCATATGAATTGGCTTATTATTTCGTTACTAAATGTAACCAAGAATTAATGGAACAAATTCAATCAAATAGTGATTTACTTGAAGGTCTTTCAAAGAAGGAAAAAATTAAAGCAATCGTCAAGTTAAGACTTTCAATGATTAAACCATACCTCAACAGATGGACCGAAGCTATGCAATTATTAGCTAATCCAACCAACATTATTAATACCTCACCTTCAATGTTACAATTAGTAGATGATGTTTGGTTTTTAGTTGGTGATAAATCATCAGATGTAAGTAAAGCATATACTATATTTTAGTTTTTATATATAATAGTACTAATTTTTTTATTTTTTTTTAATAGTTTGATTGGTATGCTAAACGTGGTCTTTTAGCTGCATTATATACATCATCCGAATTATTTATGTTATCAGATACTTCATTCGAACATCAAAATACTTGGAGATTTGTAGATGACCGTGTTGATGATCTTATCAAAGTTGTAAAGTTCAAAAACGATGTAATTATCAAATTATTATTTATTTTTTTCGTTTTTATTTTTCAAAAACTAACACACAAATTTTTTTTTTAAAATTTTTTTTTATATTATATTAAAAAAATAGCTTGAACAAACAGTAGAAATGGGTATCAGTACAATTTTAAATAAACTTCATAATAAATAAAATATATATAATAATGTAGATAAATAATTAGATTTTATTCATTTATTTTTTAAAAAAATTTCTTTTTTTTTTAAAATTTTTTAATTTTTTAATTTTTTTTTTTAATTTGAATCATTTTAACCTTTTTTTTATTTTCAAAATGAAAATTATTATTTGTTTATTATTTTTAATTGGTTTATTATCACCATTTAATAAGGCACAAGATCCAGTAGGACCAAGTTATTATAATGTAGTTTTCACTACAACTAAAGGTAACATAGAAATTGGAGTAGATAGATCCAGAAGCCCATATGGAAGTGATAGATTTTATCAATTAGTTACCACAGGATTTTTTACAGGTAAATATCAAATTTAGTTAATAAAATTTAGAACAATAGATGTTAATTTCAATATTATTTTAAAGAAACTGCATTTTTTAGAGTTATTCAAACACCAAGACCATTTGTTGCTCAATGGGGTATCAGTGGTACTCCAAGCTTAAATGAAAAATGGAACATTACAATCCCAAATGATCCAATTGTCCCAAGTGCATCAAACGTTCAAGGAACAATTTCATTTGCCGCTGAAGAAAACTCAACTGGTACATGTTGTAGAACTACTCAACTTTTTATAAATTATGGAAATAATACATTTTTAGATAGTATGGGCTTCACCTCTTTTGGTACCATAACAAGTGGTTTCGACTATGCTATGCAATTTTATTCTCAATATGGTGAAGAACCAGATCAAACATTAATTTATGAAGATGGTAATAGTTATTTACAAAACAATTTCCCATTATTAGATTATTTAAATGTTGCTCAAATTATTTCCGAAGAATGGTAAAAAAATCAATAAAAAAATCAAATAATGTAAAATTAAAAAATAGTTTTTTTTATTTTTTTTTATCATTATATTAATATATACTATTGTATAATTATAAAAATAATTTTTTAATTAAAAGGAAAAGAATAAAAAATCGTTAAAAATTTTCCTAATTTCTTGAGGTAATTTTTTTATTTTTTTTTTATGTTTTTATTATTTTTTTTATATTTTTATTTTTTTTTTTTTCTCTCAATAAAACCATAAATTTTTTTTTTGTTCTCTCGATCAAATAAATAATGGATAGTAAGAGACAAAGAATTCAATTATTCAATTTAGAGGAATTAATAAATAAAAAAGTTAAAAAAAACATACCAAAAAAAAAATTAAAAACTGAAAAAGTGAAAATTGAAAAAAAAAAAAATATAACAAAAAATAAAATTATAAAAAAAAAAAAAGAAATTAAAAAAAAAGAAATAGAAAAAGAGAGTAATCACGCACCAATAAAAATTAACCAACAAATAGATTTTTTAACAAACTCAACTGTAAATGGAAGCGCAAAGAAAAAAAAAAAAGAGATTACTCTGACACAATCAAAAAAATGTCAAATTGGAAGTATATTTTCAAATCAGATGGTAGAAATTGGTGAAAAAGGGTTTGAGGTCAATTTTTCATTTAAAATAGAGGGTATTGCAGATGGATTTGCATTTGTAATTCAAAATCATGGACCAAAATCAATTAGTAGAGAACCAGGTAGCAGCTTAGGTTATAATGGTATTCCACATGGTGTAGTAGCAATAGAGTTTGATAATTGGAAAAATACTCCATATAATGATCCTGTATATGACCATGTATCAATTCAAATACCAGATACTAATGGTTTTTTATCCTGTGAACATAGCACAAATTCATTGGGTCTTTTCAAATCAAATTTTAAAAACGGAAATATAAATAACTGTAAAATTGTATATAATAGAAAAGATTCAGAAATCTCAATATTTTTAACCATCAACAACGACAATGATTTACCATTAATTGAAAAAATTGAAAATTGTAAAATACCTTTCGATTTTCCATTGTGCGGTTATATGGGCTTTACAGGTTCTTGTGGTGACCTTTTCCAAACAACAACTATTTATACTTGCAGTATAAAGGCTAAAGTTGATACATTAGAAGGTATTCAAATGGATTTGGATAGTTTAGAAATTTAAAATCAAAATATTTAAATAAAATAATATTATAAAATTGTGTATATTAAATTTTTTTTTTTTTTTTTATTCCAAATTTTTAAAGATGCTGCATCTTTTGGTTAATCAAAAGGTAAAAAAACATTTTTTTTTTTTTTGAATTGTTTACGATAATAAAAAACCGTTGGTGAACTTTTTTTTAATAAACATGAAAAAATATACACAAATAATATAAAGAAATATTTTTAAAAAAAAAAAAGAAAAAAAAACTTTTATTTTTTATTTAATTTTATTTAAAAATTTTCTAATATACATAGAATTAATTTATTTTCTGAACCCTCTCTTATCCATTGATCTGATGAAATAATGTAATTTTTATTTTGATCCAAGTTTTGGAAAACTAAAATTGAATCTTCTTTTCCAACACAACTTCCAATATTTTCGATTAGAGTGACCAATTGTTTAATTTCCCTTTTTCCTAAATAACCACATCTATGATCATCATAAACACCAAAAAGTATTTCTAATTTATTTTTAACTGGGTTTTTACCAAAAATTGATAGTGCAATCGAGGCCTCGTTAAAATCAATAGAGTTACTTTTGTCAAAATCGAATAATTTAAAGAAATTTAAAAGTTGATCTTCAGGAAAATTTGGTAATTTTGATTTAAAAAATTTAATAAACTCTTTTTCTGTAATAATTTTAATTAAATAAATTAATATTTAATATTTTATATTTTATATTTTATATTTTATATTTAATATTTTAATTATAAAACTTACGATTAAAAGTACCATTACGATCTTTATCGTTTTTCTTAAAATCTTTATATAACTTTTGAATTTCTTGTTTAGAGAAATTGGTTGATTTAGAAACAACATCAAGTTCTTTTAAACTTAATTTTGTTGACCCATTACCCATTTTATATTTTTATATTATTTATAAAAATATTTATTTATATAAATAACTTTTATTTTTTATTTTTTTTATTTTTTATTTCTCTATATTATTATTTGGGGATTTAATTAAATTATTTATTTTTAATATTTGTTTATTTATTATATTTCACAGTAAAGAAAAAACTATGTGAAAAAAAAAAATATTTAAAAATATATTTTGATGTGATAAAAGCCAAAAAAAAAAGATTTACAAAAATTGAAAAAAAATAAAATTAAAAAAAATTACAAAAAAAAAAAAAAAAAAAAATTTTGAGATTTTTTATATTTTAGACTCAATGGATAAATTTAGTGTCTATATATACTGCCAGATTATTTTTTTTATGAAATTATTTTATAATAATATTGTTATTTGATTATTGTTGTAACATGGGTATATCTAGATTGTAAAACAGAGAAAAAAAAATAAAAAAAAAAAATGAAAAAAAAAAAAAAAATGAAAAAACCACGGCATGCATAAATTTGATTTATAAAAAAAAAAAATATTATATGTTACTATAAATAATATTATTTATTTAAATGTATATTTTTTAACTGTATAATATATTGATTTTAAGGTTGTTTTATTTGGTGTTTTGATTTTCTTCTAATTTCTATAAGTTATAAAAATAAATGTTAGTCACTATTTTTTTTTTTTTTAATTGTTTTTTTTATTTAACAAAACATACCTTTTTTAAATCCAATTTTGTTTGCTCTTCAATATCTCTAATATCTTTCATTGATAATCCTATCCATTCATCAATCCAACAAAATAATGCTCTATGTGCTTTTAGTAAAACATCTCTTACACCTGTTTTTTGAATTACGCTTTCAACTTTGGTTTGGAAACCCCAATATCTAAATTCGACATGAACTAATTTATAACATGTCATAACAGGTTCAACTTTTTCCTAAAAATAATAAAAAAAATAAAGTTAGTTTTATGGTTTTTTTTTTTTTTTTCCCCAAAATAATTACCCTCCAATTTTTTTCATTTAAGGGTCCTCTATTTGTTTTTGTAGATTTAAAAGTTTGAGGATCTTCAGTTGGTATATAATCTTTTGGATCTACTGGATCGAATGCAATATCTATAAAATCTACTTCTCTTTTTTGTAAAGTATCTTTATCGCAATTTAAAGCATTTTCAATTTCTCCTCTACCTGGTAAATGCATTGATTCTATTGATAAAGCTAGTTTTTCACCAAAAAATGGACACTATAAATAATAATTATTAATAAATAATAAAAAAATATTATTAATTTAAAAAAAAAAAATACAAACACTATAAACTATAAATTTAAAAAATAAATTAATATTATTTTAATTAAAAGCTATTTTATAAATTAGTTTTTGAAACACTTACCAGTTTTACAATATGGGTATGCATTCCAGGCCTTTTCTTCTACTTGTAATGCACTGGCTGGAAGAATTGCAGCAGCGAATCTTGGAATTGAATTGGCAAGATAAATGATTTTTTCAGTGTATTGACCCTTGCCTTTTTCATTATCGAATGGTTCATTTTTAATAATTTCAATACCTTCACCATCTTTTGTACTCTCTTTACTCTTTTTTGCAACCATGTATAATTGAGCAATTTGATATTCCTCAACTGTTAATGGCAATGTCATCCTACTGTATTACATATATTATTAATATTAGTTGGGTCTGGTATTATCAAACTATTATTGTTATTGATTAAATCTAAACTTACTATTCTTTTATTAACATTTTAAAAGTATATGATAGTGATTAAATTGTTTTATATATAAAATTTAAAAAAATAATTGAAAGAAACAAATAATAAAATTTATGTGTAATAAAACAAAAACACAGAATAGAAAAAAACAATAATATTATTCAAAAAAAATTAAAAAAAAATTAAAAAAAAAAAAATTTTAAATTAAAATTTTCTTTAATAACTTCAATATGGTGCGTGTGTGAGGGTGTGTTGGTGTGTTTAATTATTATTTTTAATTTCCTAATATATAAATAGAGTTAATGTTTTATTTAGATATATTATAAAATTTGTATATGTGTGGTGAATTTGATATATATAAAAATAAAATTATATTTCAAAAAAAAAAAAAAAAAAAAATTTAAATTGAAAAAAAAAAAAAAAAAAAAAACATAAAGAACTTTATTATAATTTTAAATTAAAACAAAAAAATTAAATAAATAATTATTCAAATAATTTAAATTTATAAAAAAATTTCATTTTTTTTTTAAAAATAATTTTTATTATAAAATAATATTTCTTTATTTAGTTTATTCGTCTTGATGTGTAATTGTTTCATCAATTTTAGAATTTCTTTGTCTTTTTGAATTTTTTTTGAGGCCTCTTCATTCGCTTGTTCCTGTTGTTTTTTAGCACTTCTAGATCTACTTGTTGATGTTGGAGTATTGGTGGTTGAAGATGATTTATTTGATCTGGGTGTGGTTGGAATATTATCATCAGAGAAATCAATTGGATCCTCTTGTAGTGATGGTGTGTTTGGATTTGATTGATCTGATTCGCTATTTTTCTTTGATCTATTAGAGTTGGTTGAGATTGCTGTGGCTAATGGTGTGTTTATTGGTGTCTTATTTCTGCCTCTGATAGAGGGTGATGGCATTGGGTTGGTTGAGGTTGCTAATGGTGTAGATGGTCCACTTGTATTTCCTGATGATTTTTCATTGGTGGTAGATGATGGTGGGTTTGGACCTCTATTGGATCTTGTTCCTAATGAATTTCCAGCACCACTATTTAGCAACTCTTCAGTTGCAAAACACGCTTCCATTTCTTTTTCAGCAGCTTTTCTCATTGATATGGCGGCATTGTAAATATCGGAATCCTCTTCATTGTAATTCATTGCATTCTTGAAAATTAATATTAAATCTTTATTAAACTCTGAACAATTGTTATATACATTATCATCTAATTTCTTTTTTAAAGTTGAAAGATCCATACGATGTTTGATAACTGAATCATAATCTGGTGCATCTTCCTTTGAAATTGGATATCTGAAAATATAGGCAAATCTATTTGAGTTTAATGCTTTCCATACTTTTGCTAATGACACTCCTAAAATTTTCTTAATATTTGCTTTTTGCTGTTCGTCATCTTTTTTCTTTTGTTGTAATGAATCATCTTCTAATTCGTCTTTAGTTTGCTGTGGTGTGGATAGTGCTGAGTGCTTTCTCTTTGGTTTAGGTGTGGTTGTTGTGGACGATGATAAAGAATTCTTTTCTTTTTCTAATTTCTCTTTTTCTTTTTCTTTCTTTTTAGTCTGTGAATCATCCTCTTCCTCCTCCTCTTCTTCTTCCTCTTCTTTAATTTCAATATCATTCTCTTTTTCACTTTCAGTTTCTTTTTCATTCTTTTCTTTTTGTTCTTTTTGTTCTTTTTGTTCTTTTTGTTCCTTTTGTAATTGCTCTAAATAGTTTGATTTTATTAATTGTATATTGTCTTCCTTTTCTTTCAACTCCTTATTGAGTTCATTTATTTCTGATTTTATTAATTCTATTCTTTTATTTCTTAAAAAATTTTCTAAATTTACATGGTTTTTTGAAAATACCTCTTGAATTTTATTATAAAAGGTTTTAGTTTCCTAAAGATAATAGTTTTAAATATATATTAGAATTTACATTTATTTATTATTATTATTGATATGGTTTAATATATAATTACTTCTTCATTTTTTAGTGAATCTATTATATTTTCTGAATTTGAAAATAATTTTAATTCTTTTAATCTATTATATTCTTTGACCAAATAGCCTTGAACCACCGACCAATCGATAGTGGGCTTCTCTATTTCATATTTCGTAATTATATGTAATAGTAAAATTGTATCAAATGAAGTTATGGATTTATTTAAATATAATTCGTAATCATTTGTAATTTCTTCTGTCATATTAAATATTTAGTTTTTTAATTTAAAAAAATTTTTAAAAAAATAAAAAAAAAATAAAATGAAAATTAAAAAAATAAAAAAAAAAATATAAAATAAAAAAAAAAAAAAAAAAAAATTAAATAAATTAACTCTATGAATAAAAAATAAGATATATGAGTTTTTTTTTTTTTATTTAATAATTTTAAATTTTTATTTTAATAATGGCATATTTTCACTTTGTGATTGTGGTAAAGGGTCAGTATTTGGGATTGGATTGGTTGCAGCGTTATTATAATATGGGACTGGGGTATACAATTGTGGAATTTGGTTGTACATTTGTGGAGCTACTTGGTTGTACATTTGTGGAGCTACTTGGTTGTACATTTGTGGGGCTACTTGGTTGTACATTTGTGGAGCTTGGTTATACATTGGTGAAGCATAGATTTGTGGGTTAACTGTTGTTTGATTATAAATTTGTGGTGGTGGTACAACATTACTATTTGGATAATAAACTGATCCTTTAAATTCAAGATTTCTAAAAATATATTCCTTTCTTTTAAATGAAACGATGATACCACGATTTCTATATCTTGACTCCATACTATATAATTGATTATCAATTTGTTTTAATTTCTATTTGAAATAAAAAAAATAAATTAAACTATTAATATGTATATGAATTTAAATATTGCTTTTTTAAAATACTACTTACATTTCTATTAACAATAACAACTGCAACAGAAACAAAAACCGAAAAATAAACACCAAAAAACATTAAATTCATATTTCTTTGGTTTATTACTGAAAAATAAACAAATATTGAACCCAAAATAAAATATGAAATAATTGAAATAACTGAAACAATAATTCTTCTTGATTTTTCTTTTTCGACTATTCTATTAACATCATCGGCTATACACATTAACTCTTGATATGGTAAAAACTGTTGTAAACCAATTGGGTAGTTTTGAAATGAAGTATCGAATCTTAAAAATCTTCCAGTGCATGTAAACTCTTTTGAAAGTTTATATTTATTTAATTGATCTTTTGATGGTAAAACATAATTGTTGCCACTAACCAAACTAGGAAAAACTATATTATTAGTATTGAGGCCCTTGTTACTAGTATTGTTTTCTGTAACTTCTATATTGATGTTATCAGCTGAAGAGGATTCCGTTGTGTTATCACAAATCATTTTAAAATATTTTTTGTATTTGTTGCTAATCTAAAAAAATATAAAAAATTTGTGAAAAATAATTTTTTTTTAAAAAAATCGTGATGCAGAAAAAAAATATTAAAATTTTTTTTTTTTAATAATTCAATCATTAATTTACCAATGGATATAAAAAAGAAAAAAAAAAATTATATTTCAAAGTAAATAATTATATTCATTAAAAAAACTAATATTCTAAAATGACATTTTATAGTGATTAAAATAATCATTATTGTTTGTCGTTTTTGGATCATCTGGAAGGTTTTTATTATTTTAAGAAAAAATGATTATTAATATTATTCAGAATGAAAAAAAAAAAAATGAAAGATTGTAAAAAAAAAAAAACAAAAATTCAACCTTTTGTATTGGACGAGGTTTTTATTAATTAAAATGAAAATAATATTATATTATATTTTTAGATTAATTGTGATGTACAAAATAAAGAGGGCTATTATAAGCATCAACAAAAGTGAAAATAGCACCATAGTATTAGATTTATCCATATAGTTTTGTGAAGGTTTTTGAAAAGGAAAATAAAAATATTATAATTAATAAAATTCAAAATTTAAAAAAAAATAAATAAAAAAAAGCGCTCATTAAAATTAAAAATAAAAATAAAAAAATGTTTAAAAATTTTAAAGAAATTTAAAAAAAAAATTAAAATTGTGATTAATTTTTTTTTTTTTTTTTTTAATGTATTTTCATTCAGCTGATCATACCAATTTCATATAATGAACTACCAAACTCTTACATTATTCCTTTTCTACAAAACATTATAAAATTAATTATAATAAAATAATATAAATGGAAAAATGATTTCTTTAAAAGGAAGATGTGTTTAATTTATTTGAAAAATAAAAAATTTTGAAAAAAAAAAACCTCCCCTGTTTCAAATTATTACCAATTTTGATTGTAGCAGATCTACATTTTTTGTGTAATACAAGTTTTACTTATTTTGGAATTGATGTTTTAAATAAATTAGGAAATAGTTATAGATTAATTAATTAATTAATTTTAAATTAAATTTTTTTTTTTTTTTTAATTTTTTTTTAAAAAACTAAAAAGTATTTAAAGAAAATAATTTCATAAAATTTTTTTTTTTTTCATTATACACATTCAGGTAAGTGGTGGTTAATTATGTATTCTGCGTGGTGGGATACATAATTAACCACTAATATATAAAAACAATTCACAAATATATACATTCAGGTAAGTGGTGGTTAATTATGTATTCTGCGTGGTGGGATACATAATTAACCATCGGCTCTAATATACTAACCTCCCCGTGGTAGAGCTGGAAACACTCTTTACAAAGAGTGGCCAATAGTATAAAAAATAAAAAATAAAAAATAAAAAATAATTAAAAATATTATCAAAACATATCGAGGATTTTTTAGCATTAAAACACATCAAGGATTTTTTAGCATTAAAACATATCGAGGATTTTTTATCATTAAAACATATAAATGATTTTTAAGCATTAAAACTATCGAGGATTTTTAAACATTAAAAAATATAAAAGATTTTTTAGCATTAAAACATATAAAAGATTTTTTAGCATTTAATTATTAAAATTCAACAATAGTTTATTTTTTTATAAAATTTATTATCATTATACATTCAAGAATATACAATTGGATCATTCAATAATATCAAGATTTATAGAATATAATTATAAGGTAATTATTTTATTGGATCATTAAAACATATCAAATATAATTGTGTAACATTCAAGAATATTAAATATAATGGATCATTAAAAATTATCAAGTATTGTGTAACATTCGAAATATATCAAATATTACGGATAATTAAAAATATTATCAAAGCATATCAAAGATTTTTAGCATTAATTATTAAATTCAACTATATTTTTTTTTTTTATTTTGATAAAATAATTTTGTATCATTATACACATTCAATAATATAAAGATTTATTGAACAATAATTATAATGTAAGTATTTTGTTGAATCATTAAAAAATATCAAGTATTGTATAGCATTCAAGAATATAAATATTATGGATCATTTAAAATTATCAAGTATTGTGTAACATTCATAATATATAAAATTTTATCGATAATTAAAAATATCAAGTATTATGTATCATATAAAAATATCAACTATTGTGTATCATTAAAATATATCAAGGATTATTTAGCATTAAATCATATCGAGTATTAATATATATATACTATCAAAACATATAATGATTCAGTATAGAATAAAAATAAAATAGACTTCCGTAGTAATAAAAAAAGAAATGGACTTAAAAGAATTTATCATATTTCCATGAAGGTATTCTATATTTTTTTTTTTTGTGTGTGAAATTTCACAATTTAAATTTAACCCAAGTTAAAATCAAACACGGTCAACATATAAACACGTAACAAAACACACACAAACATACATACAATATTTTATAAGTGTTTTGGGAGAAAAGAAGTTGGTAAAACTGTTTATTCTAAAACCCTATGCAATAAAGAATTTAAAAGCAATACTAAAGTGCATCCCACAATAACCAATACATACTATTGCTTATGTATAAACTAAAAAACTAAAAAAAAGTAAAAAAAAAAAAATTAAAATTTAGAATCTATTTCATCAATGAACTCAGCTAATAACATCCGATGTTGTTAAATTATAAAAACATATATTTTCTAAATATTAATTAAATAAACTATATTTTTTTTATTATTATTAAAGTTATTTTGTTTATATACATTATTAACTAATTTTATAAATATTTATTTTATTTTTTATTTATTTTTTTAATTTGATTCGACAATTGATTTCATATGGAAAGAATTTTGAACTTCAAAGCAATCATCTTGATTTAATTCCGAGTTAATTAAACGTTTTGTGTCGTAGAGTTCTGATTTTAATATTACTAATTTATCTGGTCTTTTTAAGAGTTTAGAGAAAACTAAAGAGGTTTCGTAACAATTTCTCCAAAATTGTTTTTTACAAAATACATATAAACCCAATCTAGCTCTGGACATTGCAACAATTAAACGACGTGGATCCCTAAGGTGACCATATGATTTAGTTCTAACGAGTGAAAGCAATATAATATCATTTTGTTGACCTTGATATTTATCGATGGTGGTAATTTTGTGTGGCATACCATAGTTTGATTTACATTTAGCTTGGAACACCTCACGGAGTAATTGCTTTTGACCATTATAAGTGGTAAGTACTGTAATTTTATCGCTTGGGTATCCAATAGCCCTCATAAATTGATAGGTCGCTACAATATATTCAGCTTCACCAAGATTTTGATAGTAATGTGGTGTTGGTTCAGTCTCACCATTACCAAAACCATCGCTTTCTTCGACGTTAATCAATTGATAGTCATAAGCGAAACCACCGTTTGCGTGTTTAAAGTAATCGTTAGTTTTAACAATGTCGAGATCTTGTAAACCTTTATAACGCCATCTAAATAACTCTGAGATTGATGGTCTTGAACGTGCTTGTCTATCTAAAATGATGTGAGGAATTTCGAGACGAATAAAACGAGTGAATAATGATTGGTCAAAATGAGAGAACTTTGATAGTGATTGATTTTTAACAATTGGTGGTAATTGATTATGATCACCAATTAAAATTACTCTTTTTAATCTAAATTGTTCAATGATTTCTGCTGCTTCTTCACCATCATCCATTTGTTGATTTGATTGCTGTTCTGGTCTATCGTTTTGAAGCTGTAACGGTATAAAGGACTCGATATCACTAATTTGAGCCGACTCTTCCATTAAAAGATTATCAAACTTGAAACCCAATTTAATAAGTTCATTTCTTTTCAACGAAGCATATGTGCATGTCATTGCGACAATCTTTGATTGCTTTAACAAAAGATAATTGTAACGATCATTTGATGATTTTAATAATTCGAATACTTTGCACTCTTCCAACTCTTTAAAAATATTTTCAATATACAACCAAAGCTCTTTTAAGATTTCTTGATTTTCTTGTAATGATTTATCGGTAGAGAACAATTCCTTTGCAATTGAGTTATCTAAAAAGAATTTACCAAATGGATAATTTTCGATTATATATTTAATTTGTGCAGCTGAATTATCATTGTTGTTTGATTCTTTTTGTAACTTTTCGAGATCGTGTTGGAATTTCTCCCATTTTGATAAAACGTGGAATGAGAAGAATTGAAGAGCAGTATCGCAGGTATAAGAAACATCATCGGCTACATCAATACTCTTGGCTAACTGATCAACCTTTTCCAATTGACTAATACGGAGATTTAACCAAAAATCAATTCTACCACCTTTGGTGAAATCTTTAGATGTTTGCAATTGTTTTTGACCATGACCCAAACGAAGTAAATAACGTTCATTTATATCTAAATTGTAAATCTTTTCAAATAGTTGATTAAGTGCTTGATTGGAATGGGTGATAATTAGGGTTCTTTGATTTGGTGAATTGTGATATATGTTTGAGATAATTTGAACAGCTATATCAGTTTTACCGGTACCTGGTGGACCTACAATTAATGTTAATTTATTTTCGAGAACGCCAGATTTAATTGCAGAGATTTGAGTTGGTGTAAATTCAATTTTATTTCTATTGACCACTTCATCGCTTGAGTTTATAACTTTATTTGTTTTATTTTTATAAGTATCTACCAAAATTGAGTCTGAATCACCTTCATTATTAAACTTAATCTTATATAATAGATCGCTGTCTTGGCTCTTTGAACACATTAATTTACAGTTTTCGGTTAATTCTATCTTTTTGTCTTGGTAAGTATTTTTTAAATGATCTAAATTTAAAAATGTATCGTTAAATGATATTTCTTCTTCTAATTGCTCTTGCTCTTGTTGTTTTTGTTGATCACTTGGGTAACCCATAAAAATTGAATTTAACCAATCGGGGAAATAGCTTTTTGAATTTAATAATGAAATAATTGTATCCAAAACTGATTTAAAATTATTCTCTTTTGGATTTCTTCTTAACACTATATTGAAACTGTCATAAAGTTTTAAATTATTATTTTCTAAATCTTCTTGATATTGATTTGTATCTAATGAAACTTTAAATGCTCTTGAATTACTATTTGTATTATTATCCTCACCAATAATTTCAACTACCTCACAACCTCTAACATGTTTGATGCCATATTTCTTTACAAAATCAGTTGTATTATCATCACCTTCTGGTTGAATTGTAACTAAAAATAATACATCATGTTCCTTAACTGATAACCACTCTTCTTTAATATATTCCTTACATGAATGTAAGCTTACATTTATAACACCATTAACTTTTTTTGGTTTATCTTCACCAATATTTGCTTGATAAACATTTATAATTCTATAGTTTAAAAAATAGCTATTTAGTATTAATTTACTTTTTATATATGTTTGTAAATAAACTTACTTGAATGGTGATGATAAAGGTAATGACATTCTTGACCATCCATTAAATGTTGTTTTATTATTTGATATATTATATTTTGGTGATAATCTTTTAACTGTATCTTCAATATCTTGTTTAATTTCATAAGCAGACTCTAAACGTACTAATACAAAATTTCTCATCAAATAATCATTGAATGAAAGAAATTGTAAATTTAATTTTGGTAATGCTAAAGATCTATCATTTCTATAACTACTATCTGGAATAGCTGATGAATCCCATAATAACTTTTCTGTTGGGTATAATGACATTCTATTTACTGGTTCAACAACTGATTCTTTTTTTTGGAATTTTGATAATAATAATGAAATTAAAAATTGTTTATTTTCTTTTTTATCCTAAAATAAATAAATCAATAAAATGTTAATATACATCAACGAACCATTAATAATAATAAAAATAATAAAACCTTACTTTTGATTTGAAATTTAATAAATAACAAAGTTCATTTAATCTATCTTCAGATAAATTTGAAATTACTGAAATAAATTGTGGTTTATTTTCAACAAATGAAACATTTCTAAGTGCTATCTCTTTAATTTCTGGGAAGTTTTTAAATATAACTTTTTGTAATTCTTGAATTGCTTGATAATGAAGACCTGTAGCTTGATCACTTGATATCTCTTCACCAGTAAAATTATCAATATCAAAATTATTATAAACTTTTAATATACCTAATAGTCCATTTAAAATTCTTTAATAATAATAAATATTTGTTAATATGTATACTTTGGTAAGTAAAATATTTAATATAAAATTTTCTTACTTTGAATCCTTTGGATTTTTAGTTATAAAAACACTTTGTGAAACCTTTAAGATTAAATGGAAGTCATCTAATAATGAATAAAAAAATCTTCTTGTTGTAATTTGAGTCATTAAATCGATCATTAATTCTAAAAATCTTTCGCAATAATTTAATGAATTTTTAAATTCATCACTATTTGACTCCTTTAAAATTTGTAAACTATCCAATGTATTAATAAACTGTACCATTAAATTTAATAAAAAATCTTTATATTTCAATTCTAAAATTAATTTAAAAATTAGTAAAGTGTTTATAAAAAGTGAACTATATAATATATTAATATTTACCAACTGGATTTAATTTTGAATTTAAATATTTCTTTTTAAACAATTGTAATTTCTTTATTAAAAAATCTGGTAATAAAGATATATCTTGATCTAAACGTCCCTCTGAAAGATTTAACCAAATTGGGTAGGAAACTATTTTAAGGCATTCATTTCTAACGTGAATATCTTCGACACTTTGAAATGTATTAATTAAAAACTTGATATAATGTGATAATTCGTTGGCTGATAACTCTGATAACTCTACTAATAGAAAGCTTTCGAAAAATTCTTTAAATGTTGAATATTCTATTGACGATGCTGACTCTTCTTGTCCATTGGTGCTATTATTACTTCCTATATGGAATGATTGGAATGAATTTAAACCCTCTTTTGATTTTTCATTGATCATTATAATAATTGACATTATTAATGATTTTGATGATTGATTTGATTTAAAATTTGGCCATAAATAATGTTCAAAGTAGTGAGATAACTCTAAAATTTGAATTTTGAAATTTGATTGTAAAATTTGATCTTTATATATCTTTTCAACCAAACCCAAATCGAATGATTTGACATTTGCTGCCTTTAACCAATTTTTTTCACTTAATTTTGTAATTTCATCACTTAAAACTTCTGATAATGTTAAATTATTACTATTATTACTATTGCTATTTATATTTTCATTATTGCCATTATCTACTTTTTGCTTTTTTCTGATCTCATTATTATTACTACTATCATTATTATGTTTATTTCCTTTTGCCATTCTTTATTTTAATAATCTATATTTAAAAGAAATAGAAAATGGGAAAAAAGTTATTGATGAATTTCATAAAATGAAAAAAAAAAAAAAAAAAATAAAAATTTTAAAAAAATGTAATGAAAAAAAAAAAAAAAAATTAAAAAAAAAAAATAAAAATTTAAAATAAAAAAATATTAATAAATATTTATAGAAATTATTAAACCTAAAATTATTTAAATTAATTGATCTTTAAATGGTAAAAAAAAGAAAATACCATTTTAGGGTTACACACAATGATTTTTTATATTATATTTTTTTTTTTATATATTTTATTTTATAATTTTTTTTTTTTTATATTATTTATTCATATAATAAATCATCATCAGCTTGTTCGTCGTCTTCAAGGATGTTTTTAACTTTTGTAAGGTTAACTGGAGCAACGGTCTTCTTGTTAATGGCTTCTTCTTCTCTCTTTGATTCTTTAGCTTTCAAATCTCTCTTCTTTTTACCTTGAACTTTCTTTAATCTGAAAAACTCTTCTCTTTCGTTTTCATCTAACTCTGTAATAATATAATTGATGGTGTTTTCAAGTTTTGGCTTGACGACAAACTCAATAGCATTGACACGTCTATTGGTAATTTTAATAACTTCATCTAATGTAACGAAAGCGGTTTGTAAAGATGCAAGAGCAATTAAGGCTTCAACAGCTTTAACATGTGATTCACGTGATTTATTGATTTGTTGACCACCCTTTGAAAGACCAGTAAGTTCTTGTGCTAAAATAATTAAATAAAAGATTAGTAAAAATGTTTTAAAATTTTTTAATTATTGTTATGTGGGTGTTTAATAAAGATTACTTACAATTACTAACGGTGCCTTCAGAAATTTTTTCGAAGGTTGGTAAGTGAACACCAGCTACATTTTCAGTAGTCATTTTAACTGAAATAGTTGCAGTTGATACATTTTCAATTACTGAGTTTCTATTGTTATTATATTATGATTGTTATTGTTTTTGATGATAAATTGAAATTAAAAAATAAATTAATAATCTATATTTTCTTTTTTTAAATTTGGTTATATGATTACTTACGAGAAATCACCAGCAGCATATTTGGCAGCAGCAAGTGAGAAAGAGGCATCTCTCATGGTTGTACCCATTAATTGTTTATTTTCGACAATGTTAGCTAGGATCTTTCTGAAACGAATAGTAAGAGCATCTGATTTTTTTTTTAAAAGTGAATGACCAGTGACAGCACCCTTTAATTTGAGTTTCATGGATGTCAATGCCCTAAAATAATAGTTGATAAATATTATTAGTCAAATTATTTCCTATAGAATCCGATTTTTAAAAATAAAAAAAAATTGTGTGTGTTCACACCTTGAAAAAGTGGTATGATCACTTGAAAAATATCGGCTATCCAAAGTAATAAAAATAAAAAAAGTAGATAATTTACATTCTAGTTGGGAAAATATTTAATCTATTTTTTCCTGACATTTTATTTTATATATATTAAAAAACTATATTAATTCTTCTGTTTTTCTTCAATGATCTTGATTGTTGATGGTATTTGAAAAAGAAATTTCTGAATTAAAATTTAAAAAAAAATAGTGTGATTTTTATAATATACAACACAATAATACTAATTTATAAAAGGGGAATAAATTAAATATTATCTAAAAAATAGGAACAAAAATTATATAATAATTTTTTATTTTTAGAAAATTGGTTGGAGTATATTATAATATTAAAAAAAAAAAATAAAAAAATAAAAAAAAATTTTTATGTGTTAGCCTTTTTTTTAAATAATTTAAAAAAAATTTAAAAAAAAAAATATTTTTTAAAAAAAATTAAAAAAAAAAAAAAATTGTGAGGAAAATTTTTATATTGATGATTAAAAAACCAGGCTTACGAATTTTAATCAACAAATTTTGCTTGAGCGAATACTGGTATACTATGACAAAGATTTTAAACAAATAATAATTTTAAATTTTAAACAAAAAAATTAATTTATATTTATAAAAATAATTATCTATTTTTTTTTGCACGAAGGATTTAAACTTTCTTTTATTTTTTTAGTGTGTATATATTTTTATTTTTTTTTTTTCGTCTGGTTGGATTTTTTGGGATAAAAAAAATATATACAGTTTAATTAAATAAATAAATAATAAATTATATAAATTTATAAAAAATTAATGTTTTTGGACAATTCCTTAAAAAGATGTAAGGAGTACAGGAATAATTATTATTTTTTTATTTTTTTTATTTTTTTGTATTTACACTATTACCATTTTAAATATTTGTTTTGCTTTGCATTGTTTTGTATTGTATTTTTATTTTTTTTTTATTCTATTTTGTTTTGTTTTGTTTTTACACTTTGTTGATATTATTATTTACAGATTTGAAATTTTATTTCATTTATTGTTATTAAAATTACTGTTTATATTATTAACATTATTATTTATATTTATATTATTAGGAATGTTCATATTATGATTGTTTTCTAATACCATTTCACTATCCTCATATAATTCATCTGGGTCATTTAAAATACCCAATAGTTTCCCAACTTGAAGTTGTTTTTGTTCGCTAACACCTAATGTTAATGCCCAATCCTCTAATGTTTGGATATACCCAACCAAACTATCTTTTGGTGCCTTTGATAATTCTTTTTAATTATATAAATGATTAGTAAAAAAATAATATGTTGGTTTTATATATAGTTAGTTTCTATACCTGTAAATTTTTCTTTAAATCTATCATCCACCAACGCTGCTAAAAATTCAACTAGTTGTTTTACTTTTTCCTCCTATAGGTTAAATAATAAGTTCATTAGTATTGACATTAATGCTTTGTGTGGTACCAATAATTATAATATTACATCTGACATTGTTTTTAATATAAATATTCATTAAATGGGTTAGATTTGAGTTTCCCCCTTTTTTTTTAAAAAATTTTTTTTAAAAAAAAATTAAAAAAAAAATAAAAATAAATTTAAAAAAAAAAAGAAATAAATAAAAAAAAAAAAAAAAAAAAAAAAAAATTAAATTTAATTAGTTCAATTTAAAATAAAAAATAAAAAAATAAAAATTAAATTTAATTATTATTATTATTATTATTATTATTAAAAATTATTTTTTTTTATTTTTTTTTTTTAAACAAAAAATTAAACAATTAGTTTAAACTTGTTGTCTAATTTTTGGTGACATTGTTGGTTTTTCGTTTAACCATTCAGCTTTCTTTTCAAATTTGGTGGTTTTACCATCTTCTTTTCTGATGAAGGTTTCTTCTTTTTTAATTATTTTTGGTGAAGAGTTTTGTTGGCTGGTGGTTGAGACGAATTCAGTGGCCATTTTACCTTTTGAAAGAGTAAGGACTGGAGCTGGCATTGGTTTAACATTGAGTACACAACTATCAGATTTTTGTAAAATAATTTCTGGAGTACCTTTGAATTCAGAGATACGGACAATTGGTTCACCTCTAATTAATTTAATTAATGGTTCTTGTTGGGTAACTTTAATATTTGGTGGAGCAGCTGAAGCAAATGAAACTAATGGTTTGGATGATTGAATTTGAACTTCTGGTTTTTGTTGATTAATAATAACAGATGCCTTTGGTTGGTTAACACTAACAATTGGTTCTCTTTGAATAAATTCAACTCTTGGGGCCATTTGGTTAACATCAATAATTGGGGCATGTTGATCTAAGAAAATTCTTGGAGCTGGTTGTTGAATTTCAACTTGAGCAGCTGGTACATTAACATCAGCTCTTAATGATTTTTCAACAACTTCTAAATCAGTAGCATTTTCTTTAATAATAATTTCTGGTGGCATTTCATAAACATTAATATTGTCCTTTCCTAAATTATTTTTTTAAAAAAAAAAAAAAAAAAAAAAAAAAAAAAATTAATATTTTATAAAATATAAAGTACAAAATATTTTAATATATTAATATTTACCTTCGTCAACTTTGATTTGAGTTTGTTGTTTTTCAACTAAAACTCTTTGTCTTGGTTGTTCTAATTTGATGACACCATCATCATAAGTATTTGAATTGTTTACCCATTTTTGAGTTTTAACAACTTTGGTAGTTTGAGTTTTTTCTTCTGGGAAACGTGGGGTACCTTTTTGGCAAGTATCGTTGATAACATTTAAATCCATTGTGTTTGATATTGATTATTTAAACTTTGTAAAGTTTATTTTATTTTTTAATATTATTATAATAATTATTATTTAATTTATTTTTATTTAATAATTATAAGGATGAATTAGAAAATGACTTTGAAAAAAAAAAAAACAATTATTTATAGTTCTTTTTTTAAAAAGACCTTAAAAAAAAACATTAATTAATAAAAATTAAAAATTAAATAAATTGGTCCTTTTATTATAAAAAGTACTTTGTTTTGGGTAGATCGAATTAATCTTTTATCTGTTCGAAATTATTTGGGTTTTTTAAATTCTTTTAAAATTCATTTTTCCTTTTTTATTTTTTAAATACTATATAAAGTAAAAAATTAAAAAATTTAAACAATGTTTATTTAAAAAAAATAAAAATAAAAAAATTTATTTTAAATTTAATTTTTATTTTTTTAATTTATTTTAATATTTTTAAAAAATGAAAATAATTAGAAACAATTATTTTTTCTTTAAATAAACCTATAGATTTCGAAATTATTATAAAAAAAAATAAAAAAAAAATAAAAAATTAAAAATAATAAAAAAACAATATTCGATTGATTTTAGAATTAATAAATCTATTAAAAAATGAATAATAATTTAATTTATTTTAATAATAAACACTATAGAAATCTTAAAAATTTTTTTGTACTTTAAAAAAAAAAAAAAACTTTATCATTTCATTTGTTTTTATAGTTATAATAATAATAATAATAATATTAAATAATATTAAATAATATTAATAAATAAACAATAACAATTAACTTTTTATTATTATGTTTAATAATTAGTTATATATTCTTAATTAAATATCACACTTTATAAATTAAAAAAAAATGGTAGAAAAATATTATACAAGTTCACCAAAACAAACTGCAGAAGAAAGAAGAACTTTTACTGCTACTGGTAATGCAGGTCAATATAGAGAAAACTATGATATCTCTGTCAAAGAAAAACCAGGCCATTTATCATTCGAGCAAACACCAATGTACTTGGAGCTTTCTGAAATAGCTAAACAAATCAATGTAGAAAGATCCCAACCAACTGTTAACATTGGTCGTGCCGCTGATCTTATCCATGTCAAACAAGAGCCAGTTCAAGTTAGCGTCAAACCAAATCCAACTGATGTTTACGTTACCTCAGACCAACAAATCATTGAAGTCGAACAACAAGCACCAGAGGTAGACATTGAACAATATATGCCAAAATTCTATCTCAAGATGCCACCATTCCGTGTTCATTTGGAAATGGATGGTGCTCCAGAAATTATTATGGAACCATACCAACCATCTATTAAAGTTAGACAATCTGATCCAGTTGTTCGTGTAACTAAATGTGACCCAAGAGTACAAGTTACTGAAAATCCACCAAAGATTGATATTACTCAAATTGCCTCAAGTGTTGATGTTGTTCCATCAACCAAAGCTTCTGTAAGTTTTTTTATTTTTTATATTTCTATAACTTTTTAAATCAACATACTAACTCTTTATTTTTAATTTATCATACTATAAATAGATCCAAGTTAAAGAAGATAGACCAAAGATTACTATTCAAGATTATGCACCAACTATGAAATATTCAGAAAGTGAAACTAAGATCAACTACCAATCATACCAACCAGAAGTTCAATGGGAAAACCCAACTCCAAAAGTTCAAGTCTTCCAAGATGAACCATCAATTAGAGTTTCACAAGACCCACCACAAATTGGTCTTAAAAATAGAGAACCAATTGTCAATATTAACACTAAAGCACCAAAGATTGATGTCCACCGTCATCCAGTTTCAGTCTCTGTTGTTGAACCATCTACAACTGTTCACTTTGGTAATCATGCAAGCTATGCTCAAATTGCCCAACAACCACCACTCTCACATAATTGGGAAGAAGTAAAGGCTATTAAAGTAGATCCAAATGAAAAATATGGCTTTTTCTCCCCATCAGAAAAAACCCGTACCACTTTCACTCTCTGGAAGAACATTTTAATGAATACAGAAAGAGTTATTGCCAATAAAGGTGTTGGTAGAAACTACTTTACCCTCTTTGACGTAAATGATAATAAACTCTGTGAAGTCTTCAAAGAAGAATTAGGTGTTCATAAATTCAGTATCAATATCCGTAGTTCAACTGGTGACCTCTTATTCAAAGGTGAATCACAAGGAAGAAATCTCAAACTCTATGATACCCAAAATAATTTATTCTGTACCATTGAATGCAACAAAGAACAAGTTGAATGCTTCAACGAAAGAGGTGAAAAATGCTTCTCCTTATTACCAAACTCCAAGAAATGGTTATTTGATATCAGAAATAAAGGTAATGTTCTAAATAATATATAACATCTCTTTTAATATTATACTAATAATTTTTTTTTTTTTTTAAATGTATTAAAGCTCAATCATCAATTGGTTCATTAAATAAGAATGGTTCTAAATTAGGTGGTTACCAAATTAACTTCCCACGTGATTTAGTTACCAACGATAAAATGTTATTATGCTCATCAATGTTCTTAATCGATGACTGTTTCGAATAGACAAGTTAAACAAATAAATTAATTTATTCTTTATATAAAAAAATAAATTAATTCTTTTTTAAAAAATAAAATTAATAAAAAAAAATATTAAATACAATTTAGTGCAAACCTAAATCTATTTTATTTGTCTAATTTTAAAACATAATTTATCCTATGAATATTTATCCACAAATACAAGTATTAACTATTATTTTATATAAAATAAAATACACTTTCTTTCTATTTTAAATATAAAAGTATTAATTTTTTTTATTACACATGAATCATCTTTTTTTTTATTTTTATTTTTATTATATGAAATTGTTTTGTTTTGTTTTGTTTGTTTTTGATGATATTATAAATATAACCTAATAAAATAATATATCTAAATGTTTAGGCAAACATAAAGGCAAGAGTTCTTCTCTTTGATTTCATGTATGGGTAATCTTTTTCTTGATGTGGGTGGTGACCAAAGAATAAACTTTTAATACCGTAACCAACAACGAAAACTGATGAATAGTTAATGAATTTGGCGGTTGGATCACCAGTGAATGGGTTGATGGCCTCTATATATAATTTAAAATAAAAATTTAATGTATAAGTAATTCGTTATATTTTTTGAACTTCTATGCAACAATATTAAGAATTAATTGAAATAATTATTATCATCTATATTTCTGCTTATTATACATTTTACTATTATAATCATATTATACTATTATTAATTTTCACTATTTCTAATTTTTACTATTATTAATGTTACAATTATTATTGATGATATTTTTTAAATTTATATTATTATTTTATGTTCAATATTTCTATTCTATTTTCCTATTTTGCTGTTTATATTTTGCTTTACTGATAAATTGTAACCTAAAAAATGTTGATTGTTGCAATGAAGTTGAATATCGCTAAAATTTTCTATTTTTTTATTTACCAGTGAGAGTTTCGGCAATAGTAGTTTTTGGTAATGGAGTACCGTGGACTTTGTTTAAGAAGAAGATGTAGAAAGCTTTGTTCTTTCTTGAAATCATTTTTAATTCTTCAAATAATGTACCTGACATTTTATCGAATATATGTATGTATTGAATATAACAATAATATGAAAAAAAAATTAAAAAAAAAAAAAAAGAAATTTTTAAAAAAAAAATTTTTAAAAAAAATTGAAAAAAAAAAAAAATAAAAAAATAAATAATTTTTTAAAATTTTTTTTTTTGAAATACATATGGAATCTACAAATAATATGACTTCAGTGGTATGTATATATTATCATTCATA